TCGGGTATTTCAACGCAAAAATAAAAATAAAAATAAAAAAGAACATTAACTCCCTTAGCATTTGAAAAATACAATAAAGCAACAGTTCATCGTGATGCTGATGAAAAAGCAAGAATGATCCATAAAAGCAGACTAAGATTCAACAGAACATTTAACAGCACAATCAATAACAGAACTAAAAAAGTAAATTTGGGACAAAACCCACTCGCAATCATCTTAAAACACAGTAATTCGTCAATATTTAACATTAAAAATAAACAAATTCATGGGAAATTAGAATTAACTAAAAATTTAAGGGAAAGAGCACCAGATACGACAATCCAAGCTTGCTAGAACGGCCCTGGAACCCGAAGAAGACGGTGAAGAGAGCGCTAGCAATGACGAAGGCTCTGGTAACAGGAGCATTGTCTGTGATAAAAGAAACGACAAAGCATTTGGGTCATGCAATACAAAGAGAATCGAGAGAAAAACAGAGAGAGAAGGGCATGAAACGAAATAAAGATGAAGGTTGAGGGTAATTCGGGGAGGAGACTCTACGTACGGAAACCAGAGGGGCCGCCGTTCATCTTCTCAGTGAAGCAGGAAGAAGCAACAACGACCTTCGCAGTTGACAATCTCTTCTTCTTCTTGTAATTTCTCAGGCGTTTGGTTTTAGTTTTGATTTTGTCTTGCTTTCCAAACTCTATTTCTTCTTTCCTTTTTCCTCCTGTTTTCTATTTCCTTTTTGTTTTTAAATTTTGCTTGACAAAAATTGAATGACGATCTTTTTTATGAAATACTCAAAGGAGTTTTTATCTGGAATTTTCTGGATTAATCATAAGTTGTTATTTTTGCAACTAACTTCGAATCTTATTTTTTTATAAATTATAATAAATTATTGATTTGTATAAAAAAAAATGAAAATTTTTGGTTACCAAATTTTTATTGCACTTGGTAATAGAATTATTTTTCTTTTGGATTAGAAACATTTTACTATTTATTATAAATAATTAACTTCATTGACCAACAAAGTAAACGAGATTCATAGTTTATATATATATATATATATAAGTGATATTAATTAAGAGAGGGGGAACTAGGACCTCTCAGTGAATAAATAAATACTCTTAACTACTTGAGTTACAAGCCTATTGCAATTAAATTCAGAGTTAACATCTTAACAATAACAATGAACATATTTTTTTGGTATGATAACAAGTTAACATATGTTACATTTTCTCGATAAGGATTAGAGATAGGTGGGAGGTGAATTGTTGGGAGAATACCTTTTATATTGTTGAGAGGAGGGAAACTCATTATGAATTGTGTGTTAATCATCACTTTCTTTGTTATTTGTAATGGCAGTCATAAAGGTGCCCATAATAATACCTACAATGACTATGAAGTTTTATGGCATATTGAGTTTTAGGATGGTTTGATATGCTAGAAAATGAAAAGAAAAAAGAAGTAGTAAGTTGTTTTTTTTATTTTTTTATTTTTTTATTTTTGTTATAATTGGGATAATAATTTTGAAAAATTATGAAAGGAAAAAGAATTGGGCTTAGGCCTGTATCGGCCGAACCAAACCATCTTAAAATGGAATTAGGCTTAGAGAAGGATCAAATTGCATTAAAATTTTAACTGAATAAGTTCTCTAATATTCTACTTAGTTTGGTGGCAAAGACATGTTGCTAGGTCTCATGGCTTGTGGAAGCCCTAGGAATTAATCATAATAGTCTTCACGTAGAAAAATCTTAGTCACTTTCTTTGTGTGAGTCTTAAAGAAGAACTTCATAGAGGGGGAAGGAGGAAGAAGCACCTATGGATGAATGACAATGAATATTTTTCTACATTATACTATAATTGTGGGAGTGATTTTCCTCCCTAGAGAATATTCGTCACAAGATCCCTTCTTCCTCTTTGCTTCTCTTTCTCCTTGCAAAACAACACGAAGTGAAAAGACCACACCCGATGAGTGACAGTAGCTAACAAAGTGTATGGGGATTTCTCTCGGGGAGAACCGGGTGGCTAGAGCCGTGTGTGGTAGCGGGAGCCTTGTGTGTGTGTGTGTGTGTGTGTGTGTGTGTGTGTGGGTGGCGGCTAGGATTTGTGAGAGTGGATTCTGCTGAGTTTCATATGTTCCTCAAACCTTGTGCGTAACCATGTATTTATAGGAGCCTTGAAGGCTAGGATTTCGGAAGAATAATTTCACACATGGAAATGAATTATTCTCCCCCAATTTGGAGAGATTGAATTAATTGGGGATTTGATTATCAAATCCCTAATTTAGTCAAATAATTTCCAAATTGATTGGATTAATTATTTGACTTAGGATATATATATATATATTTGCTTCCACAATAATATATATTTATTATAATAATTCAATGCTTGCAAGGCTTATGCGTCAATACCATAAGGCTTACATGTGGTGAAATAATCCATAAAATATTTCGTTGTATGCCTTAGCGTGTTAAAATATTAGAATGAGGTTCACATGAAATCAGTCCCTTCCAAGGTGTAACTCATGATCCTATAGCAAGAAAGGAATTCAATGATATTAGCTTTGTTATAAAAAAAAAATAGTTTTCCTTTTCCGTACAACCAAATACTAAAACATTTATATTATAAATAACATATAAACAAATTGGAAAGCTTTTAAGGTACAATGAAATTAAAGAAAACAAATTGATAGGTAAGTAAAAGCAAAATAAATAATAAGTAAGAATGTGAGTTTGATACGGTGAAGCACGTCAAAGACGTTGTCCTAAAGCCTTTGTAGCCTCCCTACGTATAGGTACTGACGGTCTACAATACTTCAAGATACGACCCGTTGTACACAAACTCAAGATCCGCTATGAGCACGTTCATAGACGGATATAGGTATCCAAGTCACAGAACCATTGCCAAAATAATAATATAAAGTAGATAAATAAAGGAAGAAAAGGAGAGAATTAGTTTGTGGTGGTGATTATGGTATGTGATATTCTGATGGTGTATTGTGTGTTTCAAATGTGAAGGAGAAATGACCTTTTTATAGGAATCCAAGAACATGTAACCTTCACCAACCAGAAAAATTAAGGCATTCAATATAGAAGTAAAACTTGGATATTAAATATTTATAACCCCCACAATAAATAAAATAAAACAGCCAAAATAATTAAATCAATCAAAACAGTTAAATTTTTAAAACATTTTTTAAAATTCCAACAAGCTTCACCTGCCTAGCTATGTTCCCAATACCTTCATTATATTGGAAAGAAAGAAAGAAACTATAATGTTGATTCTCTGTAATGTTGTGTTGATCAGGTTGAGGAAATTATAGAGGTTTTAAGTTTTCTCTCATTTTGAGGCAGAAGTTTATCATTCCAACTTCATTGCTAGCAAGGGCGGATATTTGTATATTAATCCATTTACTTAAGTTTACAATGTAAATAAAGAAATACACCCCCCTCCCCCCATTTGGATTCAAATAAAAATACTAGAAAATCAAATTCCCACCAAATCAAAATATGAAAAATTGATTTTAGTGCAAAATACGATTTAGGCTAAAATGATGGCTCATTAAGTCAATATATACTTCATACTAAAATCCCATAAAATCAAATTTTCTTATTTGATGTGTAAGGAATAAAGCCGCCCAAATTTATCTTGAGAAAATGATTATTCTGAAAAATCATTTTTCATACTCAGTCAATATTTTTACATAAAACAATTTTTCATGTATGATATGAATGCATGAAGGGACCCAAGGTCAATCTATGTAAAAAGTCTTAGATGTTCAATCCACAAAGAGTTCTTAACCTTTCAAAATTGCACCTCCGCTAAAAATTCATGGGTCCACCAATGTCTACAGCCAAATACTTTAATACTTCAATTACTAATTTTTTTTCTCTCTTCTTTGGTTTATTCAGCTTTTGATTTGGCTCAAATAATATTTATACATCTCTCTAATTTTGTTTTTTTCAAAATTATTGACGTTGCTTTTTTTTTGGAAATATTGAAATATGGACTCTCCTTAACTAAACCACTCCGCAGACTCAAAGTCCTCGAGCTTCAAATTGTTCTTCATCTAAGCCTCTGAATTTAGTTTTTCTAGGTTTTATTTGTTTGCTATAGGTTTCTTTGTTCAAATATCTCTATGAAAATAGTATTTTTCAAATGAATTCTAAAAATAGTTTTTAATCTAAAGAAAATATACCGAATTAGTCAAAAAGTATGCCACCTTCATTAATCTGAAGAAAATATTGCTTTTGATTGCTATAATCGATCCCAACAACAACAACAAAAAATTAGCCCACCCCTGTAAATATTCTTGAGTCCGCCATTGATTGCTAGACAATTAGAAAGTCCCCAAGTCATTCCTATTCCCGTCTTCATTTCTCTGAATAAAGGCAGCTCATTTAGAGACAAAACGTAATGTGTAAGGAAACGACTTCGACAAGAAAGCTAAAAGTCGAAAATCAAAATAATAAACTCTTCTAGAATATGCATTTCGAATTTATTCAGATATCTAATATCCATTTTCAGATTATCCATGTGCAAGTTTCAAATTCTTGGGTCATCCGTTCATTTGTGGGAAGCTCATGAACGCATGAGCGTGCTCCAAATGAAAACCAGCAAGCTTTCTACTAACAGAACATATGATATTTCCTTAGAGGCATGTTAAACACACAGAAAAACTAGCCATTGAACTATGAGAAACATGTAAAGCAGGGAGTTACATAACATGCATGTGACTGACTAATAAGAATTAGAGCATCCAACTCAAGACCGACAACAAATATTGGGTGACGAGACACAATTTTTTTTGATGCAAGGCTTCCGTTTTCCGATGTGGGCTTCAACAACTATGCCTGTTAGAGGTTCCTACTCTGGGAACAAAATCATGGAGAATTATTTTCATCCTCTTAGAATGACTTCTATACGACTATAAGCTCTTCATTCACAGCTCAAGAGCAACAAAAAGGGGGAGGGGGGCTCAATTATTTACAGAGCAGTCATGAGTAAGAGTGGAAGGCTTATTCTAGGACTTGGGTAGGCCATAGGCGCTTCCACCTTGCAATTTCCTCCTCATTGTAAAGCTTTCGGATTCCTCCATAGAAGCCATCTGCTTCATCGCCTTCTTCTCGATGGTCTTTCCTGTTTATCGTCACTTGTCTCCATCTGGATCCAGGAGTGTACTGACTGAACTCCAGTGTTACTGTATCTGTTGAGGAAGAGTACGTCTTTGTCAGAAGCTTATATGTTTTAACTACTACTTCAAATACCAGCAGCAGTACAGAAAAATAGTCTGGGAAAAGCATACTATGAAAACTACTTCCTTCAAATATAGCAACAAATAAATAGTAGAAACAAAGAATGCATGAAAATGAGTGTTTTGCATATGTGCATGATATTAAGTAGTTGGTGTTGTGATGATATGAGAAAATTGAATTCAACAAAGCTTAGTTGTTAGGGAAAATCTTTAGATAGACATGTAAGATTTCAGATTTTATCAATGATTAATGTGCCTCATGTTCCTCAAACTTGAGAAACAGAGAAGTTGCAGCCTCAAATCATCTATACGTCTGGATTTAGAATTTGATCTACTCTAAGTTCACTAATTCATGGGCATGAACACCCAACCTTGCTTCCAAAGCAGTACTGCACTTCAAGGTGCAAATAGAAAGGGAAATCACTCAATCGTTAGAAACAGAGAAGGAAGTTTCAGCCTCGGGTCATCTATATGTCTAGATTTAGATTTAGATCCAGTCTAAGTTCACTAATTCATGGGCATGAACATCCAACCTTGCTTCCAAAGCAGGATTGCACTTCAAGGAGCAAAAAGGGAAATCCCTCAATTGTAAGAAACGGAGAAGAAAGTTTCAGCCTCAGGCCATCTATATGTCTAGATTTAGAGTTTGATCCAGTCTAAGTTCACCATTTCATGGGCACGAAGATGCCAGCTCGCTTTTAAAACAGGATTGCTCCTCAAAGTGCACACAGAAAGGGAAAAATAGAAAGAATAAGAAAGGAATGTCAGCCACCAAGGTAGCAGCTAAAATGACATAATTTTACAAATATAGAAATAAAGGTTGTGCATGATCATCACAACAGATGGATGCATCATATCATGAGTCAGTTAAAAAGAGTAATAAATCATTCCATAGTGAAAAGATATGATTCACATGTACTTTTTCTAACATTTGGAGCAAAAGTGAACCTTCTTAAAGTGTCTAAACTGGTGCAGGACATATGAAAAGAAACCCCATGCTGAAAGTGCTTGCATTCCAAACCATTCAGAGGAAAGGTTATCCAAAATACCCTTGATTTATACATGGAGGCATTAATGTGATCACATGCTCTATGCTTAGTTGTTTACTTATTAACATGAGAAAAAAGTCTGTATTTCCCAGTAATGAAAATGAAATACAGAAAAATCATGAGAATTGCAGAAACTGAAATGATTTTCTCACCACTGTAGTGACAACGGCAGTGATTCTCATGCCCATCACACAACTCCAAGTGACCAATGACACCATACCACCAACCTAAAATACATAAAAATCCACATTATTTTACATTTGTCTACAGAGTAATGGAAATTTTTGAAAACCAGTATCGGCATACAACGAACATTTAACACATCGTGAACCATTAAACATCCAACACTCGTGTTCCAGTAAAATTCAAACTCTAGTATAAAATTGAGCCAGGATTGAAGGTGGGATTTGGGAACACACCATAAGGGAATTCTTTGTTTCTTCTCCACTGGATTTCAATATGATCACCGGGTTTCAAGTGATGTAGACAATCAGTGACATGAAGCTTATGTGAGGGCGTATCAACTGGGGCCGCTCTTAGTCTATCCCATGGTATATTATCCTCTGTTGCCCTCCTCCCATAAGGTGAATACCTGCAAAACAGAATCCATTTCGAATTTAAGAGAGGGCCATCCAAAAGTAAACCTTTCCAGAATCTAAGTTCAGTCTTATATCTTAACATCAATTACTCTCCCTGTTACTCTACCTTGCTTGAAATGTGTTTGTCCTTGAATCATAGCTCACTTGTGCATCATAACAGGACAGCATAAAGCCTACATTACCATTCTGCAGGAAAAGAAAATAAGGTTTTCATTGAATTGTTAAACAACAACAAAAAACGACATCAAATAAAAAAATTGTGCAAACTAAAAATTTGACTACAAAATATCAAATTGAAGCCATACCTCACGGTTATAGACCTGAGCTGGGAACCAGAACTTGCCACTTTCAAGAGAAAGATACAGAGACATGACTGGCTCAACAGGTAAACTAGTCCTCGCTTTGCAATCAGAAGTTGCTAATTTTGGTCTGATCCATGAAAAAGGCCAAATTTTACTCACAAGAGACTCAAAAAGACCTTTTTTCTTGGTTTGATCAGAGATATTTCTGACTCTGCTTCTTGAGGCCACATGTAATTGCCATTCTCTATAAGCAGCAGCCCCAATCAGTCTACCCCATTTCTCCATCATGTGCCTCTCCCATAAACGATCATCTCTGCACCTCTCGCTCAAAGAAGTACAAACTCCTCCCATAGTGCACAACCCAGATGGGGAAAGCTTCTCAAGAATGCATTCCAAGGTCAAGTCAGGCAAATCCAGGAGAGAGAGACTGTCTCTCTCCTCCACATTCTCTACTTTTGAACTAAAATTCATCATCTTTTTCAATTTGCAGATGATGGGTTGGAACAACTCAATAGCAAGCCTACTTTTCTGGAACCAGGACACAAGAAAACTTGAAAACTCACCCCAAAACCAAAAAGAACTCAATTTTAGCTTACCCTCCCATGCTTGTATTGGCTTGTGAGTGAAGGACTTGGAAATAAGGATGAATGAGACACAAGAAATTAGGAGGTAAAGCATTTGATTGATTGATTGGAGATTGGCATCAAATGAAAATAAGAGAAAGTTCTAGTTGCAAGTGAAACAATGGTGAATGCAAATATATAATGTGGGAGATGAGACAAAGGGTAAAAATGACAACTATTATTTTTCTCTTTTTTCATTTGACAAAGAAAGATGAACCAATGAAACTTTTTTCCCTTTTTTTTCTTTTTTATGGGATCCAATGGAAGTTGAGAATGTAGTTATGAGCTATAGGTTGGCCAGAATTAATGGGTAGGCTCATGGAGTGGGCCTTTTAATTAAGAGAAGTTAATTCACACACTGCAACTGGTTGCTGTTGGGTAGCTAAAATTCTACTTTAAGATTAAATGAAATGGCATCCAGACACAGTGAAAACCCACCAGCAGGAGGAGAACCAAATTGTACAGACAAGTGAGTGGGGGACAGCTGTCAGCTCACAGATTGAAAGGATTTGAGAGGGCAGTAAGAAATTATAATCTTAGCCTTCAATCTTCATGTGAGTTTTGGAGGAGAACCCATCAAAGAGTAAAGATTGAGAGAGCCACCTGTCATCAAAAATTTTGAAGTTAGGTGAATTAACACAAGGCCTAATTGTAATAATAACAATGGTAGGTGAATAGGTGGTACTAGATCAGAATTAGGTGAATTAACACAAAGGTTGCCCCCTAAAATTGGCAAACTAATATAGAAGAAACCCAAGTTTGTAGCAGAAGTTTTGATGATTCACATGTGGATGAACCTGAAGTTGAATGTGAGTCTTCCTTGTTTCATCCAATTTTTATAACAACTCCCTTTTGTTTATATTTAATATGTCAAGAAAATGAGAGCATGCAATATTTGTCTGGCATATACATCTTGAGCGTTTGCCATTTTTAACCGTTCGCATATCTGAGGTTCGCATTTCATCAACGATGAGAAATCATATTCTTTAACCTGTGTGACTGATTTTAATAAAAAAATTATAAACGATGAGAATTGTATACACGTGTGTAGACTGACCTTAGTAAAATTCTTATCTCATTAATTGAGTCTTGGGGGTTTATACTTAGATAGGGATTGGTGGCACATTTTGGTAAGAGATGTCACAAGACAAGAAAATTATTAGAGAGCCTCAACCAGATTACTTGCCTAACTTCCACCCAACTCCAACACCTCCGGACCACAATAACCATGCAATAATATTGCTTGCACAAACGGTGCCAAAATGGCCCATTAAGAAAGACGACGTGACGTTTTATGACTTTGTTGAATTGAAATTTGTGAATACCAATGGATGACAAAAAGACATGCATGGGACTCTATGTCTTGGCCTTGTTGCCTCTGATGCTTCCAATGTCCTTCCATGTTTTTTTTCTGCTTATGCCATGAGCTTTGATACAATGGCACTTCCCCCTTTTTCTACTTTTATTATTTTAAATACCATTAATAATATTAATATAAACATACCTTGTATTTTAATCAAACTTAAGAGATATCATCTATGTTCAAATTCCTAACTTTTTTTTATATTAAAAAAATCACTTTATTTATTTTAAACAGTCAATCTGACAATTCCTAGGTTTTTGTCCACAACTTAGAAGGAATGAGACCAAAAATGGGACATATTATTTTATTTGCAATTGTAGCTTCATCTTATGCATGTCAAGGACTGATATAATCAAGGGGTGACTATCTACCAATAACAACTATGCCCTAAATTTATTACTTCCCAAAATAATCTCACTAAGGGTTTTGAGTACCGGAATTTGTACACGTGGTCCGTTTTCTATAGAGTGGCAAACCAGTCAGGTTAGAAAATGACATGTGTATAAACTTAATATTTAATATTTATTTCTTTAGCACATACCATATTCTTTGAACGAAAAAACCTTATTCTAGATATTCTAATTGAATGTTTCTAATACTCAATATTATCGCGTGATAAGAACAAACCTAACAAAAAAATTTCCCCACCAAATAGTATTTGAAAAGTTAAAGTAAATAGAACTAGAGGCACTAAAATAAATTGGATGTTGGAGATACCAAAATCACCTTATTAGCTCTTTAATGATATGGGCTAATGAGATGGTATCTGAGGCTAGAGCTACATGTGATAGAATCTTGGTCTAGCCATAAAGTGCCCTATGATATTATCCTCCAAATCTTTTTGGTGCACATAGCATTACATGCCCAAGCAAGCAATAGCCTCAAATCATCTCAAGCAGGGCACCATCTCTTAAACAACCACCATTATTGAGGCAGGGGGCTAATGGTATGATCTTAAGGCGTCAGCATTAAGATTTTGCTGGGCCACCAAAAGAGAAAGGGGCAATATTATTATTATTTTTTGTAAATAATAATAATAATAATATAATAATAATAATAATAATAATAAATTGTCCAAAAAGAATTGTGTTGGCATGGGAGGGGACTAGGAAGAAACAATGTGTTAAAGATCTTCAGATCAAGTGGGGTCTTATGAAAAAGAGTTGGGCAACTAGTGTGGTGGAAGTTGGATCAAACTCAGGGGGGTGGGGTTGGTCCAACACCACCCAATTATCACATGAACTCAACTCCACTACTTCACCTTTCTTTTTCTTTCAAGTGAAAATGCATTTCCATTAGCAAAGCTAAAATATGAAGCCTTTTACAATTGGTAGTTGGTGATTGTTTTGTCCCAAGTATGCCAAAAAGCCTAAAAGCTTGTTCGATTGCAGAGGCAAAAGCAAAGCATAATGGAAAAGAACAACCATGACAGTGATTGAGCTCTTACAATTTCAATATATTTTTATTATTTCTCTTGATAATGGTAATGATTGGAAGTTTTGCATAGTAATTTTAAATCTATCATCGTACAGAACAAGGCTATTCACATGTTAGGCTCGTCGTCACATATGAATTGCCCGTGTATTTAACTCAAGTGACACTTACCTATTCATTTCTTTAATTTTCCCATCACGTTCAATAAAGAAAGAGTGTTTAAATTAGTAATTGAGAGGGCGATTATACCAATGAGCACTACAATGCAAAACCTTTCTCTTTTCTTCCTTGTTCTGTTTCTTTGGCTAAGGTATTCACAGAATCACAATGGAGCTGAACAGGACAAAGAATGTTGTTAGTAGAATTCTCCCGCAGTGATATTTGCCCCCCATCGTCACTAATATCAATGGGATGTTGATTAGTTTGGAGTATTCAGCCTCCGTGCAGCATCACAATCTATGACATGCCCATCCAAATCCAACAATTTTAACAAAGTTGGAAGACCAAAAAGGTCAAATTGCCATGAAATCCTGATAGTTTTGATCATTTTCCACTCTGATTATACTCATACTTAACTAGCAGTTCGTACAGTGGTACGTTTCTTCTTAATAGAGAAGACATGGCCTGTGAAGCTGTGGTTCCTCCTAAGTGAGGTGGGTTGCAGCCAACCACAGCCATAGACTGATTCCATGCCTGAACCCCAGCAATCGTTACACGCTTGGCAATATTGAAACTACAAGAACAAGATGCATAAACCAAAATTGGAATTGTTTTGAGAACTATTTGGTTTCTAGCTTTCAGTTTTAATATTTTTTTCTAGCTAAAGGTACAGGGAAAGTATATTAGGGAATAAGCAATGAAGAAAGGTGGCGAGAGGAGAATGTGTGTAGCATAAACTAGGTGGTGAGAAAAGTAAACCTAGTTTTCATTTTTTACCTCATTCCATAGGCATTTTTTCCATTTCCTTCCAGCCACTCTTCCTCCACCCTTGTTCATCCTCTCTTCTCCCCAGTATTTGCTCTCTATTTCTAACAAAATCTAAAACCTAAAAACAAAATAGTTATCAAACAAGCCTTAATGGCTTGACGCCAAAGAGAAACGTTGTTTTCTGTAAGAGGGGCTAACTCGCAAACACACATACAAAGTTGCCGTAAAGCGAGTAAAACAGACCATAGATGAACAAAGGCACATGAATTAAGACGGCTGGAAAGCAATAGGAAAATGGAGCTTGAGTTCATACCCAGCATATTGCAATCGAATTTTCTAGCTTTACACATTGTTAGATTGTCATGTGAAACCATTTTTCTGCGAAGATCTACAACTCCCAATAAGAAAATTAGCATAGAATCATAAATGTGACTTTTGCACAAGAGTACAACAGAATATCCCGGTGTCTTCACAGTACGAAGGAATGTGAGGATGCTTAAAGACCTAATCCAACAGTACGGCCATCTCTTCTTCGCAGTCCAGCAGTGTACTGCTTCTCTAAATCCATTTGGAGTTCCTTCTGCTTCTGATCTTCGTTCTCGGGTTTCTGTTCCACCTTTACTTCGCCCTTCACACCCTACAATTGGCCATAGGCACCAAGGCAACCTCAGACTCTAAAATTGTGTTAGTAGGTGAAGAAACTCTATAGGGCTAAGTCAGTCATTTAGGAACCAAAAAAGAAAGGTTCAATTTGGTATTAATTGTACTTACACAAAATAAATAAATGGAACGGAGGTTTACCATGAGTTTGTTGAATTTTTCTTGTCTTTCCCGATCAGAAAACAAAGTTGTATCCCAACGGTGGCCAACCTGTATAAACGGAAAAAGGGGCATCTAACAATTTACACAAAGAGAAGCTAGACCCAACAGCTCAATAAAACCAATAACATTAATGGTGTATACTTCCAAATAAAATAAAAATAAAAGTACTTTTTTCTCAGCAAGGACTTTGGATATTTTTCATGTTGTTCAAGAAAAAGATATTGTATGTTGCATAACCCCGTTATTTTGTAGTAAATAAGAATAATAATTGATAGGTATTTACAAATTCAACATAACATTTTTCATATGTAAGTGTTTCAAATGCAAAGCACGTGATAATAAGTTTGAATGCTGGAATTTTAACTTTGGGGATGTTATTTGACGAAACTAAAATAACAAACCATAGGAGGTACCTCTTCTGCTGTTGTGCTCTTTTTGTTTCCCCACAGCAGCTTTTTCTTCTGGTCAGCAGTCATGCATCCCACAGGGCCAACACCGATAAGGTTCCTATTAACTGCATATACAGAAACAGATATTTTCACATGTAGCCAAGGAGTTTAAATCTGTGGAACATATACTCCGTTATAATTTAGTGTCCAATTCTGATTACTCATCGAAGTTGAATGTCACATCAATATAAAATTATGATACTTGAGACAGATTTCTTAATTGACAAAGATGGATCAGCTCAGCTTAGCTATGTCATCAAATCCACAGGGACACATTTCATTTCACAAGTGTTACCACCTTTTGCAGGACATTTGTGAGAATGTGAACAAAATATGGATTGCCATTTCACTGAGTAGGACAGGAGCAAAAATTTGTGTTACACTCACATGTGTTGTTTTGTTTAAAAATTAAATACTTATTGAGATAAGGAATAAGTCAATGTGCTGGAATTAATGCTGCCTTGGAGTTAATGCCTGACTAGATGGCAAGTGGAACGTTGACTTAAGTTGAAAATAAAATATCGATTTATTGATCTATATTCATTGACTAAACCTGAATTATGAAAATATTTATTGACCTAAACCAAAATTTGATATTGCTTAATTTGGGCTTTTATCATTGCTGCAAATTGTTATAGGCAAAGAACAACAGGAAAAGTCAAGGATGACAGGAGATAATTACAAGAAAATGATAGACGCTACTAGAATCACACTAGTACGATTTTAGGAATTGCTAGAGACCTTACGCATCACAACAGGAGTTACGTTGCATCACATAATCCTATAGAAGCATATGCTTGCTGAAAATTTGTGTAAGTTTATTCCCGTCCCCAAATTTCTTTCACACCTATATATAGAGTTCTCCTAGGCTGAATGCGGTACGTAATTCATGACTCCCAATCATACAATCGAGCCATATTAAATACCAAAAATCTACCCAATTTATCAATCCTAGACATAAAGGAATGTGTATATATATACACACACACACACACATATAGATGAAACAAAAGTTCTGTGAAAAAAGAGAAGTACAAAACAATGGTCAAGATGTCCACAGGAACAAACAACTAGAGAATTCTAAAACAGTACCAACTACCAAAAGAAACAACAGAGAACCAGCAAAGAAACAAAATCTAGTAGTAACCAGTGGGATAAGGTGGTCTTGATTATAACCATGCAAAGATCCCAAGTAGGCCCAACATCATACAACAGATGCAAATTAGATCTTGGCCTTTAGAGCTCTCCTTTCCATGTTTGAGGTAAAGTTTTAAAGGCTGTTTCCGCTTATTCCTCCATCACCTTCACAAAGTGACTCTCCAAACTTTTGGTTTAGGACTGCACAGATTCACAGGGATCACTGGACCAGCAGCAGATGCAGTGTCCAAGCACATAACCTTACATTCTGTTTCTCAAATCATACGGACAAGGATGGAAGAACTCAACCATTCCCTTAGTCATCCAGATGTAATGCCAAGTTAAAATCTTACCAAGCTATGACTAAGAGACATATGGGTGAGATAAAGCTATGAAGTGTGCAGCTAGTAAGGATGAGATGGAGTCTCACCAAGCAAAGAACCTATGAAGTCTGTTTTTAGATAGGTTTCTAAAGATGCACATTTCATGGCTTTATCTCATCCTTAAAAGAGCTCCCTGTGTTGCACTTGCACAAGCTTTCTTTGATATTCTTTCCAAATTTCAAGGAGTACCCAAGATGATTGCGAGTCATTGAGATAGAGAACTTACCCCAATAACTTCTAGCAGCAACTATTCAAACTCCAAGGAACAAGTCTCCATTTCAGATCCACCTTAGCAACTATCTTACTCTATGGCCAAACTGCAGTGGTAAACAAAATGCTTAGTGACTAAGCTTGTTGTTTCCCAATGATTGGCTCAACTATCTTACTATGGCAGATTACTGGAATAACTTTAATGTTAATTCTTGTACTAGCCTCTCTCCTTTAGAAGTAGTTTATGGGCACGAACCACCAAAGCTTAGTTACTGTGTTACTGGGTCAAGCTCTATACCACAGGCTGACAAGAACTAAGGAATTGATTCCATTTTAAAGTAGTTGTGTCACAATTACATGAAGCTAAAAGGCACATGAAATTTTGCAGATAAGAAGCGGTGAGATCATGTTTTTCTGGTAGGAGATTAGGTCTATTTCTGCCTACAGCCACATAGCCAATGCTTTACGCTTTCACCTTGAGGTTACAGCCCTTTTCAGATTTTAGAAAGAATTAGAGCACTGGCTTACAAACTAAAGATTCCTGCTTCAACCAAACTAAAGACTGTCTTTCATGTCTATGCCTTAAAGAGAAATTGGATTCCCTTCCCAAAGTTTGTTAAGAAGGACCTAGAGGTCAAGCCTTGTTAAATTAAACAGGGCCCAGAGATGCAAAGGCAGACAAAATATAACAGAGGCCTTAGTGCACCAAGTAACTACCAGAGAAAACACTACGAAGAACGTTCATTAAACCTGAGGTGGATTTCCAGAACTTGCCTTGGCGACAAGGTTACTTTAACAGAGACACATTTTATGGGCATAATTATTAGTTGTGCAGCTTTGGTTTCTCTCTTTTCTCTTTCAGTAAATTTTGATAAGTTTGTTTCTGTGTAGCACTTTGGATACATTTACTTTTTTTACTTGGGTCTTTGTTGAAGTCGTACTTCTACGAGTTTTTTTAAACTTTGTGTTTGCCTAACAAACAACTCTATCTTTCTCTTAGACCAGCAAATCTAGAAAAGACAACTACCCCAAAAGTCCCTTTCATCTAGCATCTATTACTTTTCCTTCAGCAAGAGACCAAATACATTAGGCTTGGGCCAAGAGATGTAAAATGACACATCATAATACGATATTAAACAATACACACATACATCCACACATTTTTCTTTCTTTAAAAAGAGATGCACCACCTTGTTCTTGGGCCAAAGGGGCATAACATAGTACCCTAATGACATAATACATTTGAGGAATTCCATCTCAATTGTCAAATCGATGCATGGATGAGATACACCTCAACAGTTCATATCTAAACAAACTTCTGAGATCTCATGACCTCAACTTAAGTCCTCACTAAAAATCTACTGTGCACATACCCAGGTGCTAGTAATGAATTCAAAAAACAAGAAAAATAAGTATATAATCTTCGAGATTAAACACTTTCACTTTCAGTCATTGATCCTAGTAAGAGAAGATCTCACAACCTAAGATTAACTACTTATGTTAGCTCCTTTAACTACTTAACAGAACTGCATTGTTGTGTGTATGTGTCAATATAATATATTTTGGTATGGGTATGTATAACAATATATAGTATATTGTCAACATTTGGTTTCATGCCAAAAATTGTCCTGTGGATGCAATATTTAAAAAAGGTACCACATACCCAATTCAGCAGCTTTCAACGCAGCACCTTGGCAGCATTTATATCATTAGCCGCCTCTGCATCATTGGCCTGAGTTTTTTCAGTAGTCATTTCTCTTCTTGAACTTGCTTGGAACTTGAAGACTCCCTTCCATCTGCTGTAGTTGTGAACTTTGAAACTAAACAAAGAGTAAAATCATTGGAGAACAGACTTAGACTAGCACTTTTAAGGATTAAAATCAAATACAGAAACATAAATAAACCATTACCATCTTTTCGACCATCAATGCCCTTCTCTAAGCTAAATAACTTTGGTCTTTTGCAGTAGATTCTTGATTTTCGCTCTTTATATAATCTTTATCTGCAGACCGCTCTGATGGTTCTCTAGTAATTCGGTTGCCCCTACTAGTTTCCTTATCATCATATTTCTTCCTTTGCTCTTTGAAACGTTGTCATCATCCAATTCCTTTAATTCACTCTGTAACCTTCTTTCATGCGATGTTTACCTTCATCTCTCCTGGAATTGAGTCACTTCGTTGCCCCCTGGACTCTTCATATGAGAAAATCCGTTCACTTATATAATCACCTGAATTCCTACGGTAATCCTTTTTCTCATCCTGAACATCTCTGTCCAATACATGCCTGTCTCGTTCCCTTTCCATCTCTTCAAAATGTCCATGTCTCCTGCCAGATCCAACTCTCTGAGATGATGAGTCCTTATCTTTATATTTCTGGTTCTCAGGAAATGAAGATTCTCTATCTTTATCCTTGTTCCTATATCCAGAACCATCATATTTATCACGAGAATATTGTCCAAATTTCTTGAATAGTCTCTTGACCTAATATGATCATAATGAGCACTACCTCTTGACTCCCTACCAGAACGAGAAGATAACTTCTGATAATTTTTATCTTCTCATCAGCGTGTTTGTCATGTTTGATACAGTCATCATGCTTATAGTACCCATGCGAACTTTGGAGGATTTTCTATCAAATGCCAGTAGGAATCACTGCTTCTTCCATAATACCTCCTGTTTTGAATCCCTCTCTAATTCCCTACCATCATCTCTCCTTCTTGTTGATATTCAGAGACTTTTCCAGGGTCTTCCCTTGAATTTTTGGGCTTACAGTTATGCTCATGCATAGGACCCTCCTGAAAAAAAAAAAAAAAAAAAAAAAAAAAAATGGAATGGACCTTTTTTTTTGCACGACATCAAAGACTTCTTACAATGACCCACATTTTGACTCGAAAATGACAAAAAAACAAAAACACACACCCCCCATATCATTCCACCTCTGAGCCACTAGATTACCCGACTGTGCATACATTTTGATAAAAATGAAAACTTGGAAAGAAATCAATTGATACAACCGTCCTTCTACTACTTCAAGCATCAAATTACAATATGCAGAGCAGTAAGTAGAATCAGCACCACCACTTATACATTAAGTGCTAAGTCAAATTGCCAATTCACTATAAAAAAAAAGCCTTTCGATACTCCTCAGCACCATTTTAACTTGTGAAAATGGAAACAAAAAATTTGGAAAACTGACCATCAGAGGGAGATGAACCGCCAACTGGAGAACGACGCCGATACTTCCTGTTGGCTGCATCAGTTGCAGGCTTGCGAAATGCTGTTTTTGCATCACCACCCATCTGCAGCGGGTGGAGAGTCTAAGTTTAAATCCATGATAGCTACCACCTGACAGCACCAATTTCATTAGTTTAGCATGGAAAATGAAACTATTAAAACTCAGCTCACGTTAAGGCAATTTATAGGGCCCAAACACATACCCAAAACCCTAACCCTAACCTCAACCCTCTATCTCCGTCCTGGTTCGACAAAATAGAAAAGGGGGATAGGGTTTTCGTTCTCAAGCTTTTGATTGAGGAGAGAAAGACGAGAAATATAAGACAGAAGAAGAGGACTCACCAATGCTTTGCTGTGCGTCAAAACAATCTGCTCTCAGATCGTCTGTTTGGATCAACGTTTGTGCGTGAAGGAACAGCAAAAGAGTTCCTTCTTGTGCGGGGGAGAAAGAAGGTTCCTTCGTCTTTAGCTTTTGGAGTGGTTCTTTTCTGTCTGGTTTGGGCCTTATCCGTTTGGGCTAATTCTTTGTTTTTCATATCATTGTTCGGCCTTCTCATATTTGGGCTCTGTATTTGGTTCTTCCTCCTGCCTATTTTTTTGTTTTGTTTTTTTTTTTTTTTTTTTTTTTTTTTCCCAACGCAAAAATGGGTAAGGGTTAATTTCTGGGGAGCTTCAGTATATAGTTTTTCTAGTTTACTAATATGGAAGCTCGCTATACAGTCCAAGCCAGCCCACCAAACAGGGTTTAGGGTTTAAAAGAGAGAGAGAGAGAGAAAGGGTGAGGTTCTGAGCTGAGGTTTCGTTTTTTCTTTAAATCGCACCGCCATTTCCATTTTCCCTGCTAGGGGTTTCTGATGCTTACTGTCGCCATGTGGGGCTCTTCGTCGTGCTTTCTCTTCCTCTCAGGTATATATGTAACTCTTTCGTTCTAGGGTTCCTGTGTTCATCGTAGTCTTTTAAAGGTTTTAGGGACGGATTAAATTATGGGTTCAGAGGTTTTAGGGGCTTCCTACTTAAGTGCGGGATTATGGGCGTCTGTGTTTTTATTTTATTATTTTATTTTTGAATTTTGTATTACTAGTGTCAGTTTATCTTGTATATGCAATTAATTAACCCCATCGGAATGAAAGATGAGAATATTCTGAAGGATATTAAAAATAATGTTTTTACATGCTACCTTTCTAAAAGCAAATACAAAAGCAGAGGAAAAAGAATGGATTCATGGAGTGAAGGAGACTGGGTAAGTTAGTTTCTTTTTTTCCTACCCTATTAGAAATTGTCTTACAGATTATGAGATAGGGCAACATAATTTCTGATGTTGTATCTCTCTGGATATCTTAATATAGAGAATAACAACTAGAGAATTTACCATTGTTTCGTATATTTTCTTAAGATACAATGGTATCTTTCTTGGCCTCACAGATTCATATATGATTGTATAGTAGAAGCTTGACTCCCATTCCATCTTATGAATCTTATAATGTATAATCATTTTAGTATATATGTCCTGCTTTTTTAGTTCATTTTGCTTTTTTGCAGGCTGTGTGCTAGTAAAATTCTTTATTTTTTGGTTACGTTATGTTGCCTATATTTTGTTTTGTGATATATGTGATACTTAGTTTTCCTTTTACGTCCAGGAGCCAAGCAGTTAACATAAGAAGTTCTCGTGCATGTGTGCTAATTGGAGCTACCAATCACCTACGGACAAGAGGATGCTTGTTTCCAATCAATGCCTGATGGAGCCTGTCATCCAAGAGATTATACTACACAACACAAGTTCTTGGAACTTCTCAGTGGATAGACGCAGCTTTTCTTCACAAGCTGGTGCAGAAAGCAGTGGAGAGAAGATGACTTGGAAGATGGGTTTCTGACTAGAACACTACCTAGTGCTGAGGCTTCCCAACATGATATGAATTAATTTCTGAACCAGACTCTCTGACGATGAAGAGAGTTGAGCCTTCTCAACATGAGTTGGAGTTGTCAGAGAATGGGGCTGATTCAATGAGAAAAGATCACCAAGGAAGGAATGTTTCAGAACTGTTCAAGGCCATTTTAGCTTTTCCCGGGGTTCTCTGTCATGAGCTCTTGATAAGTGGGTTAAAGCAGGAAATGATCTAATAGGCAGAGATCGCTGGCCATGTTCCATTTTCGCAAGCGTCAAATGTTTGGGAGGGCATTACAGGTGATTTGACTTTATTTCTATCTATACGTAAAGATGTTGATAATTAGACAATAATATCAATGGTTTTTCTTTGGTCTTAGCTGCATAATTTGTTCTGTCAAAATCCTTTTGGATTTTAGTGTATATATTATACTGTACAGATATCACAACATAGCTGATTACACAGAGAGAACATATTTGAACATAGCTGCTGCTTGGTTGAGCCTTCCTGCACTTTGTGTGTGAATTTGTTAAATATAGCAGTTGCATCAACCTCAAATATCCAAAAATGTTTGGCTAGCTAGGTGTGGGTCGTTTTCTGTGTGCAAAATGTTACGTTCCACTTGTTGGTATCATATAATGTCTTTAGACTTTGGTTTTTCTTTTCTCTTAGGAACATAATTTCCAGTGTAAAATAAATAAATACCGAGGACAAGTTATTAGGACAGAATTTCATTGTAATAATAGATAAATACAGAGGACAAGGTGTACAAGTTTCTAGAGAAGGTGCGGGCTCTAAACCATTTTACAAAAGGACTGCCAAAAACGCTAGCTAACCAACCTTAATTGCAAAAGACCACACCAAGTAGTGTGGCGCCAACCAATCTAGAATTATAGCTTTTACGTACAAGGGACATCCGAAAAACTAACTTACCCATGGAAGGTCCACTCCTCATTCCACCTGGTCACTACAACATTCTTCACTCCTCTTCCATTCACACCAACATGAAGAGTCCCCTGACAGCATGTCTCCCTACACCTGCACATATTGTTTCCCACCAAAAACTTATACATCTCAATAATAATGCCCAATCTTTAGTTTTAGTTCTGTATTTTGTAAATATTGACCAGGTTTGAGCGGGACAGACAAGGGTAAGTGTTTGAGTATGGTGTGGGTTAGAATGATAGAAATGGAGAAATAAATATGTAGAGCAAAGACGTTTGAGAGTGCAGTTCTTTTAAGAAGGCAAGTGATCAAGAAGATTTAGAAAGAGAGAGGACGAAGTTAAAAGACACACAAAGCACCAACCTTCCACAAGCCTTTCATTCATTCCAGTCTGATCTGCTCACAACAGATAGCTGATTTTTAGGCTTCAAATAGAACGTTCAAGGACTTCTACAAAAGCATTGATTCTTGAAATTTAAAATCATAGGAGGATCCTAGAAACTTAAAGACATTGTGGTTTCATAAACCCAAAAAAATGATCTTGACTCAGTTATTATTTCATTCTTTTCCTGAATTCTGCACTACCATGGATATTTCCCCTCTCGACTCAAATGTTTTAATTTTTGAGTTGGCCCGAATGGGCTATTCTTAGGCTTCCAAAGAGGCTGCTTGTCTCTGGCCATCTGTGGACTGTCTTGTTACTAGGATTATCTCTTTTTTTTTTAAGTAAAACAGACAATGGCTGTATGGTTTTGTCTTCAAACCGGTCTATGTACAGATTAAGTTTTTTGGTGTCTAACAGAGAGTTATATATCATAAGTCATTCTATCTTCGCAAGACTTCGATTTCTTGATCTTTTGTGGAAAGTTAACAGAAATGTTACTTTTAATCTATCTATATTAGACCATAATCTTACGTTCAGCCCTGTTGACTAAGAGGATTAGACCCAAAAATGAATGGTAGAGGACTTGTAACCAGAAGGTACGTCGCATGCTGGTGTTCTATTACTCTTAGAATCCGTCCATACTCTCAAGTGAGAACTTTTTATGAACTTTCTTTTAAAGTTTGACCTTAATGCCCTTTTCCTGTTTGGTTTGAGCATGTCCTCTAATTCAAAGATCTCTTTCTTTCTTAGATATTCACTTAAAGATTAATTATAGTGTTACCCTTGTCTTTAACTTTTGTCTAAATTCTAATTTCATCGTCCCATTAACTCCATTATTGGTTTCAAGGCTGGTGACAGTCTTTGGCTTCTCACATTGTTTGCTCTTTATTTTCCTTTTACGTTATCATTGTCATACAGTCTGAGGACGAGTTATAGTCAAAGACATTATGGTTAACAAGTCTTGTCTACCATCGGTTTACAGTAATTTTTAGCGCTTGTAATTTGCTTTACAAAGAGGGTTTTCACATGTGAATGTGGTTGTGCGTTCTGTGTTAGTACTGGACATTGAGTATTTCATTCGTTTCTATAAAGGAAAAATGGATGATACCCCCTCAACGGAGACAGTGAATTGGGTTTGCGAAATGCAATGGATATACGTATATACTATATGTTAATAGACTTTCTGTTTAGCGCTTTGGATAAATTAACTGGTGACGCATTAACTTTAGCGCTTGAGTCCATTTTGCGTACGTTTTTATGGCAGATAAAGGAAAAATAGGCTTGAATCATGAATTTTCAGATATTTTGATTGAAATTCGGTGGTTTATGTGAAAGGACTTATGGCATTCTATACTTGGCCACTTATGTCCCATTGTTTATCTTATGTTTGATTTAACCAGAATAAATTTGTCATGGTGTACTTCCTGTTCGTTTTTTTGTCAATAGATTATATAATGAAATGGTAGTATCTATTCTTGGGACCACCAGTTGCATCTCTTTTTTGTGGTTCTTCCTAGTTCCTTAAAAGCTGATTCGTGGTCAGGAACTTTGAGATTGGTGATGCGTTGTCAACCTTTGCACTTTCGAGTGGTGGGAGCACATATCAGATTGAATTGTTTGAAAGCGATGATGCATCTCGTGTTGACATTATTGCCAAGTACGTGGGCCCTCGCTAAAGGCAGAGAAATACATTGAGACAATTCCCAGCATCCTTTTAGAGGTGAGGTAATTTACGAACCCTGTTGCATACGCTTGTCTCTACCCACAATTTTTAAGACATCTGAAGAATTTTCAACAAAAAAGAAGCCCTGAATTCCCATCACACATTTACTTGCCAACCAGTTGCTACTCCTCTACAATAGGCTTGCAAGAAGAACAAAATTGCAGATGTATACTGTTTAATGGGAACGAACATTTTTGTTCAGCCGACGTCCTTTACTTATAAACTCTTAATAGATTACCAAGGCCCCCTTCCATGACATGACTGGGAATGGGGTCAAGTTTGATGTAGACAATGAAGGCTGACGGCATTGGAGCCATGCGTCCGTAAAAGCCATCTTGGCTAAGGCCCTATGCTGCTGGCGGGCTTAAAGATAAAGCTGAGGCAGTTTTGACAGATATGGAAGGGCGGAAACTTAAAGTAGTACCTGTTGGCTGGCAGCTTTGCTTCCTCTTTATGCTGAGTATCGGGACAGGTTGATGAAGGGGGGAGGAGTTTGGAAGGTCTGTTCGTCAAATCCTCGGTGCTTCAAGAGTGCCTGGCTGCATTAAAGCTGGGGAATATGAATAACATTGAGAAGCAAGGCGGCATTTTTTAGAAGATGTCGAAATCCATTTAAGAAACCTTTCCTTCACGCATTATATGCTTTTTGAGGTCATGCACATGTACCGAAGCTCACCAAGGTAAGATCTGTTAAGCGTATGCCTATAGCATGTGCATCGCCCGTTTATTTTGGGATGCCCTTGTTAAACTCTATGTGGAAGCAGTTTACCTTGAAAAGGCTGACTCTATGTTGCAGAAGGCCTGCCCAGACGAAACCCGAAGAATCCACTGTTCAATTCTTACCTGACCATTATGGATCAATATTCAAAGAAAGGTGGCACCCATACCGCAGAAAAGATAGTTATAGGATGAGAAAGGTGGTGTATACGGCTCGATTTCGTCAGTTCAAAATCTCTAATTCAGGCCTATATAAAGGCAAAACTTCACCTTATGGAATCTGGGAGCAGGGAATGAAGGCAGCAAGATAATAATTCCAACACTCTTTACTGGCAAGCTGGCACAAGTTGATCAAATTAAGAGACAGGCGGTGTCTGAGTTGCTTGATTGAGGATTTGATGGCTTCTCTTGGTATCCAGTAGTTTAACCAAGAGTTACTTGAATCCTTGATCTCCCGTGCGAAACTATCTGCCAGTAATTTGTAGGGTTCAGCCTATAAATGTCTTTTCCATCTTTCAATCTTATAATTCGGAAACGAGTTTTCAATGTTGAGGATCATTTACTGATAAGGGCAAAACCTTGTGGTATTAGCGATGTGAGCTTGAGTTTTTGGAACATACTGGGTGCTGTGAGATTTTGCAGGTTTGAGGGCATGAATGTGCGATTTTGATTCTAAGTACACTTCTGGAGAACTCACTTCAATCATTATTGATTTGAATGCAAATCTCGGGACGTTTGCTCATCAACTGCAGCTTTGTGAATGGTTGATTTTTTTACATTTTTCGGTATGGAAGAAAAATCCCAAATCGCAGGGGCTTGTATATCAAGTGGCTAAAAAGCAGTTACCCTGAGGGTGCAATAGTAGAACCAAATATCTACCCGACCGAACCTCTTCATAACTGTTTTTATACTTTACCATCACCTTAGCAAATTACATTTGGGGAACCCAACTCTTTTCAGTCTTGGCCTGGATTGAACCCATCCAAATGCAATAAATATGTGAATGTATAAAATAAATAGAAGGGATGATCACCATTACACTCCAATTACCTCCACATTTGACTAGATGGTAACCTATGTTATTAGTATTGTAATTAGTAGCCTTTAACTCATAATTATGGGTTCGCTTCTTATCATTGTACGCCTATAACTAACGTGATAGCAAAAGAAAAAGTGACAATTTTAGAGAAGAATTTGATGTCTTCCTCTACTCCTCGTTTCTCTCTACCTTCCCGTGATACATTTAAAAGGGGTTTTTTCCAATAAATCATTTAATGTGGAACTCATAATCACTGTGCTTGCACATCAATTAGGCAACAAATGTTCATTAATTCCAATATAGTTACGCGTCTATACTTCCAGGGTGTCGGGTTTCGTTACTGAGTCTTGCTGGGCGTTTGTTACAAAATTTCTAACTTCTGGGAAATGTCTGCTAAATTTTGTGGGGTGTGTCTAGTTAATTAATTATATTGCTGGGGCCAGAGATGAAGGGAAAAGATAAAATAATTAACTGGAGCAATTTTCAGGATATACTCAAGATCCACCTTCTAGTCGTATGAATGGAGGGTTTAGTATGAAGTGTACAATTATTGGCAATATTATATTATATTAAACGTGAGGAAGCATGTCGTTTGCATTGCACTTCATTAGGCGGAGACTACACACGAAGTCGTTTCGAAATGTTTTTTAGGAAGTATTTTTGCTCATAAATACTTTAGAAAATAAAAATTTATTTGATATAATACGTTGAAAATTTTTCATAAAAAATTCAAGTGTTTTCGAAAAAAAGTGCGCTCACTCATACGCACTTTTAAAGTTTACTGTCAAATATTATTTAGAAAGCTTTTGAGTGTCAGAAATCACTTTTAACTCTTGAAAAGCACTCTCAAACATATAGTTGTATTTTTTCTTTTTAAGAAAACAAAAATTAAAATAAAAATTGACGGTAGCCAAGCATTCATAGCACGTGCACATGCATTTCAATAATGTATATTTCCCTGGAACATGACCACATGCATTTTCAATGACAGAAGTTAGAGGGACAAAGTAGCAAATGAGCAAATATGGCAAAGACGAAAACAGATTTTTTTCAAAGGAAAAACAAAAAATGTTAACCAAATTGACACTGTGCAGGGTGTGGGTGGCAATGAATGGTGCTTGTTTTTGCGTCAGGTTCCATTCAAAGGAAACCTATATGAATAAATAGGACCGCATGCCACGTGATGCCACAAATACTATTTCGACGGAGTTGAGATCATTTCATTTGGAAAATGCAGCTCTTGTGATTTCAAGCTTTCACGGCAAAAGAGAATCATGCTACACGAAAGAGCAAAACTTGGTTAAAATGCAAGTGCACGTTTCCATTTGGATATTGTGGACTTTAATTATTGTTTTAGGCATTGAAAAGAAACAAAAAACCATCATCAATTTACTGGTGAAACTTAAAAATTGATACTTCCTGTTGGTACTTGTTATGACTAACAAATAAAGAACGAGAGTCGCATTCTTACCGCTTAGTGATAAAAAATACATTGATTTCACTTCTTTGGGGTATTGTCTTTTAAATTAGAATGCCTAAAAATAAATTATCATTCATGTATGATCGATCAACTATTCATTATTAAGCAAAACTTTAATTAAAGAAAAGGGTAGTAACGAATAAAAGGGGGGAAAAAAAAGGTCTCCCAGGAAAGGTTGGGACCTAATGAAAAATACTAGAGAACATGCAAGGAAAACAGCATTTTTTTTTTTTTAATAAGAGTTTGCTTATGTTTATACAAAACGATATTAGGAGAAAAGAAAATTCGAACAATCACCCCAGGTGTACGGAAGTAAATTATAATATAACAGAAATTGAACACAGTAGAAAGGAAGGGGAAGGGAAGCCGCACTATCTTCCTCCATCAATTGGGAGCAAGACAGGAACATTCAATTGGAAAATGTTGTAGTGCGGTCAAGTCGGGGACACATTTTGTTGGCAGTCATGAAATCAAAACTGTACAAGGTCAATGGCTACGATTCTCAAATTCTCATCCTCGACCTAAACACTGTCTGCAAACGTGACTTAGAGGTAGTCTTTCGATTGTGCATCTATGAATGATCACCTCAACAAACAACTAGCTCATGGACAATTTTTCTCATGTTGCCTTCTAGACCAGGTAAGTTAAACAAAAATCAATAGGAATTAAGATGCATTTGCTACACCCAATTCATTCTCTTGATTCTGTAATCCAAATGAAACCTCCCAATCACCAAAAACACCACAAACATGCAACAATCCTTTGCCCTTACCACACCTGAAATTCTCTCCCTCTCATCACAAGGGAACTCTGTTGCAATGCCCAACACACGTACCTTCACACCGCATTTCGCAAATGGCACGGATTTTGAGTTATTCGGAGCTCCAACAATGGTGGGTCTCTCTCAATTTAAACCAATCGCAGCCCAAAGAGCCATTTGGTCACCATCCAGGGACAGCTTTTGTTTCTGCCGCATTGGCAGAAACAGAGGTGGGGAAAGCAGGGGTCCCTTTGTTGTGAAGGACAGAAAGGCAAAGCTTCTTGGGGTGCCATCACCAAAACATTCAGGATATAAGGGTGACGATCAGTTTATCAAATCTCAGAGGGCCTCAAGATCAAGAGATTCTCCATCTGGGTTTTTGGATTGGACCAGAAAACAGATTCTTAAAGGTACCAATTCCTATGGTGCTTGTAATCGGGCTGGTAGTTTGCAACAGAGAAGGAGAAGAAGAAGCAATTCTCAGAAATATGGAACTAATTGAAATGCACAATTTGCGGAAAGGGGACCTTTATTGTGCAAGGTAATTGTGGTTTTGTTTGAGCAGACGACAAAACAGCAGAATCAAATTGGATTCCAAGTGAAGCCTTGGGAAACCTCAACTTTGATTACGCACAAAAGCTTTTCCAGCTGATTCAGGAAGATACAAGGGTGTTGGGGAAGGCTGGGACAGTGCCAGAACGCAGGCTAGGTGTGGTTTTGGTCCTCTGCAAGGCCAGAGGGTTTGTGTTTGTTTCCTCATCAGAGGGAGGTAGAGGAAATGAAGGCTGAAGGATTCAAAAGAATTCAACAGGGTTGGCTTGACTTATTCAAGTGCAGAAAATGAGAGATTTATGGTTTTTGGGGACAATTCTCTCACAGGGATTTTAAAGGAAAAGGGTACCATATTGGTTCAGGAACCAACGGACTGGGGGCAGAGGGGATCAACATAGTACCTTTGCAGTAATCTTTGATTGTATCAAGCTACAGCGTAAACAGAAGGCTACGCAGCTATTCAAACCAATATGATTCTAATTACGATAATGACTAGACATTTTTATTGCAATAACATTCAGGACTAGACAGTTTTGATTTAAATCACATTTCATTTGCCATGGCAGGGCTGGGGGCGATTGGAGTACACCTAGCTCCTTCTAACGTTATATAGGACTTCACAGATGAGGTTCTTGTACCTCGAAGGATATATACCATATTTGATTAACAAAGCAAGATAGAGTTCAGATACAGGTTAATTGTTGCATCTTGTGCATATGCTGTCATATGCCATTTAAATTTGGAATTGATCCAAACAAAAGAAATTCAAAGTTGTTTCAAAATTTGAGGCCAAACCGTCATTAGCAAGAACAAGGGAAGGTTACGAAGGATGAGCATTAACTGATGTCAGCGGAGTAAATACAAGGAGTTACAAATAAATAAAAGATCTAAGAGATAGAGAAAACGATCCATGCGTCTTTTTGAAGGAAAACACACACACTGGTCTCATAAAGATTTAAACTGGCAGTTCCCATTCTGTATACTGGAGCTGCAGATACATGGAAATCAGTGGAAAGGGGGTATGGCATGGAACTGCACCATCTGAGCTCATTGAGGTGTTTCACTGAGACCAGTGGGAGACCTCCTAAACTTCCTACTGGAATTATGTCTGTTGGAGCTGTTGTTGGATGCAGGGTGGCACCAGAATCGGTACGCCATATTTGGAATGAGCTCAAGACTTACAATGCTCCTATTCAGCATTTGTGGTGGCAGGTAATTGAAGTCCCTGACCACCAAAGAATATAAATAACGTTTAAATATATGCGGGGCATACAAACATGCACGAAACAAGATATCCAGAACATATAAACAATGTTTTTTTTCATCTCTTTTGCTCAACATCAAATATGTGTCAAAAGATTGCAAGGGGTCTGTATGCACTCTAATATCCATATCAATACTGGCCATTTCAAATTATATGCATTTAATTTATGTTTGTTACAAAGGAGGACATTTGGAGCAAAAAGTTTTAGTAATTACGTAGTTGAAGTGCCAGATATTTGCGTATACATTTAACCCTGTAATAATTGTGGAACAAGGACTTGGTAGGCCAGAGAGAGACATTGGTTGGTTCGACATGTGGTGGAAGGGGAAGTAGATCATAGGTTATTACAAGGATGGCCACAATACATTAAAGGATCTAGGGGCCAGGATATCAAAGTGATGAGCTACTGAAACAAGTACTATACGGTTAAAATATCGTCTCCCTCAATGATGCTTCTACTGCACTCTTCTAGTACAATTCTCGCAATATCCCCTCCTTAACAATTAGTAGGTACATCACTGTAGAAGGTTTATACCCTCATTCTCCTAAGAGCAAACATACTTTCTGATCTGTTTTGCCTTCTTAAGGAAATGATTGCAATGTCTTCTGCATCCAAATTGAGCTGATAAGGAATAAAAAAACTGTAATTTGTTTTGAAAGCTTTTACTTGATTTCACAGTGTCATGAGAAGCCAAAAAGAAGGAAGAAGAAACCTCTTTGAAGGAAGCACAGAGAGAAAGTTGGACATTTTGTGAAAGACAAGCTTGGAGAGCCATACAATGGTTCCAAAGACAGCTTTGATGTAGGAATGTTTGACTGACACCTCCAGATACTCGAAAGTTGGGTTAAAAGCAGATTTTCAGGAAATGGTGGATGCTGGAGTCAGAGGATGGATGGATGTTTTGTGTTTTGGGAAGGCCTGCCTGTGGAGCCCCCTATATTCAGGTCAAATCTCAACTGAATTCAAAACAGTCCACTTAAGGGCAATCACTTTGATCCTGTGGGTTCTGATTAGCCCCCCCCAAGAGCAAAGAAATGGCAAACTAGAGCATCTGGAGGTGATTAGTATTATTATATTTTTCGATCCGTCGGGGGCTTTGACTTTTTTGAACAATTTTCTCGAAGGGGTTCTTTACTTGGTTTTAATACCGTCATACTAATACTAAAACATAGTTAAGCCTCTTTCATTAGAATTAAAAGCATTAGGACCCATGGGTATGTGTTCTGTCAGAGTTCTAATAAGGGTTTCCAATCATCTCAACTGGCGCGGTTCACTTTTTCCCTTTTCAGCTCAAGAAAAACAGCTATGTGTCAATTCACTCTCCCCCTGAGTTCTGAAAGTTTCATTCAGTCCTATCAAACTGTCAGATGTTCGTTCAGAAGACATAGCAAAAAAGCTAATAGTGTTTGTTTGCACTTAATATTTCCAAAAAGCTATTTAGGTCTTCTAAAGGATTAGGATTCACCGTTTCAGGTGAAGAAAAGCCTATCAGCCCACAACAAATACCCAGAGTGTAGGGCCAAATAACAGAGGAGTTGTAGGAAGAAAGGAAAGCGGAACAGATTGGGGTAAGGAGGAAGGAAGACCAGCAAGGAGAGAAAAAAAAAAAAAAAAAAAAAAAAAAAAAAAAAAAAAAAAAAAAAAAAAAAAAAAAAAAAAAAAAAAAAAAAAAAAAAAAAAAAAAAAAAAAAAAAAAAAAAAAAAAAAAAAAAAAAAAAAAAAAAAAAAAAAAAAAAAAAAAAAAAAAAAAAAAAAAAAAAAAAAAAAAAAAAAAAAAAAAAAAAAAAAAAAAAAAAAAAAAAAAAAAAAAAAAAAAAAAAAAAAAAAAAAAAAAAAAAAAAAAAAAAAAAAAAAAAAAAAAAAAAAAAAAAAAAAAAAAAAAAAAAAAAAAAAAAAAAAAAAAAAAAAAAAAAAAAAAAAAAAAAAAAAAAAAAAAAAAAAAAAAAAAAAAAAAAAAAAAAAAAAAAAAAAAAAAAAAAAAAAAAAAATTTTTTTTGTAATAAGCCGTATGGATGTTTTTTTTATACAAACGATATAGGAGACAGCAGAAGGAAATTCGAACAATCACCCAGATTTGTACGGAGAGTAACATTATAATAACAGAAGAAAACAGTTAGAAAGGAAGGGGAAGGAAGCAGACACTATCTTCCTCATCAAGTGGGCGCAAGAAAGAACAAGAAGGAAATTCAATTTGGACCATGTTGTAGTGCGGTCAGTTTGCGACACATTTTTGTTGGCATGTCCAGAAATCAAAACTTGTACAAGTCAATGGCTACCTTCTCAATTCTTAGCCTCGGAGCTAAAACTGTCGGCAACGTATTAAATTAGAGGTCTTTTCTTTTCGATTGGCATCTGATGTGATGATCCCGCCAACAAAACTAGCTCAGACACTTTTCTCCGTTTGCATTCTTATACCAGTAAGTAACAAAATATACATAGGAATTTAAGATCGCATTGCATGGTACCCCATCATCTCTTATTGATTTTTAATCCAAATGAAACCCTAAAAATCACCAAAAAAAAACACCACAAACATTTCAACAATCCTTTTCCGTCACACTGATCTTCCCTCTCATCCAAGGGAACCTCCGTGTTCAATGCCAAAACATCCCTTCACACCAAGCATGTCTCAATTGGCAACGGATTGAGCCTCTGGGAGCCCAACCAATGGTGGGTCTCTCTCAATTTATCACCGAAATCCGCAGCCAAACAAAAGGAGCCATTGGGTCGCCCACATTCCAGGACACAAGCTTTGGGTCTGCAGCAGCTTATTGGCACGGAAACAGAGGGTGGGGAAAGCAGGGGGTTCCTGTGTTGTGAAGGACAGAAAGCTCTTTGGTGTGCCATCACCAACACCATTCAGGTATAGGGTCGATGATCGTTTTATCACTCTTCTAGAGGCTCAAGATTCCACAGATGTCTCATCTGGTTTTTTTTGATTTGGACCGAAACAGATTCTAAAGGTACCCAATTTCCTTGTGCTTGAACGGCTGGGTTTTTTCAACATGAGAAGAAGAAGAGGAAGAAGCAGAAGCAGCATTCCAGAAATATGGAAACTATTGAAAAGCACAATTTGAGGGGGAAAGGGACACGGGACCTTTTACTGTGCAAAGGTATTGGGTTTGTGTTGAGCAGGAAAAACAGAAAACAACAGTAATCAAATGGATTCCAAGTGAAGCTTGGGCAAACCAACTTTGAATTCCGCACAAAAGCTTCTCCAGCTGCTTCAGGAAGATACAAGGGTTTTAGGAGAAGGCTGGGACAGTTCAGAAACGCAGGCTTAGGTGGTTTTGGTCCTCTGCAAGGCCAAGAGGTTTGTGTTTGTTTCCCTCATCAGAGGAAGAGTTAGAGGAACTGAAGGCTGAAGAATTCAAAGAATTCAACAGGGTTTGCGTGACATATTCAAGTGAAAGAAATGAGAGATTTATGGTTTTGGGGAGCAATTCTTCTCACATGGATTTAAAGGAAAAAGGGTACCCATATTGGTTCAGGAACAAGGTATTGGGAGAGGGAGAGGGGATAACCATTACCTTTGCAGCTAACTTGATCAGCTACAGGTAAACAGAAGGCTAGCTCAGCTATTCAACCATCTGATTAATTAGATAATGACTAGACAGTTTTTTATTTCAATACATTTCCAGACTTAGACAGGTTTTGATTTCAATACATTCATTGACATTGCAGGGCTGGGGGCGATTGGAGTACAACCTACGCTCCTTCTCGTTCTATATGACTTCAAAGATGAGGTCTCTTTACCTCGAAGGATATGATATTCCATATTTGATCTAACACAAGCAAGATAGAGTTCAGATACAGGTATTGTTGCATAAACTTTTGCATCTTGCTGTCATAATGCCATTTTAAATTTGGAATTGATCCAAACAAAAGAAATTCAAAGTTGATTTCAAAATTTGAGGCCAACAGTCACTAGCAAGAACAAGGGAAGGATTAGCATTTACATATGAGGCAGAGGAGTAAATACAAGAAGTGTTCTAAAATAAATAAAGATCTAAGAGCTTAGAGAAAAGATACATGATCTTTGAAGTAAAAAACCAAAACTGGTCTCATTCAAGATCTTAAACTTGCAGTTTCCCATTTTTCTGTATACTGGAGCTGTGCAGATAATGGAAATTCAGTTGAAGGGCGGATATTGCATGGACCTTCACCATCTGAGCTCATTGAGTGTTTCCACTGAGACATTGGGAGACCTCCTAAACTTCCTGACTGGATTAATTTCTGGAGCTGTTGTTGGCATGCAGGGTTGGCACAGGAATCTGTACGACCATTTGGAATGAGCTCAAGACGTACAATGCTCCTATTTCGCATTTTTGGTTGCAGGTAATGCACGTCCCTGCACCAAAAAATAATATAATACGTTTTAAATATATGCGGGATACAAACATGCACATAAACAAGATATCCAGAACATACAATAAAACACTTATTTTTTTTTTTTTCATCTCTTTTGCTCAACATCAATTATTTGCTCAGACTTGCAATGGTTCTGTATTGCAAATCAAATATCCATATCAATTACTGGCCATTTCAAATTATATGCATTTTTAAATTATAGTTGCTTCCAAAGGAGGTACATTTGGAAAGTTTAGAATTACGTAGTTGGAAGTTGCAGATATTTGCGTATACATTTAAACCCTGTAATAATTGTTGCACAGGATGGGTAGGCCAGAGAGAGGACATTGGGTGGTTCGCAACGTGGTGGAATGGGAAGTAGATTCAATAAGGTATACAGGATGGCAAACACTAATTAAAGATCTTTAGTGTCCAGCATATCAAGTGATGACGACTGGCAAACCCATGTCCTAGCTCCGGGGAATATCGTCTCCCTCCCAATGAATGCTTCTCAATGAACTCTTCTAGTACAATCTCGCACTTCTCACCTCTTAACAATAGTATGTTACATCACTGTAAGAAGGTTTATATACCATCATTTATCCTAAGAGCAAACATACTCTTCTGATCTTGCTCTTTTCCTTCTTAAGTGAAATGATTGCAATGTCTACTCCTGCAGCCAAATTGAGCTGATAGGAATAAAAACTGTATTTTGTTTGAAAGCTTTTACTTGATTTCACAGTGTCATGAGAAGCCAAATAGAAGAAGAAACCTCTTTGAGGAAGCAAAGAAGTTGGACATTTTTAGTGAAAGACAAGCTTGGAGAGCCATACATGGTTCCCAAATACAGCTTTTGATGTAGGAATGTTGGACTTGACACATCCAGATACTGCAAGTTGGTTCAAGCAGATTCTTCAGGAAATGGTGGATGATGGAGTCAGAGGAGGATGGCTGATTTTGGTGAAGGCCTGCCTGTGGATGCCACCTCTATTCAGGTTCAATATCTCAACTTGATTCTTCAAAACAGTCCACTTAAGGTGGCAATCACTTTGATCATGCTGGGTTCTGATGCCAAGAGCAAAAGAATGAGCAAACTAGAGACTCTGGAGTGAATAGTATTTATTTTATATTTTCGATCAGTCGGGCTTGACATTTTTGTAACAAATTTTCTCGAGGGGTTATTCCTTGTGTCTTTCATACAGTCATACTAACTACTAAACTATTAGTTAAGCCTCTTTCATAGAATTGAAGCATTAGGAATGGGTATGTTTTCTGTCAGAGCTTCTAATAAGGGTTTCAATCATCTTGAAACTGGTCGGTTCACTTTTCCCTTTTCAGCTCAAAGGAAAAACAGTATTTTGTCAATTCACTTCCCCTGCGTTCTGAAAGTTTCATTCAGTCCTATCAAAACTGTCAAGATGTTCTTTCAGAATGACATAGCAATCAAAGCTAATAGTGTTTTGTTTTGCACTTAATATTTCCAAAAGCTATTAGGGTATTCTAATGATTATGACTCACCGTTTAGGTGAAGATCCCTATTTCAGCCCCACAACAAATACCCAGAGCTGTGGGCTCAAATAAACAGAGAGTTGTAGACGAATGGAAAAGCTAACCGCGGGGTAAGGAGGAAGAAGACCAGAGGAGGCCTTGGTATTTTTATGAGGGCTGGTTTCAGAAATAGTCCCAATGGGGGATGCTATTTTGGGAAGGAGACCAAATGGTAAGTTGGCAGACTCATGATGGAAATAAAGAGTGCTGTTGTTGGTCTACTCAGCAGTGGAATTTCTGGGTTTGCTTTTAATCACAGTGATATTGGAGGGGTACTGTGCTGTAAACTTACGTTTATTAATTACCGAAGAGTGAAGAGTTGCTTTTTTCGATGGATGGAGATAAATGCGTTCACAACTGTTTTCCGGACACATGAAGTAAGTTCAATGTCTGACACCTGAAATACAAAAGCATCATTATTGTCATTACTCATCACCATACTATGTAAAATCAAGAAAAACAAACTACAATCTGGCTACATCCTGGATCAAACCTTTTACTGAATGTATCATTGTCATGACTGATATTAGATGAAGCTAATAACTCTAACATGATTAAGCTTTCATTAGAGAATAAAGAAGGTTGGTATATAGATCAGTTAATTTGCATGAGCTGCCGAATACTCGCACCACACTACAATGTAAAAACAATTAGAGATAGTAGATATATTGCCAAGAAAGAAGCAAGGTTTGACAGCTATAACTAATAATGCTTTTCATGAATTTTTTGTCAGAACATTTTAATTGCTCCACTTAAATGCAATAACATGTATGATCTTATCAGCTACTGATTTTAAATATCTTCTGCAACCAGGGAAACAAACCATCTTGCAACAGCCAATTCTACTCCAATGACCGGACTCTATCCCATTTTGCACGCTTTGCTAAAATCTATAAAGCTTGGAAATTCTACAGAGTCCAGCTTGTTCAGGTAATTCCATAATTCTTGTATGCTAATTGTATATAGCATCTAGTAACTTCCACCGGAAAATCTGACAAACTTCACTCCCTGCATTGCAGGAAGCCGCTCAAAAAGGTCTTCCTGTATGCCGCCCACCTATTTTCTGCATTACCCAGATGATGAACATGTGCACAGCTGAGCTACCACCAGTTTTTGGTCGTACTGGAGATTCTAGTGGTGCCTGTCCTAGACAAGGGCAAAAATACGTCAAGGCCTATTTTCCAACAGGAGAAAGTTGTACTTGGCAACATATATGGACTGGAAAACATTTTAGAAAGCAGGGGTTGAAGCCACAGTAGAAGCTCCAATTGGCTGTCCTGCTGTATTTGTTAGAATGGCTCCATTGTTGGAGAGACTTTTTTGAAAAATCTTATAGATTTGAAGGTTCTTTAAGAAAGCAGTCCTCAAAGAGGTTTCATTTCCCAAGGCACTTTTTAATTATATGCATCACATTCTCCACAGGCATGTTTATTTCTTTCTTATAACCTTTTGATTATGTTAATCGAATCGAAACATAAATGAGAAAATGTTTTGTAAATGGAAATTGCTGTTGCCACAAAAGAAATGGCTGAAATCTTTTATATCAGAACACAATTTTGATGGTTCATCTTGGTCCTTCAGTCACAAAAATGGAGCTCCCATAACTGAACCATATCATTTTCAGTTCACAGAAGATGAAATACAGAAAATCACAAACAAGACCTCCTTTCTAAGAATTGAAAACCTTAAAGGTTCAAAGTCGATTCAAAAATTTTATATTCAAAACAAAAAAAAAAAAAAAAAAAAAAATCAAAAAAAAATCTAATAAGGGAATAAGTTTCTACTCACATTGAGGTAAATTGGTGAAGGGCCTTTACTGGATTGCCTTCAAGGCACCGCTGAGGTAAGAGTGTTTTGATTTTGTGGGCAGTCTGGTGTTTTGGTGGTGTTCGTTTTCTTCAAAAGGAGGAAGAGTTCATATTTTTAAGACTACTTTCCAACGTATTCGAATCCTTGCAGCATATTCTCTCCACTAAAGGTCTAAGGACGGAGTGTTGGTTTTTTTTCTTTGTAGCAACAAAAAATAAGGCAGTGAATTGTACCGGTTGTGCTACATGCATTTACATGTAGCACAACTAGAACAATCTGAATTGGGTATAACACATTAAGTATTTGGAAAATTTCTTAAAAACATACGGTGAAAAATCCAGCTATTATATAAATTGAAGTTTATTTATTTAAACTTGGTTTTTATAGTCTTCTGTTTTCATTAATACGAATTAAAATACGTAATAATACATGTATCTTTGCAAAATATTATATGAAAAAAAAATGTAGAAATGAATAAACCATAAGTTCTCTAAAAAGTATATCGTATTTATCTATAAATTACCACATCCTCAATCTGTTGGCCTTCAAACTCTTCATTGCCATCCAATATATTTTTTAGCCTCATTTACTCGCATTTCGCAACATTTGGACAAATATAAGATTTCAAGAAATTGAACAGGTGGCCCATGCCAATGCAAATAATATAAATCATATATAAAAATAAACAGCATTCTCTACACTAAATAACAAAACCTCTAAAACCCTACCTAAACTCTGCCCCGCTAAAAGGGAGCAAGTCCATGCATCAAAGATACAACAAAAAAACCTTTGTTTGATATCTGTGATAAGAGTTTCCGCTTGTCTGCAAACTGGTAACAGTTTCACAACTCGTCTTCTCTGGATTACTAGTGGCTCCCTTAAATATCTAATTGATCGAGGTTGACCATGCTTGCAGAATTTTTTATGAGTTCTTTCCGGTAGTCCACCTAAAATATAAACAAGCACAATTTCATGTCAATCCTGGCATTTTGCTCGATGATATGTTCTTTATGAAAGCTGGGAACCAGAACCTTAAAACGGGGTACATATAAGATTATACAAATCAAAGGCAATTCAGTTCCATCATGTATACCATCCTTTTATATATATAGGGTCAGGATCGGGAGACACATTTTTTAACACAAATTTCCTAACCTTTCTTCTTCTTTGACAAAAACAAGACCCTTCTTCTTCCTTTATTTTTTTTCTGTGAAAATCCTTGTCGTATTCTGGAAAAACAATGAGGTAGATGGTGGTCTCACCCACCCGCATATGCACTTCCAATAAAAAAGAATTGCCTTATCTTTTGTGTTATGAAAGTATCAGAAAAGGAGAATTGTAATGCCTAGAAGAGGATTGTCACAACACACCAAAGAGGATTGTCATGCCTTAGATAATCAAACTGTAGATATATCTTGCAGGAACTAAGACAAATCCAAATATATTGTTAATAGTCTGATGGATTACTGAGATATTAACTTATTAAGGAGGAAGTTGAAAATTGAAAGTTTGCAGTTTTGGGTGCATGTCATCATTTCCAGAATGGCACAAGAACATATTTTACAGGGAAGAAATTGAAGGAGAAGGAGGAGGATTTTACTATATATATAAAATAATAATAAAAAATAAAAATAAAAACTGACAACATGGGAGAGAGGAGATTAATTAAATTGAAGAAGTTATCCTTATCTTCAATATATAAAAAATTAAATTTGTAATATAAGTTTCTTTTCGACTTTAAAAAGAAAAGAAAAGAAATTAAATTGAAGAAGTTATCCTTATCTTCCAAATCCAGATCAGAAACAAGATTTTAACTTGATAAGAAAAGTCTGTAAAACTTATGCATATTTGGGTAATAGCTGTAGATTGAGAAGATGCTCTCAAATGATTTATATTTATCTAACTTTTTCTTGCAGGTCAAAAAAGAAATGGGTATGAAAACTCATCCTTTGAAGAAAGAAATCCATGGCTGTTCACATCGTCCTCCTCCAGCTCAAATGAAAATACTGACAAGTGTTTTTAAAAATCAATTTCTTTTGAGAACATATTAAATTAAACCAAATGTTTCTCGTTGCAATTTGTGAGGAGAGAGGAGAGAATGGCTTATTCCAAGGCAAATTAATCATATAGTTGAGGGTATTGAGTTTTTTTTAAATGCAATCTTAGCCAATAAAACTGCTTTAAAGGTTGAAAATGTGTGTATAAATTTGTGGCTTTTTGTGTGTCCCAATCCTGACCCATATATATATATATATATATATATATATATACCTCAAATAAGCTTATTTGAGGGATCCCTCAATTGACACTTCTGATTTAGAAAAACAAAAGGTACTCCTTGGAAGCCAGCCAGGTTTTTTGTTTGTTGTTTTTTTAGAGAGGGAGAGAGAGAGAGAGAGAGAGAGAGAGAGAGAGAGAGAGAAAGAGAGAGTTCAGCCCTTAGAATTCAGATATAAGCACCAGACAGCTTCAGTGAATCATAACTCAACAATAACCTTTATGTCTGCCCTACTTACCCGAGCACCCATAAGGGACGAAAAGACAATGTTGGCCTCAGCAGCATCCTCAACCCCTAATTGTTTCAGAAGCCTTTGCTCAGGATTCATTGTTGTTTCCCATAATTGTGCGGGCATCATTTCCCCTAGGCCTGCATTGAAACCATACCAACATAAGAACTAAACAGCTAGTTCAAACTGAAAGGTCAGTTATGCATAGCTTGAATTCACTGTAACATAATAACTTTGCAAGGAATAAACATAGTGATGTACTTTATCTATAGAAACAGATGTTGCCCCTTTAACTTGTAACAATACAGTGATTACAGTCACATTAGGGATTCTACCACTATATAGTAGAAATATGGCACAACATATCACAGTATAACTCAGTCTCATTCACAATCCACAAATGCCCTATAACCTTGCCAGCATAACAGCTAGTTATCCTTACTGAAGAAACATTAAAATTGTGATTATATGGTGCCAAGGTTTTAGTTAGTTTTAATGGTCTCCTAAATTCAGAGTCCAAGTCCAACCGCCAGGATAAGTAGAAGCTTTATGTATATGGGATTAATCGTTTTATTTTGACAGAGAACAAATTTCGGATTACTCAATAGAACAGATGATTTTCGAAGGACTGGATGATATAAGTTATAACCCTAGTCCAGGGTGTGATGCCTAGAAACACCCATGTGTAGAGCTCCATATGTTTAGTTTATGAGTAGAAGCTTGTTTACGTTTAAACATGAGATCTTTTTGAGGATTATCAAAGAGCCAAGCTTGAGTAAAACCAAATAAAAATGGATAAAGAATGCGCACATAATGTGGTTGTGCAAGAAAGTCAAAAGAAACAAAGAATGTTTCAGCACCTTTAAGTCAAATGGAAGCCAGCAACAGTTAATTTATAATTCTATAGATAAAACGATAGCAAGCACCATATATTTGAAAAAGAAGCACGAGTAAAGTTGCAAGAGTAGTAGAAAATCATGAACACCTAGTGACGCAACCAAAAATTTAATCATGGGGGTCAATAGAAAATTAGATGACCGCGAGATCAAAAGAATTCATTCAGTAATCTGCTCGTGCAATGTTATCACCTCCTCTATAATCATTGCAGGTGCTTAGTACTGTTTCATATTGTATCTTGCTACAGAAGAGTGCCTGATGGTTGGTGATCTAGAATTAGATGGTGGCTTTTGGTCCAAACAGGAAATCTAGCATAAACAAATTTCACAAAGCTTGGAACAAAACATGTGTTGAAAAGATAATTCTATGAATTCTAATAATCAAACATACAATCTAGTCGAGACAAATTGCCTTATCTATAAAATGCACAAAGTTACACACAAAGTTGCCCCATTAATGTAGTTAGCACTCACTATAGTCATCTAGTAGTCGCTAGTACAATGTCATCTCCTCTATATAGTTGCCCCATCATAGTTAACATGAACATATCATTTTGATAGTACAGTCTAAGGCATGCGGATGGTCAGCTGACCATTGTGGACACTGGTCAGCCCATGCCCATAAAAGACCTACTGACTTGCGTATGCCCTTAGCAGTGTATTTAACTGCATTACCAATATGCAGGGAACCATATAAACCTGAGTTTCATGATGTTCATACTAACCTTTAAACCTCTGAATGTTGTAAGATGCATTTGGAGGGAAGGAACTCTGGAGCATTTTAAGTTCAGCATCATCATAGCAATATTTTGCTTGCTTTCCCCTCTCAACCTGGTCATTTTAGCAAAAACAATGGACTTAACTGTATAGTATTCTTCAAAATCCCTAAGATTAATTCCGAAACAAATACAAACCTTGTAAAGGGGTGGAACGCCAACATATATGTAGCCCTCATCAAATAAGGCTCTCTGCAAGCAAGAACTACTGCATTATTTGATATTTTAAATCATTGTAAATAAGTCGAGTTTGTTATGTTCATTTTTTTTACTCTCCTTTTCCGTTTATTACATACCATGGGGGAAAAAAATTGCACAAAATATCCGTTCCCTACCTGATATCTGAAGAAAAATGTCAATAGCAGAGTACGGATGTGAGCACCATCTATATCAGCATCTGTTAAGATGATAATCTTATGGTATCGTAGAGCCTCCTTCTTAAAGTCCTCTCCCTGAAACAGAGAAGATTACATACCTTATTCTTTTTAGATTATGATGACGATAATTGTAATAATAGTAACTATAATAATAAAAAACTTTGTTCAACCTTCACTCCAAGTCCAAGACCAAGAATTAGATTTTGAATCTCTTCATTTTTATACATTGCTGCCTCATCCTTCCTTTCAATGTTCAGAATTTTACCCCTCAGTGGAAGAATGGCCTGCAATATAATTTTGCGACATTAGACAGCTATCTCATAACTTTTTTTTTTGTTTTTGTTTTTTTTTAATATAAAGAAAAGATCCACGATCCAATCTAAGAAGGCTTAAACTTTCTGATCATTGCATCTGATTCCCAATGCATTAAGAAGCCATAGCAAGAAACTATTCTGGTCAAGCCAAATGCCAGAATGCCAACAGACAGGAGTAGTGCAAGAAAAATAATGCATATAATGTATCAGCTTATACTTTTCTCTGATCATTATGATACAATCCTAAAAGTCATGACTACAGCAAAGCACTTTATGGATACAAAACCTAAGTTAGCATGATTGCTGCTGTAGACAGTAAGAGTAGTGGTATAATTGTAGTTTTACAGTGGTTTTTGAACCAGTAGGTTCTGCAATCATAATGGAAGTGGAGTGAGATTAACATTTGATTTTGGCATACATGGCTTCAAAGCGATGCTATCAGGATTTAACTTTTTAACAACTTTTTCTTCTGTCCCATTCCCATTTATCAGTCATCAAATGCGGAAAACTAACAACTACCGACTCACATCACTATTGAAACGAGTTTATTCTAAAAGACGAAAATACAACATTTCAGGCTACCACATTAAAAGGTTCTAAAATCATATGGTGATTGACAGACGTAACATTGTCAAAATTACAAACTAGCACAGTTATAAATTTACCTGAAAGCGCCTATCACGACCCTGTTTTGCACTTCCACCAGCTGAATCTCCTTCCACTATAAAGATTTCTGAAAACATAAAACAGCAAGGAACAAAATTTTAATGTTCAACATAATAATGCAATTGTTTCTAAGAACATCTACTATGTGCTAGAGATGAAGAGGAACAGAAGAATCTTTGTGGGAGCAAGAGATGAAGAGGTGGATCTTCCGAATTTTAGTGGAAACTATTTAGTGTTCTGACCCAAAAAAAAACTACTTGGGTTATTCCAAAAGGATGCTTTGAGTTGTACTTTCTTGTTTTTACTTGTTATTTCCCAGAGTGTGGATTCCTTATCCACTCTTTGTAATTAGCTTCCTACTTAATACAATTATGTTCCTTTTCGAAGGAAAAAAAAAAAGATTAGATAGATGACCCTTAGGCCATCTGTAGCTTCAGAATTTAGGGATAGTTCCTTTCAGGCTAAATTGTATGATTGGAATTCCTGTACACTAGCTTTCCTTGGCCTGCTGCCCCATATAATTGTTGCTGAGCTACACTTTGCAGGCTTTGTTGTTTTGTTTAACTAGCTTCTTCTAGTTAGACCAGTGGACAACTTTTCCCCTGTATTGTTCTGTTTTCCTTTGATGAAATTATGTTTTTCATAAAATAAAGTAAAAAATATATGTAAAGGAAAAAGAATGATAACCAATGTGTTAAGTAGTGTTAACGTGTTCTCTAAAGAAGCAAATGTAACAAATTTGAACAAAATACTTCGCCAAAAAGGAGCAGTGGGGAAAAGAGAAAGTTCTAAAAGCATGTTCGAAATATCATGTTTATGATGCTTATGTTGGAAAATTCAATAGTGACTACAGACTTCAGAATTCATAAACTCAACTAAGAAAAGTTTGCTGCTAAAATGTAATATAAGGAATATGTTGCTGAAACAATTAGCATTTTCAATCATCCTTGGAACTGTGAAATTAATAAGACCAGAAGAATTTTAAAATTTAGAAATAAGAATAGAAATAGAACATGATTACTAGTGTCAAAAGCATTTAATAACCTAATAATTGAAAAACCAAATGAATATTCCTTTGAGAAGCTCATAGCAGTTTCATACAAGATGGTGCAAGACATACCAGATTCTTCAGGATTTGTTGATGAGCAATCAGCTAGTTTTCCAGGGAGAGAAGAGGATCGCAAAACACTCTTTTGTCTGACTAGTTCCCTTGCCCTCTTTGCAGCCAGAGCTGCCTAAAAAAAGAAACATTAGACATGATGAAAAGATTTCAAGTATAATTATATGTAAGCTTCATGTATCGAAGTGATATTCTTATTTACGAGAACGATACCTTGAGAGCATTTAAAGACTTTGACAGGATTGAATCCAGTACATCTGGATGCAACTCCAAGTATTCTGTAAGATACTCTTGAAGAGATTGATCAACCACTCTTCGCACCTCTGGATTTCCCAGCCTAGTCTTTTAAAACAGAACAATGAACACAATAAGGGTACACAATGGCAAAGTCTAAGATGTCCACAGAAACAGTGCCTCCAAATCATTATTACACATCAGGATTGCAATAAACAGGTAGTACCTTCGTTTGGCCTTCAAACTCCGGATTGGCAACCTTGACTGAGATGACGCATGTCAATCCTTCTCTTACATGCTCACCACTCAAAGTGATATCCTTTTCCTGGAAGAAAATATAATGTGGCTCAAAATAATGAAACTTTAAATTAATTTATATACTTCTATTAATATTTAGATTAGCTAATGAGTTGTAGCTAATCAAATCTTCTAAGCTTAATGCTCATATATAGAAGGAACCTAGCCTAGGGAGACACCATTTCACGTATAACAGAATTGAAACACAACTAAATTACTCATGCTTGTAACTATCTGTTTTGATAAACATCAAAATTTTATCGTCCTCCTTTGAAATGTGTGTGTGTGTGTATGTGTGTGACAGAGAGAGAGCCCTTAAATTAAATCATAAAAGTGTATTGCCCAAAGTGATAGAAGTGTATTTGTACCCGACAGACAAAGATGAAACCGAAAGTCCCAACTCCTAAGCAGGTCAATGTTTAGTCTGGGTATGAATATGGTAACTATGATTCATACTCTGATAAATTCATTCTATCCCTCTCGCCAAGATAATTTATATTAAAAATCCAGAAGTTTAATGATGGAAAGTAGCTTTAAAAATAATAAACAAAATTTTAAACCCCCTTTCCAGAAAATAAAAATAAGTAAATACAGGGAAAATTAAACTGAGAAGCCACAAGAAGTTATTGCTATTGGAAAGAATGAACAGAAATCGAGAAGGGATGCACCTTGATAATTTTGGATTTTTTCCCAAGGCTATTAAGAGTTCTTGTTAATGAAGCCTTTGTTCCATCAATATGGGTTCCTCCATCAACAGTGCGTATGCTATTAGCATACCCTAGCATTGTATCTGAATATGCATCAGAACACCTAGTATAGGATGAAAAAACCATATTATCACAAGTAATAAAAGAAATGTTTGTCAACAATATGCCAAATATTATCCCACGTAAAATTCACTTTAACATAATTTATAACAAGAAATCTTAATGAAAATATTTAATATACTTCTTAGATGCAGGGAACGTAAAATACATAAGAATAGATAATGAAATCAATTACCACTGGAGAGCTACATCAATAGTGATTCCATCCACTTCTTTTCTAAAGCCAACCACATCGTGAAGCGGTTTCTAAATCAAAGAGTTGTCAATGAACAATCTTTAGACAATGATGGAAATCCAAAATCCATAAATTTTAAATGTTAATAGTTCATACAGATACACACTTGCATCCTTTATACCATAACATCATATGTACTTTGGGGCATGTGGCCAAGTAGTTAACTACATGCCAAGGAGTTGCAAAGAAAATTGATATTATGAGATTTGTGTAGAATATTCATATAGGTGAAAAGATCTAACCCACCCTATGTAGATCACAATAGAATGATGTCCAGTAACTGAAAGTATTCTTTTCTTACAAATGAAATTCTTAATATACAACGCAAATCCAGGTACATGGGATGTATACAAGAAGCTCTAGCCCAGAGTTCAAAAGAAAGAAGTGGGCGATTTAATATTGAATCTTAACAAGTCTACTTCACTCACTTGAGAACCTTTATGCAACATCAGTAATAGTAAATATGTATAGGTCAAATTAGAACCAAAAAAAAAATGCAAAGCTATTAGGTCGAGCATACCTTATCAGTATTTAGCCATCTCACATATTCAACCAAACCCCCTGCATAAAAGTATTCGTTGTGATGGTTCTTCTCTGGATCTGTATCCTCTTGTCTAAGAGTGATCATGAGCTGCAAACGTCAAACAACAGAAGATAATAAGATGATGAGAACAGAAAAAGACTAAGCCTTGGTTGTACTGCCAGATTACCATTAAAAGAAATGAAAATAAATAAACAGACGTATTAAAAGATAAATACATATATAGCAGGACATGATAATTGACAATTAAAAGTAATGACTTTACATTAGGGTTTAGAAAAGCTAGCTCCCTAATTCGTCCAGCTATTGTGTTGTACTCAAACTGAATAGCAGTTGTGAATACTGCAGGAAGACATGGCAATCAAACAAAGCAAGCATAAATCACCAAACAATTCAGAATAAATCTTAGCCAATGACCATTAAATTCATTACGACTAGAAAGATAAACGAAAAACCTTCTTTGTCAGGCCAAAATCTGATGCGCGTTCCTTGCCGATCTTGGGATTCAATTGGAAGCACATGACAAGATAGAGTTGTCACAGGCTTTCCACGAGAATATTTTTGCTGATATTCCATTCCATCACGCCAAACAGTGACTTCCAATGTCTGTTAGGCCAGACATCACAATTTAGTATGCTAGACATTGACAACTAGAGTATGAAAGGAAATGTGAAGGAGCTGGATTTCTTGAGGGATCAATGTGGGCATCTTTTTTCAAATAGTCTAGAGGTACCACTTTTCTTTCTTTATACAGACTGGGGTGAATGCTCTTACTTGAGATAGTTTGTGTTTTTGTGTTATGTATTTTCTGTGATAATTTCGGGTAGCCAGCTGGGTGATAATTTTGTGTAGCCAGCAGGAAAATTTACCAAATAAATCAAGACGAACAGATAATGCATACCTCAGACAAGGCATTGACGACAGATAAACCCACACCATGTAATCCACCAGAGACACTATACCCACTACTTGAACCACCAAATTTGCCACCAGCATGTAAAACCTGAATAATTTTCATAAGAACTATCATTTATAAAACAATACAATGTTCCTGCATTTAAAATAGCTCCCAAGTTGCATATTTCATATTTTCTTCATTAAGAAAAACATATAAAATTTCAAACCTCATCAATTTCCAAAGGTCTTTCTATCACTAGAAATCCCGGAAGTTGAGTTTCTATCATTCATGGTTCATGCCACTGAAACATATGCTTAATATTTGACTTATTTAGAGCAGCTTTATAACTGAACTTGTAAATTGTTTATAACCTAATTTTTTTGATATAATATGATCTTTCTGGTTTTAATGAAAAAAGTAACTAACCCTATGCAATGTGAAGTGGATTGCATTCTATCTCTACACAAAAATTAGAAATGAGAATGACAGTTTATGCAATAATACCGTCAACACAGTCTCCAGAGCAGATTTCTTGGTTGCTGGGTGCATATCAGTCGGAATCTGCAATGAACGAGAGAATAAGAAAAGTAGGTAAAGATAGTAGCAACATATATTTAAAGTTAGCGTACATAACTCTTGAGAAGAGTATTCAGGAAAATTTCTAATGGTTGGTTGCAAATTCTAGATTACCATCAATGCAATATGAGAAGAAAAAATTCAGATTTTCTTTTATATGTGCCCATAATTACTAATAATAATAAAAATTAGTTTTCTGAACCTAGAAACACTGCATGGGTACTCAGTCACAATATTGTGGTCCTTACATCTAAAGTGCAGTTTTCTTAAAAGTACTCTTGCAATGGGTATTTACAATGCACTAAGGATACAGGCAATCACCATTTCATACCAATTAAAATATATATAACTTTTTTCCATACTTACAAATCCTCCCAAACCCACTTCCTGGAATTGGCTCCAAAACTGGGGCCTCCCCCCGAACCCTACAATCTTTGGGAGGCAGGAAACTTTAGCAAATAGCTTGAGAGGTTTCTTGAGGAATCAAACCCCAGACCATGTGGGCGCAAACCACAGCCCTGACCACTGACTAAACTCTCATTGGTCAATGAAAATGTGTATAACGACCAGAGGATCCCAGATATGTGAACAAATGCCTAAACCGAAATATGTTAATGCTATGGGAGCATGTACAATTGCAGGGGGGGATGTTCAGTAACGATTCTTATAGTGCTGTTTGGGGATTTGATAAGCTAATTCCTGTAGATGTCTATTTGCCAGGCTGTCCACCTAAACCGGAGGGGCTCAGGGAAATAGACATGTCTGTGAAGACATGGACTACCAGCACCTGGGCAGAAAGACCACATGAATCTTCAACGTTCTCTGGGTTTGGCTTTGACGAATTAAGAAAACATGTACCAATACAAAAACTGCTTTTTTATTAGGTACACTTTCTATTTGTGGTATTCCACCTCTTGCTTGTTTTTGGTAGGTATTTTCATTATCGGCTCCAAAATGTTTACTGCTTTGCAGAATTTACTTAGCATGCTTAACAATGTTTAATGAACAATTTACAGACTCTAGACATATTGACTATACATATGAGAAATATAAGTATGAAAGGCATGATAGGGTATAAAGGCACGATAGGGTATAAAGGCACATCAAACTACATGTGAACATTAGAATATCTTGACAAGCCTCATAAGAAATCATGACACTGTGTTCTTATGTTAATATACACAAAAAAGGATTTTTGAAGCTTTTGACTAAAAGGCATAGAAGATGTAGCATACCCCACGACCATTGTCAGCGATGCTCACAGAACCATCTGCAAGTAAAACAACCTCGATCTTTGAAGCAAATCCGGCTTGAGCCTCATCCACAGCATTATCTAAAATTTCATAGACCTAAAAGAGCATGATTAGAAACTTTTTATTGACTCAGATGAATCTAGCAAAAGCACATTATTAAATGGAAAGATAAAAGTGAGGAAAAACAATACCAAATGGTGAAGACCACGAGGTCCTGTGCTCCCAATATACATCCCTGGCCTCTTTCTAACAGGGTCTAAGCCTTCCAATACCTGAACATGTTAGACATTATAGCATCAAGCCAAAACTAAGTCGGAGTGACAGCTTTCAAGTTCCACTCAACAATTTCTAGCTAAACCCATCAATAAGCAACAATTTCCAACAAACATAAACACCTTAATAAACTTACTTATCTGTTTTAAAAACAAAAATAACAAGCATGATGTACAGATAAATTAGCAAATGGCTGACATAAAATAGAAAACTTTGATTCACACCCTTTTGAAATCGAGTATTTTACCTGAATCTGATCAGACCCATATGCATTGGAGCCAGAGCTGCCTTGAAAAGCCTCGGTTGCAGGGGTAGACGACATAAAAGCTCTTGGAGCAACCGCATTTCGAACTGCACAGCAGCTAGGAACGCCCTTCAGTGGAATATGGGTCCTGTCACAACCAATAACAATACCCATAAACACTTTCCACTTTCCCAGGAAAAACCCGAGTAGCAAAATACAAAAACTAATATCTTATCACCAAAAATAACAAATGAACAAATAAAATCACTCAAATTCAAACAAATAAAAAGTTATGTTGTAACAAGAATACTGATAGAGTCGCCTTAATTCCCTAGTTGCCGCATTTTCTAGGAAACCAAACAGAAAATAAGCAGAAAATGAGGGGCAAAATATGAAAGGGAAAAGCACCTGGGTTGTGGGTTGAACAAGAGGGAGGGACGAGCAAGAGAGGAAGACGAGAAAGAAGAAGAAGAGGAGGGGAAGTGAGGGTGAAGAGAAGAGTGTGAGAGAAAGCGTAGGGCCATGAAGCGAAGATAAGGAGGAGGAGGAGGTCTCAGAAGAAGAAGCGCCATAGGATTTGGTTTTCTCTCTGTTTTACTTTCTCTCTTTTAGACCTTCTTCTTTTAAAAATAAATAATAAAAACTTGTAAATTCTGTTTGAGTAAAGCGATAAACCCTTTTCGCAATAAACCTCGTTTCCCTCTTCTCCCTCCTAAACCCCTCACAAGCATCTGTCCCTCCTTTTAAAACTCCCAAAAAGATTTTTATTTTATTTTATTTTATATACAAGCGAGGAGAACAGGAGAACAAATTTTGAGTCGACACAGTAAAACAACTCAAAACAAAACAAAACAAAATTTTAATTATTTCTAAACTTTGACAACTTTAGAAAATATTGAAAAACTTATAGACACTAACTTTAAAATTATAAGGACTAAAAATCCACATTTTCAAAACTCCCAAAGAATTTTTTTAAGGCTTTTTATCACAAATGGTCTCTGAGATTTGCAAAATTATCGTCTTTCATTCTAAATTTTTTTGTGACATTAATAGTTCTTACAGTATCCAGAGTGAGGATGTGTAAATTCGAAGGTGTAAAGCCACTTTTATATCTTCTTTATACATCTAGGAGATGCAAATGTCATTTTTATTGTAATGAGTTAGATGCAAATTCAAATGTGTAAATCTGATTTTCTTATATTAATTCGTTTTTTGTGTGAAATCTTTTTTTTGGTGTTAATTTTGTGTGTGTTAGGTTTAATTATTTTTTCTAAACAAATTGTCCTAAAAATTTTAAAATTCCGATAAGAGATAATTTCATTCAATATGATGTAAATAAAATTAGGGAGCTTGACTATTATACCCAAAATAGGGGCTGAAATTATTAATAAAAAAATCCACATGGAATGCACTTTAGAAACACACTTAAAACCCATTTACTATAAGAAATGGGTATTGAAGTTCCTATAAATTATATGATTGTCGCAGATTAACTTAAAATAGACAAACACAAAAAACTCAACAAAAAAAAACCCAAAACAACCACAGGCCAGATTTAAAAAAAAACCCAAACAATTTATTTATAAAAAAAAATTGCGATATGATAGGGCATTCTCTAGAGGTGTACATAGATGATGTGGCGATTAAATCCCCAGAAGAGGGAGATCATGTGTCAAATCTAAAAAGGGCATTTCTAAGAATGAGACAACATAAGTTAAAAATGAATCATAAGAAGTGTGTTTTTGGAGTTCAAGCAAGAAATTTCTTAGGTTTCTTAGTTCACCAAAGGGGCATAGAGATTGACAAAAATAAAGCAAAATTCATCATAGAAGCTCTACCACCCTGGAACAAGAAAGAACTGCAGAGTCTCTTAGGAAAAATTAATTTTCTAAGGAGATTCATATTCAATTATGCAGGAAAAATCCAACCCTTCTCCTCCTTGCTAAGGTTAAAACAGGAACAGACATTTAAGTGAGAGGAACAGCATTAACAGGCTTTTGAAGAAATCAAACACTACCTTTCAAATCCACTAGTTCTATCCCCACCAAAGAGAGGCAGACCACTCAAACTCTATATTTCTGCATCAGGAGTGTCCATTAGAAGTCTGTTAGCTCAAGATAACAAGGAAAGGAAGGAACATGCAGTCTACTATCTGAGCAGTACTCTGACAGAAGTAGAAAGGAAATATTATGCAATTGAAAGGTTTTGTCTAGCCTTATACTTCACTGTTGTAAAACTCAGACACTACATGCTGCCATTCACCATCTACATCATTGCCAAGACATGCCTAATCAAATACATGCTAACAATGCCAATGTTGAGAGGCAGAATTGGAAAATGGACTCTGGTTTTGACAGAATTTGCTTTCAGATATGTTCCTCAGAAAGCTGTCAAAGGACAAGCTGTAGCAGATTTCCTAGCAGATCATCCAGGGGAAGAAATTGAAAACATGGACTCTTTAGATATAGCAAATGCAGATATGTTGACTAGAGCTCATACTTGTCTTAACAATCCCATCTATTCAGTTCACCTCACACCTTGAAAGCTGTACTTTGATGGATCAAAAACTGATATAGCCTCTGGGGCAGGGATTGTTTTAGAAAAACCACTGGGGATCAAACATAGTTATTCCTTCTAGTTAGATTTCCAGTGCACCAACAATAGGGCTGAATATGAGACTTTGATCATTGGCCTAGAAATGCTGGTAGAATTAGGGATCTAATATGTGGAAATCCTGGGAGATTCTATGCTTGTGTTGAAACAAATTGCTGGAGAATACAAGTGTCTAAGTCTTTCTTTAGCTGTCTATCTAGTGGCAACCATAAACCTTCTGACAGAATTCAAAAAAGTTACTTGGGAACATATCCCAAGAGAAGAAAACTTTGCAGCCAATGAATTGGCTCAAGTAGCAACAGGTATACAAATGCTTGAAAACTGTGTGCAAAGGATCATCAAGGTAGGAAAGAAAAGTCTACCATCTTTTCTGACCAGAGGAATGGAGATAGATGTCAATTCTGCCATAATCACTGAAGATGATTGGAGAAATCCCATCATAAATTACTTGCAGTATCCAACCTTGCCTTCTAAGAAAAGAGTCAGAATCATGGCTTTGAATTACCTTATGTGGAATGGAGATTTGGTTCGAAAAAGCAAGGATGAGGTACTTCTAAGGTGCTTAGGAAAGAAGGAATACATGAAGATCATGAGAGAAACACATGAAGGAATCTGTGGAGCTCATCAAGTTGGAAGAAAAATGTGCTGGTTAATTAGAAGGTATGACTACTTCTGGCCAACCATGATGAAGGATTGCATTAACTATTCCAAAGGATGTGAGGCTTGTCAAAGGCATGACCCAATCCAGCAGGGTCCTTCAGTTCCCACGAATCCAGTAGTAAAACCATGGCCATTCATAGGATGGGCAGTGGATCTCATTGGAAAGATTTATCTAGCTAGTAGCGAACAACACTGCTTCATCATTGTAGCAATATATTATTTCTCCAAATAGGTGGAGGCCAAACCGGTTAAATCTACTACATCTCAAGAAATCATCACTTTCATAGACAAGCAGATTATACAAAGGTTTGGCATTCCAGAGTCAATCACAACTGACAGATGATCTTCTTTCATATATGGAGAAATGCTAGATATGGCAGAAGCATTCAAATTCAAACTACTTCACTCCACTCCTTACTATGCTTAAGCTAATGAACAGGCTGTATCAAGGGCCTACAACAGAAGAGTTAAAAACAAGAGTTTTGAAGAGGGAAAAATAGTCTGGAAAGCAGTTCTGCCCCTTGGAACACCTATAGCCGGATATGGAAAGTGGTCACCTACATGGGAAGGTCCTTTCATAATAAAGTAAATCCTTGGAATGGGGGCATACAGATTACAGGATTGAGATGGAGATGTTCATGCTGCACCAATTAATGGCAAGTGGTTGAAGAAATTTATCCAACTATGTGGGATTCACAGGCTGCACAAACAGATCTTGGGATAGAGAAGGAACAAGATGAAACTGTTGTTTAAACTTCTGTTCATAATTTATTTTTGTTCTGATTTGTTAAGTTTATTTCCTTTTATTTTTTCTGCTTTATTTATTTTATAAAAAAAAATTGAAAATCCAAAAATTTCAACAAATAAATAACTTTTATTAGAAATAGTCATTTTATGCTAAGTTTATTACATTTTCATCATTCAAATTTAAAATACAAATTTATAAATAAACCCAATCCTAGACATGTATTTATAAAAAAAAACCCAAGCACTATTTAAACATAGAAACACACCCAAAATCAACCCCAAAGTCAACTTTTTGGGTGTGTTTATAAATGGGTTTTGAGTGTGTGTAATGATGGGTTTTGAGTGTGTGTAATGATGGGTTTTGGGTGTGTTTATATGTTTAAATAGTGCTTGGGTTTTTTTATAATTTCAACCCCCATTTTGGGTGTTTTAGTGAAATCCCCAATTTAAAACCCTAATTTCCTAAGGGTTTCTTGCAAACTGGTCTTTTTGATCAAAAGTTCCTTTTGGAGCAGCACCCCCTGGTGGATTAAGGCTTCTGCAATCTCCAATGCTGGCCTGGAAGCTGACACCATATTCTACACGAGGAAGGTTGACTTGGTCTTACTGCTCAATCCAGCCCCAAGCCTATTCTGCTTGCCCCTCAAGTTAGCCAGCTGCTTCTGAAGTTCTTCCATGTGCTTTTCCAGTTTATCACCAGCAGTCTTGGTCTCCTTGTAATCGGCAACCATCATATCCAATTCTGCCTTCTGTTTCTGGTAGTCAACCAGGTTGGCTTCATGAGTAGCTTTGCAGAATTCAGATGCTTTAAAAGAAGGCTTGAGATCTTTATAGCGATTGTGGAGATTGAGCACATCTCTCGCCAAGCCTAGGCTGATTTCAAGGATGGCCCTAGGAGCCATGCTTTCTCTATGTAGCAGGTCCTGGTCCTTCATCAGTTGGTCAACAACTTCTTGGTTTTTATCCAAATCCAGCTCAGTGGATTGCCAGATCTTCACTCTATCCACTGCCTCATTCATTACCTTAGATTTTGCCTTGCCTGGAGTGGAGCTAAGCTTATCCAGTTTGTCCAGCTAGGCATCTAGGTCCATAGTTTCAAACTCTGTCAATTATGGATCAACAAAGGAGGCCATGGTGGATGAACCTGGAAGAGAATGGATGGGCATCTGCAATATAAATTCAAGTCATTTTTTCAGATAAAGTCAGAATAGGAAAAGAAAGAAAGACTAGGGTACAAAAATACTCACGGCAACTATGGGAAGCTTTAGAGGGCTGGTCACCACTGCCAAGATTCCAGCAGTTCTGGGCACTTCTACCTAGAAAGACCGACAGTTAGGAAGGCAAAAACAAGATAGAATTGTAGAAAACAAACAGAGTTAAATTAAGAATAGAAAATTACCGCAGCAGCTACCCCCACTCCATATCCTAGGACTGCAATAGGAAGTTCTGTCTGCTCCACAGGCTCTGATGCGGACTGCTCAGCCTGTTCCTCAGATGCCAGAACAGCAGTAGAATGCTTTACCTCTGCATCCTCGAAAAGGACCAACTCCGAACTGGTCAGTTATGCCCTTGGGATTTCCTGTTGTTTCTGTGCCAAGGCAATATTTTCTGCTATTACCTCAGCGGGAATTTCCTCCTACAAATGAACAGAAGTCAGAAGAAGAAGAGAAGATGTAAAACAATCGTGCCACTAGAATGAAATCTCACTTCTTCTAAATCTTTCTATTTTTTCGAGGGAACATCTCCTTCTTTTTCTCTTTCTTTCTCCTTCTCCTGCTCAACAGCTTCGAAAGCCTCTCGCAGCTCATCATCAATTCCAGAAGTCTTAGTTGGAACAACTGCAGGCTCTTCTATCTCATCAGATTCAACTTCGGTCCTCTTTCTAAGCTTTTTTGACCTAGTAGAAGGAGGAGGAGGACTTTCAGCTGCACACAACAATGAATGAAGGTTAGAAGAATGGGCAAAACAGAATAGATTCAAGGAAATAGTTGGGAATGTCAGAATCTTACCAGAAACTTTAGGCTGGGCAGCGTTGGCCTGAGCAGGAGCAGTTTCTTTTCTTTTCCTTCTGGCAGAGTTTCATCCTCTTCAACTCTAGAGGGAAGCTCCAAATCTCCAGCAACAATGACATAAGTAACTGCACCGAAAACAGACAAATCAGAAGCCAATCAAGTAGGAAAAGATAGAAGAAATAGAATGAGGGAAAGCTTACCAATCACTTCTCCAGCCTGGACAGACTGACCACCCATGTTCCTTGTCAGAGAAGGATCTGTTGCAGGCAGAACAAAATGCTAGAATCCATCACAGACAGAACGAATAAATCACAGACAGAATCAAGGGTCTACCTTTTATGGCTTGAGCATTGATGGCCTTAATGGTCTGCACCATGAATTTGTGAGTCTCCTCGCTTACATGAACAACCCAGGAATCCCAGCCATAAAAAAGGATTTTCAGTACAGTGCTGCAGGCAGGCATGCCTTGGAATCTAGCTTTCCACCAAGCGTCAAACTCGTCAGAACTGCAGGAATTCGGTTCCCAGGCTGGATAGAGAGCATCTACGCTGTTGTTTATCTTATTCACCGCGCATCTGGCATCCTTGTGCACTTCCAGATCATCTGCAACTCTCCAGGAAGTAGCTCGATTGCAGCTCCTGTAGGATTTGAGTGGAATGAGCTGAGGGCAGCCAAGTTGTCTTGCACAGAAGTTGGGATGATAGACTTCTGCCCCCAAATGATAATTTGGAGGCTTTCCACCACCATGGGGTAGATCTCTTGGCAGGGTTATACTGAAGAACTTCTTCCTGAAGTCAATTCTGGCCGCTTCTTCCTCTGGTTCCTTCTCAAACAGCTAGTATCCAGGCTGAAACCAGGGATAAGTCCTTCTGAGTACCAACTGCCATTGAGTAGCAGATCTCTTGGTGCAATGCTTGAAGAACATCAGGTACTCTTCAATGGAGCTTTTGGGCACTTCTGCTAACATTAAAGGATGTGCCAGGATTTGATCTTCAGGCAGAACAATGTTTGGAAATATCAGTTCTGGGAAATACACCTGCAACCAGATCCGGATCATCCAGAATGCATCGGGAGCGGACAGATTCAGGGCACTCTCCAGGGTGGCAGTGTGCAAATTTTTGAACAGATGGGCCAGAACTGTGGGTCCAAGCCCCACATCAGTATGGTTATGTAGAGCTTCTGCCAAGTGCCTGTACTCAAGCAGAACTACCGAGGAACGGTTGGGGAAGATGAATCTGTTTAGCCATTACAGAAGGAACAACATGTGTTGCTAATCCTTGTCCTTCTCAGCACTGAACTTCCTCAAATAATTAGAGAAAGAATAGTTCTGGTTGATTGTGGCTAGAGAGATAGTGAACGACTTGGATAGTTTTTCTTGGTTCTTTCTTCGATGATAGTCACCAACAGCATCAACAGGCCTTTCATGGGGCCTGAACCCAAAGATTTGAGCCATATTTAGCAAGGTTGGTGTCATCGGGCCCACACGAAAATCAAAGGTATTGCTGGCAGAATTTCAGAAACAGAGGGCAGCGGCAAGTAGGTTCTCATCCTTGTTGATGGATTGTTTGGACAGGAGAATGGCGTCATAGATTCCGGCCCTCTTCCAATGAGCTCCATATCTCCGAAGAAGTCTGTCAATCCAGTCCGCCCACTTGACTGGACTGTTCCTCACCTCATTGGATGGGAAAGAACGACTCAAATTCTTATTGACCCAAGAATGAGAAGCCAGGGCAGAGGCGCTTTGGAAACACAAAGGAGCTTCAGCATCTTTTTCAATCAGCTCTGCCATTTCAGTAGGGACATGGCCAAACCAATGGGGACCTAGAACTAGGGCTTGCTCCAAACCTCAATGGCATGCTTATCAACACCAACCCCAGTAATGTAGGCAGGAGGAACAGAAGAGGAAGACTGGGCATGGGTTTTTGGAGATGACATTTTCAAGAGTTAAGCTAAGAACAGAGGAAATAATTCAGAAAAAGTCAAAAGTCTGAGAAGAGCAAAAGATTATGAGAAAATCTAGAAAGAAAACAAAGTCTGAAAGGGTTAGGTTTTTTGAATGAACAGGAACTGTTGGGTTTTAAAACTTCTTTAAAAGAGCTTGAAATCATGGAGAAGACGAGGCGTCATCTGATGATGGCTAGCTAATAACTAGCTAGTAACTACCTAGTTTCCCACGAAAGTCTAGCTCAGGAGACAAGACGTGGCACACATGGGTTAATCGAAACGGAAGAGAGTGACGCGCAACATTAATGGCCAATTGATTCAATTTGAACCGTTGAAAGTTGAAAAAAAAGAAACGTTTTTTCAAAACGATTCAGATTCAAGGGGGCATTGTTTGGGCCAAAATTTTGCACACCCAGCCCAACACTAAAAGCCCAGAGAAACAAAACGAACTACAGGGCCCAAGCAGTACTGGACTTTGTGATTAGAAGAATCAAGGGCCCAAAATCCAGAAAGCCCAACCTAGGATCTATCAAAAACTTGGGCTTCGAAAAGAAGAAAAAGAAATCAACCCATAGCTTCAGAAAAATCAAAAAGGGCTTGGCATGATTAAAAGAGAAGAAGAAGCCTAAAAGGAAACAGACCCATGTGGGTCTTTTTTCTCCTTGACTTAGAAAAGTCAACAATTTCAACTGAGTTGATCAGGAGTTGACAAAGGCAGGCGAAAAGAAGAGACATCTCTGAATCTCTGCCACCAAAAGATCAAAACCCTTTTATATATTCAGAGATATTGTTTCTACTCCAAAGAAGGCACCATCTTTCAAGGGATATGCAGACTATGTTTTCTAAAAAAAGATAAGCAGGAAACATGGAGTTGTTCAAATTGGAAAATCAAACTAACCATCACAGTTTGAGCTCTCACAGGGGGGCCATTGGAATTAAAGAGGGGTTAGGTTCTTTTTCAAAAAAATAGGGAAGTGATTGTCTTAAGAACTGACCATTGACGGCTTATATGTCAGAACTGATAAAACACCATTTTTTCTTACATTTAAAAATGAAAGATCTTTTGGGAAATTTTGTTGCCCATTATTAAGAGAAAGAAGCCCCATCCAAAGCATTTCTTATAAATATAGGAGAAGGTGAACAGAGTAGAGGACAATAAAAACAAAAAACAAAAAAAAATCAACCAAAGACAAACACTCAAAATGATCACTTGATCTCTGAGAACCTTCAAACAAACTGAAGCAACCAAGAGCTCATTTGAGCCACATAAGAAGCCAGCTATAAATCAGAACCTCCAGTTCAGACTTAAGAGAAATAGGTCATTCAAAACGAGATTTCTCTCGTTATAAATTTGGTTCAGCAAAAGCCAAAACAAGTAGAGTTTGAGTTTTTACAATATGAAAACCTCAACAAATTTATGGAGAGCCCTGACCAAGCAGAACAAGTACCACAGTACAGTTCCAGCTCAGTAATCCTCAAGTCCAGCCACTTCTGCCCCTTTCAGACTGAAGAGACTGCAATTTTGCCCATTCAAAAGGCCTCTTAGGGCTCAAAATAGATTAAAGCTCTGCCAAACTTAAACTTTGGTATCGATTTACAGCTGAAGCTTAGCAGTTGAAGTTGGGAACAGTCCAGTCCAGCACAAGCATACCCAGTCCAGCCCGGATTAGAAGCTTCTGTCCAGACAGAAATGAAAGTCCAGTCTTCTTTTTGTCTTTCTAGAGTTGATTTTTCCCTTTTAAGTTTTGTAAAAGATACTTCTGGCTAAAAATAGTTACTATCTTATCATTTATTTTAGCCAGAACTACCAGTTTTGTACTGTGAAAAATTGTGAAGTCCTCACTAGTCTGAGGCAAAAAAAGAACTTACTTGGGAGATATTCCTCACCTAAAGTCACAATCGCTTGTTTAGAAATCAGTAACTTGGGGCGCAAGTTATCTATTCTTAAGAAGTCTGCTAGGATTTTTATTGCTAGTAGTGGCACGCTCGCACACTAAAGAAAGTTGGCTTGTTGATTAGTAAATGGTTTTCAAGGCAATGGGGAACTTTACCCTTCCATCACAGGAGCAAACACAAAATGAGTGAACAGTTGTCAGTTTTATATTTCAATTTGAATGAAATCTGGCCATATATTAGAGAGTTGTTGGAAAAAAACTTTGTACATTTGCATCATTTTAATAACTTTCCCATTTTAATAAGTCTCAGCCACACCCTGGGCCCACCATTTTAATAACTTCCCCATCTTTTAGGTAGCTTTCCTCTCTCCTTTTTTGTGGCTTTTTTGCTATGGGACCCACTTAGGTGGGTGTCAAATTATATGTACATTTGCATCTTTTTTCCCATCTCACGGCTATGATGTACATTTACATTCGTATACACCTCCCAATTGCAGGACATTCAGGCAACCAAATGTGTATATTTGACATACACCTCTATATACACCTTATCATTGTGGATGCTCTTAATGTTATACTCCACACATCAAAATGGTCCCTGCCATCAATTTCCGTAAAATTTTCTATTAAAAAGCTGACATGGCATATATGTTGGCCACACATCCAATAATATATAGCCATGTGGCTTTAAATAAAATATTAATATATTTAAAAAGAAATTAAATTTAAAAACATATAAGATTATAATTTTTTAATATTATAAAAAAAAAAAAAAAAAAAAAATCTCTCTCGCCTCTTCCTTCCAACCTGTCGCCCCATTGTGCCAACCCACCTTCCTCCACCCTCTCTCTCTCTCTCTCTCACATCAGATTTGGGGGTGATGGTCAGGCAAGCAAAGAACCTGGTTGAGATTTGATGCAAGAACATAATCGGTTTCAATAGTTGAGGAAGGCATAGGGGTCCAAATCTGGAATCAGGGACGGACCAAGGACAGGCTAACCTGGGCTATAGCCCAGGTAGCTTTTATTATTTTTTAGCCCAAGTAGCCCACCTTACAATTTACCCCACTTCACGCATCAGCCCTTCAACATGTTCAATTTTCTTGGTGGGTCATATTTTATTGGTGGAATGTTAGCAAAAAAATTATTTTATTGCTGGAATCTTACAATTTTCTTTCCTCAATTTGTTGTTACTGAAATTTGGGGATTTTTTAAGGTTCATGAAGAATAAATTAGGGATTTTCAATTCAATGTTATGAATTATCAATTAGGGATTTGCAATTACGTTTTTGTCTTTTTATTAGGTTTTGTATGTAAGGTAAATTTAGCCCACCTCATTTTGAAATCTTGGGTCCGTCCTTGTCTGGAATGGGTATGGTTATGGCTCTTTGTTATGAACTTGAAATGCTTTGTAGTTGTTGTGATGGTAGAAGTTGAACTGGTGTTTACCTGTAGCTGCACATGAGTTGAGCATGTGATTCATTAACCCAGATGCAGGGACTCGACATGAACTGTGGATACTAACTATGAAATCTTGCATGTTGGGCTCAACTATGCAGCCACAATAATGAGAAATGGTAACAAAGTTTACAATTAATTTCTTCAAGGCATTTAAGATAGGGCTGACGGGGCTGCTTTAGAAGGAGAGATAGAACAAAGGGAGAGGGGGAGAGAGAATAGAGGGAGAAGATGGCAGAGGAGGAGACAGAAGGGGAGGGCTGGCGACAAGTTTTTTAATATTTAAATTCAAGTTTTAATTCTTTTCTTTTTTCTAAAATAATTTAATTAAAATTTTAAATTTAAAGTTGTCAAATAATTAAAATTTTGTTTTGTTTTGAGTTGTTTTATTGTGTTGACTCAAAATTTGTTCTCTTCACTTGTATTTAATAAAAATATTTTTATATCACAAATGGTCCCAGAGAAATTATCCCACATATATGCCACATCCTCATTTGAACAAAAAATTTGACAAAAACTGACAGCATGGACCATTTTGATGTGTGGAGGCCTTAAGGATCATTAGTGTCACAAAAAAACATTAAGTATGAACAGTGGCGAAGCCAGGATTTCATGTGTGTGGGGGCCTCTTACAAATTATAAAAAATCAAAAATTCAAACTCATAATACATACAAAAAATAGTGTGTATATATATCACATATGTCAAGAATTATATTGCTTATTGGTTGCAATCATAATTGTTCTCGACAAATGGATAGACAAATACATTCTAAACAAGAAAAATTGCAAGAGATAGACAAAGAGTAGCAATTTAACAAATATCTTTGAAGCTTTTTCCCCCATTAAACCCAATAGAAAGAAAAAAAAATCAAAATTTCCTAAATTAAAAACAACCTTAGGCCCTTTTATGTATTCATATCATACATGAAAAAAATATTGACTAAGTATGAAAAATGGTTTTTCGGAATAATCATTTTCTCAAGATAATTTTTGGCGGTTTTTCTTCCTTACACATGAAATAAGAAAACTTGATTTTATGGGATTTTAGTATGAAGTATATATTGACTTAATGAGCCATCATTTTTAGCCTAAATCGTATTTTACACTAAAACCGATTTTTCATATTTTGATTTGGTGGGAATTTGATTTTCTAGTATTTTTATTTGAATCCAAATAGGGGGTACTTCCTTATTTACAGTGTAAACTTAAGTAAATGGAGTAATATAAAAATAAATTAAAGTCAAAGGACAAAGACATTTACTTAAATGTTGAAAATGGAAATAAGGTAATCTGTACACCTGGAGTGCATCACCACTAGCTAAGCAAGGGCGCAATTTGAACTACCTTCTTGTGCCTTAATAAGTCCGCCACAATACATGTGGGTACATATCAAAACGTAAAGTATTTGAAATAATATACATATACAAATACATAATAGTATATTACTTTCAAAATATAAAAAACTTGAGTGGGGGCTCGGGACCACACTGGTCCCAGTGTGGCTCCGCCCCTGAGTATGAAAACGAGGTAAGGTAACTGTACGCTTGGCATTTAGGAGGAGGGAGAAGACTGAGAGTGTGGCGGGAGAAAACGAAGGCAGAGGAGGGCGTGTGGTGAGCGCTTGCCTATTTGGTGCGCACTAGCATATAATCTTCTTGGCCCAGTTCATCTTAGCTGAACAGCGTTGCAGACTCTCACAGACGCTAAGGAGGTTTGTGGATGTTTGAACAGCCTGGCTATCTCTCCGCGCTTTGCTGTGCTTTGTTTTTTTCTCCTCATCAGATAAATATCACTTCACGGTCCTTCACCATTACCAAACAAAACACAAACACATACACACACAATCAAAGAGAGAGATAAGAGAGTTGGAAGAGAAGGACCTACCATGTTTCGAAGATAGGAAAGTAGACCATGAAAATGATGGCCATTCAATTTTAATATGCATAAAAATGGAGAGCATGGACCAAAACATATATATAACATTACAAAAATATTTACATTTTCTTTTAGAGCCCATAACCTTTATTTATTTATTCTTAAAAGACGACCAGAGAAAAATTTGTCCTGCGTTTACACTCCAAAGTCTAAAACATTAAGGCATACAGATCGTCCATAAAGCTCGTTCTTTGGGGAGACTTGTCCCGCAGTCAGTCACGACTTTGCATGGGCCAAGAGGCTTTCTTTACGTCCATGGCACGCAGTAAAGAGCGGACTGCGCTGATGCTACTAACTCCTACCTCTATAAATCCAAAAGCTCTCACCCCCATCATAAGCAATCACAACAAAAGTAAAGCGGACATACCAAAAAAACAAAAAAATGATAGGCACATTTTTGCGGCTTCCTTTGTTCCTTATTCTCTATTTGGCTATCTGCTGTGCGGCTTAGAGACTGAGGTTGTTTGTTTTTGTTTGGGTGTGATTGTGAGGAACCTCGCAACAAAGTATAACTGGGGTATGTCCTAGAGCAGCCTGTGCAAACACATCCATTATCAACAAATTAGGATGTTTACAAAGTGTTTAGCAACCTCACAAGCCAAAGCACCAAGTACACCCAATAACACTCATCGCACAAAGAACAATATAGGAGGAAATTATGAACCTTAAATATTTATTGTGTTGTTTTTACATTTATTTTCTGTTATGATCCTTGGTTTAGCAGCACTTGGTCCAGTAGAAATTTATCAATTTTGAAATGTATTTAAGCAATCATTCCTTAAGGCTTGGTGCTTGTAGCACAACACATACAAGTATAAATGCATATTACAACCAACTTACAAATTTGTAAAGGACAATACTAAACATTGCTTTATTTGCTTACATACATATATGCCTTCACAGTGGCAGTTCTGTGCTCTATGATCTTTTCCGCAAATAAGTACCAATGGCAGGGACAAAATCAAGGACAGCATCTTTCACTATGTCAAGGAAGTGAAAATAGGCATGTCTCCAAGACCTCTTCATGGCCAAAGTCCCAAAAACTCCCCAAAACCCAGCACAGAAACCTATCACCATACTGATGATGAACTGCAGCTTTTCAAGTTTGTTGTCATCATCCTCTCCTCCATCTCCACTTGGAACTTGAGGTGCTTTTTCATTGTCTTGGCAACCAGTTGGTAATGGACACCCGCTAAGATTGGTATTGCCCTCATAAATTGACGGGTCAACAAAGGTCTGAAACTGGTTACCCGTTGGAATTTTCCCAGACAAGTTATTGTATGACAGGTTCAGATGATTCAAAAATGTTAAAGAAACCATGCTTTGTGGAATTGAACCTGAAAGTTTGTTCAGTGATAGATCAAGAGTTTCTATCCACCCCAAGTTTCCGATATTTGCTGGGATATTTCCGGTCAAATGATTCATGGACAAATTTAAGGTGCCCAACTTTTTTAGGCTTGTTATCCCCACAGGCATCTCTCCTGACAAGTTATTGTTCGAGAGATCAACGCTATGAACAAGGTAAAGGATGGAGTCATATACAAGCACTCTTCCTTTTGACACCACCTCCAATGTTCCTTGGTAACCGTCCTTCATATGTGTAATCAGATTTCAAGCCTCTCAAATTACCAATGCAGTGGGGAATATTTCCGGAAAGATTGTTGTGTGAGAGGTCCAATATATGGAGAGCAGGAAGGCCACATAATTTTAAAGGGATGCTTCCAGTAAATGAGTTGGACCTAAAGCTTAGAATCTGTAAAAAGGGCATGCTTTCTCCAATGGAAGCCAGAATCGGTCCAGAAAACTTGTTATCACCAAGATCAAGAATAGTCAGGAAAGTGCAGTTTTTAAAGGAAGGGACTTCACCTGAAAAGTTGTTGCTAGAGAGGATCAAAAACATGAGGAAAGTAAGAGAGCCTAAGGATCTTGGGATTGTACCAGAGAGACTGTTGTCTGACATGTCTACAATAAACAATAATGGTACATTGTTCCAAAAATGAGGAATCTCACCAGACAAGTGGTTATTTGAGATAAACATGAATTCTAATTGGCTTAAATTACCAAAGGACAGGGGAATGCTTCCACTCAAAGAGTTCCTAGAAATGTCTAGATATGTCAAATTGGGCATCACTTGACCAATGTTATGAGGAATTGGCCCTGAAAATAGATTATCTCTAAGATATAGCCAAGTAATGTTTGAGGAAAAGAGTGGGAGTGGGCCTTCAAATCTGTTTGAAGTCAAATCAACCATGGAAGAATAGCTGAATCTTAATGAACTGGGCACCCTGCCACTTAGTTGATTATAAGCAACATCTAGAAGATCTAATTGCAAATCCAACTGCCAAAACCAATCTGGTATGGTGTCTGAAATCCTAGCATTACGGAGTACCACCTTGGTCAATTCAGTCTGATTTCTAAGCCACGTAGGAAATTTGGGACCCAGTTGGCATGATCTAATGTACAAGAATCTTAATTTGAAAGGAGGTATCCAATCAGAACTTATGTTGAAAACCAAGGAAATGTTTGGGGAATTATTTCCAATTGATACTTTTCTCAGGCGTCCAAGCTTCGCAAAATGAGCTTCTGTAATGGGACCTTCCCATGTGTTGCCATAAATATCAAGTGAAACCAGCGATGAGAGCCCCCAAAGACTTTCTGGGATGATCCCACTCATTTGATTCCATCCAAGATAAAACTCCTCCAAAGATGTCAAGTTTCCAATTGATTTTGGGATTGAACCCTGAAATGAGTTATCCGACAAGTGGAGGTATCTCAAGCTTTTAAGATATCCCAAAGAATCAGGCAGTTTTCCTGTCAGATTGTTAACTGTCAAATCCAACATCTCTAGTTCAGTGATATTGAACAACCAAGGAGGTATCATGGAGTTGAAATCGTTGTTGGAGAGATCAAGAACGAAAAGGGATGTGAAATTGATAGAAGGAAGAGTGAGAGGAAGGATGGAAAGTCTACAAAAGGGCAAATGCAATTCAACAAGTGAAGGAAGCATATTAACAGTGGGAAGCCAATAGGATGTAGCCATGGCAAGGTTCACTCCTTCCAAGTTAAGGTACTTTAAGGAAAAAAGCGTTGCAAGCCACTGAAGGTCAGTCTCAAGTGGGTCATTACTAATATCAAGATAAAGCAACCTTGAGAGGTTTCCAAGATTGTGGGGAATTATTCCACCAAAAGATGCACCCGAGAGATTGAGGTATTTCAGTTTCTCTAGTGATCCAATGAAACTTGGAAGTTGGCCACCTCCAAAGTCATTCATGCTCAAATCCAAGTAAACCAAATCTTTCAAAACAAGCAAAGAAGGGTTGATCTCACCACCAAATGCAAATGCATGCTCTGCTGCTCCGTCACCATCCAACCCATTTGAATAGTGATTGCGAAGATCGAGCCTGTTGATGTGTCCACTTATGTTGTTGCAGCCTACACCACTCCATTTGCAGCAATCTTCTCCCACCCAAGACGAAAGCCGGTCGGAAGGATCTGTGAGGCCTTGTTTGAGCTTGAGAAGGGCTTTCCTCTCTATATCTATGCATCCCACATTATGATCAGCACTACAGAACCCAAGTTGAATGGTTTTAGGGGATAACATTCCTGACAGTGTAATTAGTAAGACAAGTTGGATGGAAGTACTGCTGTGACCCATGATTCTTATGCAATGAGATGATGTAGAGATCCCCTATATATAGGAGTATATGAGAATTCAGATGGTTGTTTGAAATTATGTGCCGTAGCAGACACACTAACAAGAACGAAAATTTTCCATAATCAGGTCCCTACCTACAGAAATTGTGCGAACTTTAAACGAATTTTTCCAAGTTTGATAAATAAAATAAAGCGTTCTAAAGTCAATGATACGTGACGATCATGCATGCAAAGACTTCCAAGTCAATTTGAGTAAGTTGTGGGGTAAATAGTTCAACCCCTCATCAGCACTTCAGCCAAATAATGACTTTGAAGTTGGAAGGAGCAATTTCAGTAACTACCAGACGTGGTCAGATAATACCACATGCACTAATCTCTACCACTCTTCTCTCTCTCTCTCTCTCTCTCTCTCTCTCTCTCTCTCTCTCTCTCTCTCTCTCCAACAACCCACCACCCTATCAACCTCCACTTCCACCCATTTTCCCCAAATCAATACATGGACAACCTAGACGAGTCCATGGAGTCTAATTCTACTCACAATATTAGACTTAGATTGTTAAGTTGGGAACAATATATATTGGTGTTGGACTAGATTACTAGTGGCCCTTGATAGTCTATTGTACACCACTTAAAACATAAGAAGGTATTAAACTCCAACTGATCTGACTAAATATTTTTTACAAGTAAATGAATTCATATGAAAGGCATCCAGATTCATCTCTAGCAAATTTTATCAAAACTGGGAACAAAAGGAAAGCATGAGTAACTATAGCCTTTGTCTGCCCAAAACCTTTTGGTCATCAACCCAGTAAACCCATTTTTGGAAAAGGCTATACATCCTAAAAGCTGTACTGATTTAACGCCATCTTCCTTACCAAGAAACATTTGTGTTATATAGAGTTTTATAAATTTGTATTTATATTGTCTGCAGTTGCAGGGGTGGACGACATAAAAGCTGTTGGAGCAACCGCAGTTGGAATCACGCAGCTACGAAAACGAAAATTCTAATATACATCAAAGTATCGATACATTAACTTTTGAACGGTCAGATTCGAATTATTTGATCCAATGGTCCAGAATAAAGTGTAAAAAAACCACATAAAAAACTGGCAAACTGGTTGTTGTGGGTTGTTTAACTCAATGAAAAGAAAGCAGCCGCCCAGTGGCAAGAAGGACGGCAAGTTCTGAGGGTGTTGATGGCAAGATTATGCATACATCTCAAAGCATCTTCCCCCTTTCAATTTTCCTTTATTGAGCTCATCGATTCTGAGCTTGTTTCTCTCTCTTCTCTCTTCTCTCGTCTATGCTCTCTCCTCTCACAACTCTTGTGAATTTCTCTCTCTGTTGCTCGTCTCTCTGTCGCACATTCGCTCAAAAGGTAGATCTCAAAAGGAGAGAAATCTCTAAGTGCCTCTTCCAAGTCCATTTAAAAAGCTTAGATTTTTATTCATTCTCAACAATAATTTAGTTTAGTTTTCATTTCTTGTTGGTGAATTTAATTTGAACAAAGGGAATGTGGTGTGCAAAGGACTTTAAATTGGCAAAGCATCCATAATGATGCATGTTGGTCCCAGCAATGCTTTCTTTTGCCTGGGGGGTTCCCTTTGCGTTCGTTTTCTCATGTTTTAGTTGCCTTGACTTTATAGCTATTTTTCTCTTCTTTTATTTATTTTCTGTTTGTCGTTTTGGTTTGTTTTGTTGGCCTTTGGTGTCTTTGGCTGATGCGATAATTTAGGGAATGTGGTGTCTTTGGCTGATACAAATTATTGAGTCTCCACTCTAGAGAAAACTAGATACTTTATTTTTTTCCTTTCTCATTTTATCGAAAAAGATGGGTCTCTTTCTTTACCAAAAAGAAAAAGAAAAAAAGAAGAAGAAGCTGGGTCTCTTTATTGAAAAAGAGTTACAATCTTGTTAATTACTTCATATTTCATATTCAATGTCGAAATCTGAAAGCCAAGCATTTTCAAAGCTAGGTTCTAGGTTTCACGTTTTACCTAGCTATAGTCATAACTAAGTTGGGAGCAGTACCCAATTAATGAATATTTGTATAAATCCCCCTCCATCAATCGCTTGTACTAAAAGAAAAAAATAATTGAAATAATCCTAGAGACATCCAAATGAGAATATAATTTGAGAATTGCCAATAATTATTCCAACTTTTAAAATTCAAATTGATGTGATAACATTTCATTTTATAATCAATAAAGCAAGTTTTATATTATGTGTCACCTCATCTGTTAATTAACTTGAGGTAATAATTGGTATATGTTTTGAAAAAAGGCCTTTTTTTGTTATACAAGAGATATTGGGGGATGAGGGAATCGAACCTAAGAACTGGGATGCAAGGGTAAATACTCTTAACCACTTAAGCTATAAGTCCCTTGCTTTCAAACTTCATACACGACAACAGGTGAATAGAAGTAAATTAGGGAAGACTTTCGGTGACCATAGTGGAGAAGTAAGGATTGCTTACGCCATATATGGAAATTGGGAGTACTTCACCTAGCATTATTTACTGCGAATTTGTCCCTGTAGCAAGTAAAAAGTAGGAATAGATAGTTCTTCCATGTTTTGCTCTCAGTCCCATGCTGAATCATTTTTACTTGCCAAGTTTGTATAGAAATATAAGTAAAATCATGTAATTGAAATTTATTAAAATTATAAGTAAAATCCGAAGTGAATTAAAATCATAAATAAAATAATGTAATTGCAATATATTAAAATCATATAATTACGAATTCGGCTAAAATCAATTACATTAAATCATGTAGTTACAATATATTAAAATCTCAATTGAATACACCCCTTTTAATTACCAAAAAAATAACTGTCTGGGAAAGCTGGAAATATGAAGAAAAAAAAATGTTTGTTCTGTTTGTGTCTGTTTTTCATTTTGGGGAATGGTTAGAGATTGCTTTAGTTGGTTTTGGAATCTCTGAATTTTCGATTGTGAGATTTTTTATTATTTATCTATCACATGTAATTTGGTTATGTTTAATTCATGTTCAAAGAGGTTTTCGTTGATCTCTCCGAGAAATTTAAGGTACCCAACTTTATGAGGCTTGTTAGCCCCACAGGCATCTCTCCTGACAAGTTTGTCGGAGAGATCAACGCTATTAACAAGGAAAAGGATGGAGTCAAATTCAAGCACTCTTCCTTTTACAGACTCTAGACATATTGACTATACATATGAGAAATATAAGTTTGGAAGGCATGATAGAGTGTAAAGGCACATCAATCAAACTACATGTGAACATTAGAATATCTTGACAAGCCTTATAAGAAATCATGACACTGTGTTCTTACTTTAATATATACAAAAAAGGATTTGTGAAGCTTTTGACTAAAAGGCATAGAACCATCTGCAAGTAAAACAGCCTCCATCTTTGAAGCAAATCCGGCTTGAGCCTCATCCACAGCATTATCTAATTTTTCATAGACCTAAAAGAGCATGATTAGAAACATCTTTATTGACTCAGATGAATCTAGCAAAAGCACATTATTAAAAATGGAAAGATAAAAGTGAGGAAAAACAATACCAAATGGTGAAGACCACGAGGTCCTGTGCTCCCAATATACATCCCTGGCCTCTTTCTAACAGGGTCTAAGCCTTCCAATACCTGAACATGTTAGACGTTACAGCATCAAGCCAAAACTAAGTCGGAGTGACAGCTTACAAGACCCACTCAACAATTTCTAACCAAACCCATCAATAAGCAACAATTTCCAACAAACATAAACACCTTAATAAACTTACTTATCTATTTTAAAAACAAAAATAACAAGCATGATATCTTATCACCAAAAATAACAAATGAACAAATAAATTCACTCAAATTCAAACAAAGAAAAAGTTATGTTGTAACAAGAATACTGATAGAGTCGCCTTAATTCCCCAGTTGCCGCATTTTCTAGGAAACCAAACAGAAAATAAGCAGAAAATGAGGGGCAAAATATGAAAGGAAAAAGCAACTGGGTTGTGGGTTGAACAAGAGGGAGGGACGAGCAAGAGAGGAAGACGAGAAAGAAGAAGAAGAGGAGGGGAAGTGAGGGTAGAGAAGAGTGTGGGAGAAAGCGTAAGGCCATGAAGCGAAGATAAGGAGGTGGAGGTCTCAGAAGAAGAATTACTCGGTGTCACGTCATTTTCTTAACTTTAGTTATTCGGTGTCACGTCTTTTGTTCTTTGTGCTGTGAATGTTATTAGGTGTATTTGGCGATTTGGGCTGTGAGGTTGCCAAACACTCTGTAAACATCCCAATTTGTTGATAGTGTATGTATTTGCACACGCTGCTCTTGGAACATACCCAGTTATACCCAATTTGTTAAATCTTTTATTTTTCTTGTTTTTACATTTATTTTCTATTATTATCTTTGGGTTAGAAGCACCTGCTTCAGTATAAATTTATCGATTTCGAAATGCATTGATGCAATTATTTCCTTAAGGCTTGGTGCTTCTAGCACAACACATACAAGTACAAATGCATATTACAACCAACTTAGAAAATTGTAAAAGACAATACTGCTTTATTTGCTTGAATACATATATGCCTTCACATTTGCAACTTCTTCTGTACTCTACGATCCTTTATGCAGATAAGTACCAATGGCTGAGACAAAATCAAGGATACCATATTTCACTTTGTCAAGGAATTGGAAATAGGCGTATCTCCAGGACTTCTTGATGGCCAAAGTCCCAAAAACTCCCCAGAACCCTGCACAGAAACCTATCACCATGCTGATGACGAACTGTAGCTTTTCAAGTTTACTGTCATCATCATCCTCTCCTCCATCTCCACTCGGAACTTTAGGTGTTTCTTCATTCTCTTGGCAACCAATTGGTAATGGACACCCGCTAAGACCGGCATTACCCTCATAAATTGATGGGTCAACAAAGGTCTGAAACTGGTTACCCGTTGGGATTTTCCCGAACAAGTTATTGTATGACAGGTTTAGATGATTCAAAAGTGTTAAAGAAACCATGCTTTGTGGAATTGAACCTGAAAGTTTGTTCACTGATAAATCAAGAGTTTCTATCGACCTCAAGTTTCCGATATTTGTTGGGATATTTCCTGTCAAATGATTCATGGACAAATTTAAGGTGCCCAACTTTAATAGGCTTGTTATCCCCACAGGAATCTCCCCTGACAAGTTATTGTCCGAGAGATCAATGCTATAAACAAGGTAAAGGATGGAGTCATATACAAGCACTCTTCCTTTTGACACCACCCCCAATCTTCCTTGGTAACCGTAGACTTCTATACCTATGTCTTTGACCTCATATTTCAAGCCACTCAAATTATCTATGCAGTGGGGAATATTTCCGGAAAGATTGTTGTGTGATAAGTCCAATATATGGAGAGTGGAAAGGCCACATAATTGTAAAGGGATGCTTCTAGTAAATGAGTTGTTCCTCAAGCATAGAATCTTTAAAGAAGGCATGCTTTCTCCAATGGAAGCCGGAATCGGTCCAGAAAACTTGTTATCACCAAGATCAAGAATCCTCATGTCAGAACAGTTCTTCAAGGAAGGAACTTCACCTGACAAGTTGTTGCTAGAGACGATCAAATATTTGAGTGAAGTAAGAGAGCCTAAGGTTCTTGGGATTTTACCAGAGAGACTGTTGCTTGACATGTCTATAGCAACCAAAAATGGTATATTGTTCCAAAAATGAGGAATCTCACCAGACAAGTGGTTATTTGAGATAACCATGGTTGTTAATTGGCTTAAATTACCAAAGGACAGGGGAATGCTTCCACTCAAAGAGTTCCTAGAAATGTCTAGATGTGTCAAATGGGGCATCACTTGACCAATGTTATGAGGAATTGGCCCTGAAAATAGATTATCGCTAAGATACAGCACGGTAATGTTTGAGGACCAGAGTGGGAGTGGGCCCTCATAGCGATTTGAACTCAAATCAACAAGGGAATCATAGCTGAATCTTACTGAATTGGGCACCCTACCACTTAGTTGATTATAAGCGATATCTAGAACATCTAATTGCAAAACCAACTGCCAAAACCAATCTGGTGTGGTGTCTGAAATCCTAGAATTACGAAGTACCAGGTTGGTCAACTCAGTCTGATTTCTAAGCCATGTAGGAAATTTGGGACCCAGTTGGCATGATCTAATGTACAAGCTTCTTAATTTGAATGGAGGTATCCAATCAGAACTTATGTTGAAAACCAAGGAAATGTTTGGGGAATCATTTCCAATTGATACATCTCTCAGGCCTCCAAGTTTCGCAAAATGAGCTTCTGTAATGGCACCTTCCCATGTATTGCCAAAGATATGAAGTGAAACCAGCGATGAGAGCTCCCAAAGACTTTCTGGGATGATCCCACTCATTTGATTCCATCCAAGGTTAAACTCCTCCAAAGATGTTAAATTTCCAATCGATTTTGGCATTGAACCCTGAAATGAGTTAACTGACAATTTGAGGTATCTCAAGCTTTTAAGATATCCCAAAGAATCAGGCAGTTCTCCTGTCATACTGTTATATGTCAAATCCAACATCTCTAGTTCAGTGAGATTGAACAACCAAGGAGGTAGTGGGCTGTTGAAAACATTCATAGAGAGATCAAGAACCAAAAGGGGATGTGTTAAAAAAAAAAAAAAAAAAAAAAAAAAAAAAAAAAAAAAAAAAAAAAAAAAAAAAAAAAAAAAAAAAAAAAAAAAAAAAAAAAAAAAAAAAAAAAAAAAAAAAAAAAAAAAAAAAAAAAAAAAAAAAAAAAAAAAAAAAAAAAAAAAAAAAAAAAAAAAAAAAAAAAAAAAAAAAAAAAAAAAAAAAAAAAAAAAAAAAAAAAAAAAAAAAAAAAAAAAAAAAAAAAAAAAAAAAAAAAAAAAAAAAAAAAAAAAAAAAAAAAAAAAAAAAAAAAAAAAAAAAAAAAAAAAAAAAAAAAAAAAAAAAAAAAAAAAAAAAAAAAAAAAAAAAAAAAAAAAAAAAAAAAAAAAAAAAAAAAAAAAAAAAAAAAAAAAAAAAAAAAAAAAAAAATTAGTCATTTTTTTAAAAGTGTTAATAAATCATAAGAGAAAAGAATACTAAGCTAATTTCAAATCAGCCACATAAAGTGGTATGAGAATGTGATATACAAATGTGGTAATTTCAAATTAATACTAAGCTAATTTCAAATTTGTTTCCATCTTTGCAGGGTATGATCAGAAATCAGTCTCGAGGAGTATGAAGATGACAAGCATACAGATTCATCTGTAGCCCGTGTTGAATTTTTCTTCATCCACTAAAATTGGCACACCACTTGGAGAATTGTTATCAACTTTTATTCATCCACTAAATTTTTTCCAGCACTAACGCAGTGTTAAAGCTTTTCTTTCTCCGATAAGATTTCTTCCTTTTTATGCCCGCTTTCATAGTTGTATGAATGCTTTGATCTTGTCTTGTCCATAGAAAATTTTCCAACACTAATGCAAATATGGAGCTTTCTTTCACACTATCACAAGTGGCTTTTGAATTTTTGAAACATTCTCATTTTGAAGATATTTTCGTTCTCCGATATATAGCTTTGTTTACTTTATGTCATGCGTTGTCAAGCGACCAATTTTTACGAAAATTTTGACAAAATGCGATGACAAAGACCAAAATGTGTGAGTCAAAAAATTAATGAGCACATTCATTTGAAGACTTTTGAAAAAAGTAGTCCACAAAACTTTTTCCAACACCGTGAAGCTTTGTCTTTTTTTTTTTCCTTGTAATGACATCTTCACCTTTTTATTAACATTCAAATTGTTTTAGAGTTTTATGCATCCACTCTAATATTTCCAACACCAAGACAATGAAGGGTTTTTATTTTTCTCCGTGACATGATTTCTGTCTTTTATTCACACTTCCAAAATTGTTTTGACCTTTTCACTCATCCATTATCCAACACTCACTGTGAAGCTTAATTTTTGAAGTGCCTTTCGTATTTGGTTCTTCTTTTATGCTTTCTTTATACTAGCCTCTTCGCACATGCTCACGCATGTGTGTGAGCATGTGTCAATTGGTTTTATTTTTTATTTTTTATTTTATTTTTAGAATTAAGAAAAGATAACATGGGTAGTTATGTTCCATAAAAGTAAGACTTATCATCCAATTTTGTTTTTAATTTTAATTTTTTTTAATATGAAAAAATGTGAATTTACCATATTATCCTCATTTAATTAATAATTTCAATTCTTAATATTTGAATTAACCAAGGGCATTTTCTAGTATTTTGAATGTTTCACCATTCTCTGCCTTTTGATTTATATATACTAACCTCTCTACATACGCTTCCACGCCTGCGAGAGGCCTTTTTTAAAAGAATTTAATTTTTTTTTAGAATTAAAAAGATAATGGGTAGTTGTGTTCCGTAAAAATAGGATCAATTATCTGATTTTTCTTTTATTTTTAATTTTTTTAAAGTGTGAATTTACCATATTATCCCCATTTAATTAATAATTTAAATTCTTAATGTTTGCATTAACCAAGGGCATTTTCTGGTATTTTGAATGTTTCACCATTCTCTACCTATTGCTTTATATATATAGATGAACGAATCTTTGTTTCTTATTTAGCAACAAAAGGAAAAAAAAAAAAAAAAAAAAAAAAAAAAAAAAAAACAGAGTTTTATGATGTCTGCAGTTTCCTTGAAATATTAGTAGAAAAGAAATATACAAGGCAGGAAAAAACCGTGTAGCAAAATACAAAAACTAATATCTTATCACCAAAAATAACAATTGAACAAATAAAATCCCTCAAATTCAGACAAATAAAGAGTTATTTTGGAACAAGAATACTGATAGAGTAGCCTTATTCTTGTTCTCGTGTTTTCTAGGAAACCAAACATAAAATAAGCAAAGTATGAGGGGCAAAATATGAAAGGGAAAAGCACCTCGGTTGTGGGTTGACACGATAAAACAACTCAAAACAAAACATAATTTTAATTATTTCTAAGTCTTGACAACTTTAGAAAATATTGAAAAACTTATGGACAAAAAATCGACATTTTCTGAACTTTTGTGTCATGTCATTTGAATGGTTAAAGTGATGATTTAGATTGCCTTGATTTTTGATATAAGACATTTGAACAACCTCTCATGGACATTACAAATGGTATATTTTTCTTTTTTTTTTTTTTTTTTTTCATTCAATTTTTTTTCCTTTTACCATAACCATGCCTACTTGAATTATGAAATTTCTTACCCAAATGATGATTTTGATGTGTGATTTTTTGTTATTATTGCCTTTTTTTTTTTTTTTTTTTTTTTTTTTTTTTTCTTTTTTTTTCTGCAGAAAACTTGTTATCACCAAGATCAAGAATAAACATGTCAGTGCAGTTTTTCAAGGAAGGAACTTCACCTGAAAAGTTGTTGCTAGAGAGGATCAAGAAGTTGAGTAAAGTAAGATAGCCTAAGGATCTTGGGATTGTACCAGAGAGACTGTTGTTTGACATGTCTACCATTTGCAATGATGGTATATTGTTCCAAAAATGAGGAATCTCACAAGACAAGTGGTTATTTAAGATAATCATGAATTCTAATTGGCTTCAATTACCGAAGGATAGGGGAATGCTTCCACTCAAAGAGTTCCTAGAAATGTCTAGATCTATCAAATTGGGCATCACTTGACCAATGTTATGAGGAATTGGCCCTGAAAATAGGTTCTCTTTAAGATACAACCTGGTAATGTTTGAGGACCAGAGTGGGAGTGGGCCCTCAAAGCGATTTGAACTCAAATCAACAATCGATTCACCCTGCCGCTTAGTTGATTATAAGCAACATCTAGTTTAACTAATTGCAAATCCAACTGCAAAAACCAATCTGGTATGGTCTCTGAAATCCTAGCATTATGGAGTACCACCGTGGTCAACTCAGTCTGATTTCTAAGCCATGTAGGAAATTTGGGACACAGTTGGCATGATCTAATGTACAAGTATCTTAATTTGAAAGGAGGTGTCCAATCAGAACTTAGGTTGAAAACCAAGGAAATGTTTGAGGAAATGAGCTTCTGTAATGGCACCTTCCCATGTGTTACCATAGATATAAAGTGAAACCAATGATGAGAGCTCCCCAAGGCTTTCTGGGATGATCCCACTCATTTGATTCCTTGTAAGGTAAAACTTCTCCAAAGATGTTAAGTTTCCAATTGATTTTGGGATTGAACCTTGGAATGAGTTATATGACAATTTGAGGTATCTCATGCTTTTGAGATTGAACAACCAAGGAGGTATCGTGGAGGTGAAATAATTGTGAGAGAGATCAAGAACCAAAAGGGATGTGAAATTGATAGAAGGAAGAGTGAGAGGAAGGATGGATAGTCCACAAGAGGGCAAATGCAATTCAACAAGTGAAGGGAGCATATTAATAGTGGGAAGCCAATAGGATGCTGCCTTGGTAAGGTCCACTCCTCCCAAGTTAAGGTACTTTAAGGAAGAAAGAGTTGCAAGCCACTGAAGGTCAGTCTCAATTGGGTCACCAAGGCCATCAAGGTCAGTCTCATTTGGGTCACCAAGGCTATCAAGGTCAGTCTGAAATAGGTCATTATTAAGATCAAGATAAAGCAAAGAAGGGTTTATCTCACCACTAATTACATTAACCACTATTGCTCCGTCATCATCTGACCAAAAGCGATTGCAAAGATCGAGCTTGTTGACACGTCCAGTTATGTTGTTGCAGCCAACACCACTCCATTTGCAGCAATCTTTTCCCACCCAAGATGAAAGCCGGTCCAAAGAATCTTCGAGGCCTTGTTTGAACTTGAGAAGGGCTTTTCTCTCTATATCTATGCATCCCACATTATGATCATCATTGCAGAAACCGAGTTTAATGGTTTCAAGGGATAAAATTACGAACAGTATAATTAGTGAGACAAGGAGGATGGAAGCAGCACTGTTGAGACCCATGATTCTTATGCAATGGGATGATCTGCAGGACTAAAAATATGAGTCTGCAAGATTAAAGAGTACAAAGATGCCCGTATATATGAGTAAATGAGAATTCAGATGGTTGAGCTTTCGTAGTCTTTGAATAGTGCGAAATTATGCAAAGAGTTCCAAGTCAGTTTGAGTTGTGGGGTAAATGGTTCAATCCCATCAGCACTTCAGCCAAATGACTTTTAACCTCCACCCCCAGTCAATTTCCCCATACCAATACCTGGACAACCTGGATGAGTCCACTGAGTCTAATTCTACTTGCAATATTAGACTCAAATTGTTAAGTTTGGAACAATATTGGTGTTGGACCAGATTAGTAATGGTCGTCGGTAGACCATTCTACACCACTTAAAATATAAGAACACCAAGTGATCTGACTAAATATTTGCTAAAAGTAAATGAGAGACACTATCAAATTAATTTTTAATAAAAGACTTCAAATTTTGTTTGTGTTGACGATATTATTACTTTGAACGATGAGCAAATCCTTGTGAGGCAGCTTATCTCTGGGAAATTATGTCAAGACTGGGGACAAAATTAAGGAAAGCATGACTCATGAGTAACCCTTAATTATTTCATACAAGGGTTGAATAGCATTTGTCTGCACAAAACCTCTTTGCCATCAACCCAGTAAACCCATTTTTGGTAAAGGCCATGCATAGCCTAAAAGCTGTACATACAGAGTTTTATGATGTCTGCAGTTTCCTTGAAATATTAGTACAAACGAAATATACAAGGCAGGAAAAAACCGTGTAGCAAAATACAAAAACTAATATCTTATCACCAAAAATAACAATTGAACAAATAAAATCCCTCAAATTCAGACAAAAAAAAAGTTAGTTTGGAACAAGAATACTGATAGAGTAGCCTTATTCTCTAGTTCTCATGTTTTCTATGAAACCAAACTTAATAAGCAAAATATGAAAGGGACAAGCACCTGGGTTGTGGGTTGACACGATAAAACAACTCAAAACAAAACGTAATTTTAATTATTTCTAAGTCTTGACAACTTTAGAAAATATTGAAAAACTTATAGACACTAACTTTCAAATTATAAGGACTAAAAATCGACATTTTCTTAACTTTTGTGTCACGTCATTTGAATGGTTAAAGTGATGATTTAGATTGTCTTGATTTTTGATATAGGACATTTGAACAACCTCTCATGGACATTACAAAATTTTTATATTTTTTTTTTTTTTTTTTTTTTTTTTTTTTTTTTTCAATTTTTAATTTGTAACTTTTTTTTCCTTTTCTTGAGCCATAATCATGCCTACTTGAATTATGAAATTTCTTACCCAAATGATAATTTTGATGTGTGATTTTTTGTTATTATTGCCATGTGCTTCCTTTTTTTTTCTTTTTTCTTTTCTTGAGCCATATATGCTCTTGAACAGGTATGACCCTATGCTTGAATATAGTTTCCTTGCATAAAATTATGGTGATTCGATTGTGTGGAGATCACCATTTGGATCATCCATTCAAAGAGAGGTGTTCTACATTTGTAGCTTTGTAAGGTTCATAATTTCCTCCTCTATTTGTTCTTTCTTTCGAATAACCCACCACCCTATATATCAACCTCCACCCTCAGTCAATATCTCCAAACCAATACATGGACAACCTGGTCTAATTTTACTCACAATATTAGATTTAGATAGTTAAGTTGAGAACAATATTGGTGTTGGACAAGATTAATAGTGGCCTTGATAGTCTGTTGTACACCACTTAAAACATAAGAAGGTATTAAACACCACTGTCTTCCACTATCTTGCCTTTATGTTTATTAAGCTTTATATTGTCTCTTAGTTTATTATTATGAATCCGGTATAAATACCTCCTCTTATGGAGATGAATAATCCGGCAAAATATCATCTAATCATCAAATCTTTTACCTCGGTGGTATATTTCGCGGAAATATTAGTACTAAAGAAATATACAAGGCAGGGTGACCTGAAAAACCTCAAGTCAGTTCTTTACAAGCCTACCTGGCCTAGATAACACCGTACAATTCTATTGACTGCAGATCCGAAGAATGGGCGTGACGCCCTTGATGTGGCCATTATGATCAGACCCATAAGCATTGGAACCGGAGCTGCCTTGAAGAGCCTCGGTTGCAGGGGTACACGAGAACTAAAGCACTGTAAGAAAGATACATAAGTCCAGAGTTTTACAGAGGTTGAAGGATGAAAGTCAACAACTTGTAATTATACTGAACAGTAAGAAGAACTAGCATCCTCTAAGGTGTTGGACGTTTGATTGATTGTAAACAGAGCATAGTCAAGAACGATATGCTATTAACTGCACCAACATGACATTTCTTGCTCATGCCTCTAAAGTTCCTCTTTCCAACTATAATCGCTACAGAATCACCAAACAAATCATCCAATCTAGCTGAAAGTACTAAACAAGATGATCCAAGACTCAAAAGTTGATCCTTCATGAATATTGTATCATGTTTGTCAAAATTATACCCCAGTTAACCAAATTAGAGATTTTTGCATTGCTTAGATGTTTTTACTTCACCCAAAAAAACATGAAAGACATGTGGGGCACAAAAACAAAAATGGACAATTGGTACCAACCACAAATATTAGCCATGAGACAAAAAAGAAGAATGATGACATTAGCCAACCAAATAATTAGAAATTAAAAAAATTCAATTCCAAATATGAAGCATGAATTAATGAGGAAAAGGATATCAAAATGGACAGGCAAACAGAATAGCATGAGAAAGCAAAAGAGAAAAACTTGCCTCAATTTGAGTATGCACAGAACCCCATTGAAGATTCATTGCATTGAAGAGATAAAAACATACAATTCCATCCTTTATAAGAAAAACAGAACAATTAGATTCAATCAACTATATATAATGATTTACAGTGTAATCAATTAATGAATTGGTTTCAGAAGCAAGAAACCCAAAGAATCTCTAGTTCTTGCGGACGCGGCTGGTGGCGTCTGAGAGCAACTCAGGCTTCGCGAAGGTGGAGTGGTCAAAGAGCTCCGACCACAGGCGGCGCTGGGAGAGGCCTTTGCGGAGATTTTCCGAGATGTGGTTGAGGAAGGTGTGGAAGGCTAGGGTGGCGATCGGGGCTTGGGATTGGGCGGAGCCGACTGAGGTTGCGGTGGTTGTGGAGGTGGTTGAGACCGGAAAGATCAGAGGTGGTAGAGACTGGAAAGATCGGAGGTGGGGTTGGGTTCGACATTGCAGGTCGGTGGATTTGATGGGATACAACGGTATATTTTATTTTGATGGATTTTGGGGTGTTTTTAGTTATAAAAGGGTAGAAACGTAAATTAAAATACAAATTAAACATGCCTTAAAGTCCTTGTGAAGGCCCATTGACCTCAAGCTAACAGAAATTCAAAAAAGTCCATTGACTATATCCTTATCAATTTCCATTTTATTGATTGTTATCAAATTAGACTTAAAATTAACTAGGTTGGATTGGATTTGATTTGATTTGATTCTCATAAGCAAATCTCTGTCATCTGATCCAATCATGTCAGTTTTAAAAATTATGGATCCAATCTAATCCATCAAATCTTTGAAACCGATTAAAATTTTATTGAATTGGATTAGATTAATCGGTTTCGGCGGATTAGATTTGATCTTGTACACCCCTAGCTCATGGAAAGATTGGTTGGGGTTTTGGTGGTTGCCAAATAGCGTCGCTGGCAGTGAAAAGGGAAGATGCACATGGCGAATGAGATGGGGTTGGATGGGTTGCAGTGGGTGCGAGGTTTTCTATTACCTGCTAGGTTGTTTTGTTGTTTTGTTTTGTTTTGTTTTTGTTTGTATTATTTTAATAGAATTTAATGGTGTTATATCGGAGTTAAGTGGGCAGATACTTGCCAAAAGGGATGTGAAATTGATAGAAGGAAGAGTGAAAGGAAGGATGGAAAGTCCGCAAGAGGGCAAATGCAATTCAACAAGTGAAGGAAGCATATTAACAGTGGGAAGCCAATAGGATGTAGTCTTAGCAAGGTTCACTCCTTCCAAGTTAAGGTACTTTAAGGAAGAAAGAGTTGCAAGCCATTGAAGGTCAGTCTCAATTGGGTGACCATAGTTATTACCAAGATCAAGATAAAGCAACCTTGAGAGATTTCCAATATTGTGGGGAATGATTCCACCAAAAGATGCACCAGAGAGATTGAGGTATTTCAATTTCTCTAGTGATCCAATGAAACTTGGAAGTTGGACACCTCCAAAGTAATTCATGCTCAAATCTAAGTAAACCAAATCTTTCAAAACAAGCAAAGAAGGGTTGATCTCACCACCAAATGCATGCTCTATTGATCTGTAACCATTTAACCCATCTGAATAGCGATTGCGAAGATCGAGCATGTTGACACGTCCAGTTATGTTGTTGCAGCCTACGCCACTCCATTTGCAACAATCTTCTCCCACCCAAGACGAAAGCCGGTCAGAAGGATCTGTGAGGCCTTGTTTGAGCATGAGAAGGGCTTTCCTCTCTATATCTGTGCAGCCCACACTATTATCATCATTGCAGAAACCGAGTTTAATGGTTTCAAGGGATAAAATTCCTGACAATATAATTAGTGAGACAAGTTGGATGAAAGCACTAGCACTGCAGTGACCCATGATTCTTATGCAATGGGATGATCTGTAGGACTAAAGATACGAGTCTGCAAGATTAAAGAGCACAAAGATGCCCTTTATATAGGAGTAAATGAAAATTCAGATGGTTAAGAATTTGTACACTTCGAATTGTTCAACATTATGTGTCGGGGACACGCTACCAAGAACAAAAAAATTCCATAATCCGGTCCCTACCAACACAAATTGTGTGAACATCAATTAAACGACTTCCAAGTCTTTGATAAAGATAAAATACTGACAATGACACTGCTACGATCATGTGCGCAAAGACTTCCAAGTCAAGTTGAGTTGTAGGCTAAGTAGTTCAACCCCATCAGCACTTAAGCTAGATAATGACTTTGAAGTTTAAAGTAGCAATTTCAGTCAATGGGATATTTAAGACCACAAATATGGAGTACAAGTCAGAAATTTAATATCCAAAAGAATACTTGCAACGCATATTTTTCAAATAAACTATTTGACATAGTCATAGAAGAGTTATTTACACAAACATCCTCTGAGGTTTTTGGCTTTTTCACAAAACTCTTTGAGGTTTTAAAAATTACATGAACATCTCCGGAGGTTTTAAATTGTTTTCACAAAACTCATTTTCATTGATTTTTTATCCAAAAATTGATTATTTTATATCGAAATTTTTTTTTTTCTCCAAATGACAAACTTGTGCTTTGAGATTAGATTGCATATACTTCATTGAGATTAATTTTGTCATTTGCATAAATTGTTTTTCAATAAAATCGGCAAATTTTGGACAAACAATCAACGAAAAGAGGTTTTGTGAAAACAAATTGGAACCTCCGAAGGTGTTCATGTAATTTTTTAAACTTGAGGGGATTTTGTTAAAAAACAAGAAACCTCAGAAGGTGTTGGTGTAAATAACTCGTCATAGATATAGAACAAGAGATCCTGCTATATTTCTTTTTCTTTTCTTTTTATTTATTAAAAAACTCTCAAGTCCTACGAATTTCATATGAGGACATTATTAAAAATGAAAATTGTTTATAATTTACAAATCAAGCAGTATGCATAAGCCAATGGTGTTTATGTAATATTATAAGGAGTAATGCTACACTTATCACATTTTTATCCCATATTTCTATACCATATATCATATTTGCATCACTTAAATCAATGAAATGTATTTTAATAAAGAAAGTTTAATTAGTCATTTTTTTAAAAGTGTTAATAAATCATAAGAGAAAAGAATACTAAGCTAATTTCAAATCAGCCACATAAAGTGGTATGAGAATGTGATATACAAATGTGGTAATTTCAAATTAATACTAAGTTAATTTCAAATTTGTTTCCATCTTTGCAGGGTATGATCAGAAATCAGTCCCGAGGAGCATACAGATTTATCTGTAGCCCGTGTTGAATTTTTCTTCATCCACTAAAATTGGCACACCACTTGGAGAATTGTTATCAACTTTTATTCATCCACTAAATTTTTTCCAGCACTAACGCAGTGTTAAAGCTTTTCTTTCTCCGATAAGATTTCTTCCTTTTTATGCCCGCTTTCATAGTTGTATGAATGCTTTGATCTTGTCTTGTCCATAGAAAATTTTCCAACACTAATGCAAATATGGAGCTTTCTTTCACACTATCACAAGTGGCTTTTGAATTTTTGAAACATTCTCATTTTGAAGATATTTTCGTTCTCCGATATATAGCTTTGTTTACTTTATGTCATGCGTTGTCAAGCGACAAATTTTTACGAAAATTTTGACAAAATGCGATGACAAAGACCAAAATGTGTGAGTCAAAAAATTAATGAGCACATTCATTTGAAGACTTTTGAAAAAAGTAGTCCACAAAACTTTTTCCAACACCGTGAAGCTTTGTCTTTTTTTTTTTCCTTGTAATGACATCTTCACCTTTTTATTAACATTCAAATTGTTTTAGAGTTTTATGCATCCACTCTAATATTTCCAACACCAAGACAATGAAGGGTTTTTATTTTTCTCCGTGACATGATTTCTTTCTTTTATTCACACTTCCAAAATTGTTTTGACCTTTTCACTCATCCATTATCCAACACTCACTGTGAAGCTTAATTTTTGAAGTGCCTTCCGTATTTGGTTCTTCTTTTATGTTTTCTTTATACTAGCCTCTTCGCACATGCTCACGCATGTGTGTGAGCATGTGTCAATTGGTTTTATTTTTTAATTTTTATTTTATTTTTAGAATTAAGAAAAGATAACATGGGTAGTTATGTTCCATAAAAGTAAGACCTATCATCCAATTTTGTTTTTAATTTTAATTTTTTTTAATATGAAAAAATGTGAATTTACCATATTATCCTCATTTAATTAATAATTTCAATTCTTAATATTTGAATTAACCAAGGGCATTTTCTAGTATTTTGAATGTTTCACCATTCTCTGCCTTTTGCTTTATATATACTAACCTCTCTACATACGCTTCCACACCTGCGAGAGGCCTTTTTTAAAAGAATTTAATTTTTTTTTAGAATTAAAAAGATAATGGGTAGTTGTGTTTCGTAAAAATAGGATCCATTATCTGATTTTTCTTTTATTTTTTACCATATTATCCCCATTTAATTAATAATTTAAATTCTTAATGTTTGCATTAACCAAGGGCATTTTCTGGTATTTTGAATGTTTCACCATTCTCTACCTATTGCTTTATATATATAGATGAACGAATCTTTGTTTCTTATTTTGCACAAAAGCAAAAAAAAAAAAAAAAAAAAAAAAAACAACACACAGTTTTATGATGTCTGTAGTTTCCTTGAAATATTAGTAGAAAAGAAATATACAAGGCAGGAAAAAACCGTGTAGCAAAATACAAAAACTAATATCTTATCACCAAAAATAACAATTGAACAAATAAAATCCCTCAAATTCAGACAAATAAAGAGTTATTTTGGAACAAGAATACTGATAGAATAGCCTTATTCTTGTTCTCGTGTTTTCTAGGAAACCAAACATAAAATAAGCAAAAAATGAGGGGCAAAATATGAAAGGGAAAAGCACCTCGGTTGTGGGTTGACACGATAAAACAACTCAAAACAAAACATAATTTTAATTATTTCTAAGTCTTGACAACTTTAGAAAATATTGAAAAACTTATGGACAAAAAATCGACATTTTTCTGAACTTTTGTGTCACGTCATTTGAATGGTTAAAGTGATGATTTAGATTGTCTTGATTTTTGATATAAGACATTTGAACAACCTCTCATGGACATTACAAAAGGTAATTTTTCATAACTTTTTTTTTTCAATTTGTAACTTGTCTTTTTTCCTTTTACCATAACCATGCCTACTTGAATTATGAAATTTCTTACCCAAATGATGATTTTGATGTGTGGTTTTTTGTTATTATTGCCATGTGCTTCCTTTTTTTTTTTTTTTTTCTTTTCTTGCAGAAAACTTGTTATCACCAAGATCAAGAATAAACATGTCAGTGCAGTTTTTCAAGGAAGGAACTTCACCTGAAAAGTTGTTGCTAGAGAGGATCAAGAAGTTGAGTAAAGTAAGATAGCCTAAGGATCTTGGGATTGTACCAGAGAGACTGTTGTTTGACATGTCTACCATTTGCAATGATGGTATATTGTTCCAAAAATGAGGAATCTCACGAGACAAGTGGTTATTTAAGATAATCATGAATTCTAATTGGCTTCAATTACCGAAGGATAGGGGAATGCTTCCACTCAAAGAGTTCCTAGAAATGCCTAGATCTATCAAATTGGGCATCACTTGACCAATGTTATGAGGAATTGGCCCTGAAAATAGATTCTCTTTAAGATACAGCCTGGTAATGTTTGAGGACCAGAGTGGGAGTGGGCGATTTGAACTCAAATCAACAATCGATTCACCCTGCCGCTTAATGAATCTTAATGAATTGGGCACCCTGCCGCTTAGTTGATTATAAGCAACATCTAGTTTAACTAATTGCAAATCCAACTGCAAAAACCAATCTGGTATGGTCTCTGAAATCCTAGCATTATGGAGTACCACCGTGGTCAACTCAATCTGATTTCTAAGCCATGTAGGAAATTTGGGACACAGTTGGCATGATCTAATGTACAAGTATCTTAATTTGAAAGGAGGTATCCAATCAGAACTTAGGTTGAAAACCAAGGAAATGTTTGAGGAAATGAGCTTCTGTAATGGCACCTTCCCATGTGTTACCATAGGTATAAAGTGAAACCAATGATGAGAGCTCCCCAAGGCTTTTTGGGATGATCCCACTCATTTGATTCCCTGTAAGGTAAAACTTCTCCAAAGATGTTAAGTTTCCAATTGATTTTGGGATTGAACCTTGGAATGAGTTATATGACAATTTGAGGTATCTCAAGCTTTTGAGATTGAACAACCAAGGAGGTATCGTGGAGGTGAAATAATTGTGAGAGAGATCAAGAACCAAAAGGGATGTGAAATTGATAGAAGGAAGAGTGAGAGAAAGGATGGATAGTCCACAAGAGGGCAAATGCAATTCAACAAGTGAAAGGAGCATATTAATAGTGGGAAGCCAATAGGATGCTGCCTTGGTAAGGTCCACTCCTCCCAAGTTAAGGTACTTTAAGGAAGAAAGAGTTGCAAGCCACTGAAGGTCAGTCTCAATTGGGTCACCAAGGCCATCAAGGTCAGTCTCATTTGGGTCACCAAGGCTATCAAGGTCAGTCTGAAATAGGTCATTATTAAGATCAAGATAAAGCAAAGAAGGGTTTATCTCACCACTAATTACATTAACCACTATTGCTCCGTCATCATCTGACCAAAAGCGATTGCAAAGATCGAGCTTGTTGACACGTCCAGTTATGTTGTTGCACCACCACTCCATTTGCAGCAATCTTTTCCCACCCAAGATGAAAGCCGGTCCAAAGAATCTTCGAGGCCTTGTTTGAACTTGAGAAGGGCTTTTGTCTCTATATCTATGCATCCCACATTATGATCATCATTGCAGAAACCGAGTTTAATGGTTTCAAGGGATAAAATTACAAACAGTATAATTAGTGAGACAAGGAGGATGGAAGCAGCACTGTTGTGACCCATGATTCTTATGCAATGGGATGATCTGCAGGACTAAAAATATGAGTCTGCAAGATTAAAGAGTACAAAGATGCCCGTATATATGAGTAAATGAGAATTCAGATGGTTGAGCTTTCGTAGTCTTTGAATAGTGCGAAATTATGCAAAGAGTTCCAAGTCAGTTTGAGTTGTGGGGTAAATGGTTCAATCCCATCAGCACTTCAACCAAATGACTTTTAACCTCCACCCCCAGTCAATTTCCCCATACCAATACCTGGACAACCTGGATGAGTCCACTGAGTCTAATTCTACTTGCAATATTAGACTCAAATTGTTAAGTTTGGAACAATATTGGTGTTGGACCAGATTAGTAATGGTCGTCAGTAGACCATTCTACACCACTTAAAATATAAGAACACCAAGTGATCTGACTAAATATTTGCTAAAAGTGAATGAGAGACACTATCAAATTAATTTTTAATAAAAGACTTCAAATTTTGTTTGTGTTGACGATATTATTACTTTGAACGATGAGCAAATCCTTGTGAGGCAGCTTATCTCTGGGAAATTATGTCAAGACTGGGGACAAAATTAAGGAAAGCATGACTCATGAGTAACCCTTAATTATTTTATTATTATTTTTTGGTAAAATAGGGGGCAAAGCCCAAACCAAAAGGATTACACAGGAACAAATCTAGGTCTCAAGAGACCATTCTTATCATCATCTAAAACAGGCTTCAACTGATCAGGAGGAGAAGAGAGCTCATGATAACCCAAATCCTTATGATGACCCAGCTTAGCTAGGAAATCTGCCGCAAAATTGGTCTCCCTATAGACATGAAGAACGCAGCAATTCCACTGATTTTTCAAAAGTTCTTTGCACTTGGTAAGTAACACAGCCATAGGATGAGAGTCCACCCAATCTCCATTAATCATATCAACAATAAGGGCAGAATCAGAATTAACCATAATCTGGCGCAAACCCAGCTGCCAAGCAAGATTAAGACCATAATATAAGGCCCAAGCTTCAGCCACAAAGACTTCACCATGATCAAGATTAGCAGAAAAACCTGCTATCCAGTTACCATAAGAGTTCCTAATTATACCTCCTGCAGCAATGCACCCAGAGTCACTCATTCTAGAGCCATCAATATTAAGCTTAAAGAAGCCACAAGGTGGAGGCTGCCAAGCAAGAAACATCTGAGTTTGAGAGGTAGCCTTCTTTACAAGGTTAGTAGCCTTATCCCATTCCAGAAGATACTCAACAATAATCTGATTTGGATGACAAGGCATTTGGAAATAAGGCTCAAAGATAGAACGACACCTCCATTTCCAAATGAACCAGCAAGCAACAACAAAAATACTAGACCACTTCAAATTCCTTATATGCCCAGCATTGTAACACAAATTTTCCTTCAACCAACTATCAAAATCAGAGGCAAAGAAATTGATCAATCTTTCAGGAAGATAGAAGGATCTCCAAAGTGCAAGAACACGAGGACAAGAGATAAAGAGATGCTGTAACGACTCCTCAAGGTAGTGACAGAGAGGACAAGAAGGGTCTCTAGAAAGATGCCTTCTTACTCTCTGCACATTAGTTAAGATCTTTTTCTGAGTGAGAAGCCAAGTGAACATTTTAACACGGGGAGGGATCTTCAAATTCCAAATGAACTTCCAAGGAAAACCAGTGACTTCATTAAACCTGGCAGATAACTCAAAAGCAGTCTTTACAGAAAAGACTCCATTTGAAGAGGGACCCCATATACAAGTATCAGGTATATTCCCGTCAACATCTACATGAATACTGATGATCTGCATAACGGCTTCCGGTTGAAGAGCCTGCAGGAGTTTCTGAATGTTCCAACCAGTCGTAGAAAAATAATTTGACACAGTTTCAGCTTTGTCAAGCTGATCAGATAAGGGAAAATTAGTATCCACCAAAGGAACATCACCAATCCAAGTATCAGTCCAGAATTTGACTCTAGTGCCATCTCCCACTCTCCATTTCATACCCTTATTTAAAATGGCAGCTCCATATATTAATCCTTTCCAAGAGCTGGAAGCCAAAGTACAATTATCATCATAAGCATCAATACAAAAAGTACTTTTTCCTGAGCATCGCAGCCCAAAGACCTGAGTCCCCAGCCACAATTCTCCAACTAGCTTTAGATAACATAGCTTGATTCATAAGAGAAGCCTTTTTAATACCCAAACCTCCTAGACGTTTAGGCAAACAAACTGTATCCCACTTAACTAAATGAGTTTTATGATGGTTCTCACTACTTCCCCAAAGAAAACTTTTAGAAGATTTGTCAAGGTCTTCACAAAGGCCTTGAGGAAGCATAGCCGTCTGCATAGTATAAAGAGGAATAGAAGAAGCAACAGACTGGATTAAAGTGATTCTTCCAGCCATAGAAAGCAACTGACTTTTCCAAGCAGAAAGTTTAGCCTGAACTTTAACCAGAACCCCCTTATACGTAGCCTTGGTAACCCTCCCTTGGACAAGGGGAACTCCCAAATAATTCCCCATATCAGCAGATCTGGTGGCACCACAAGTTAACTCAATTTGATCAACAAGGTCAGACTTAGTATTGGCAGATATGTACAACAAAGATTTCTCAAAATTCACCTGCTGCCCAGAAAGCTCACAAAACTCCTCAAGAGAATTTTTCATAACCATAGCTTGCTGAGCAGAAGCCTCACCAAAAAGAATCAAGTCATCCGCAAAGAACAGATGCGAGATTAAAGGACCAGACCTCGCTGCCCTAACAGCTTTCCATTCCTTCTTTAACACCTTAGCAGCAATGATGTGAATAAGCTTTTCCATACATAAGACAAAGAGGTAAGGGGAAAGAGGGTCACCTTGTCGAACACCTCTTTGAGGTTTGAAACTCTCAGTAAGCTCCCCATTCAAGATAATTCTGTAAGAGACATTTTTAACACAGCTCATAATGAGATGAAGAGAAGTTTCCCCAATACCAATTTCTGCAAGAGTTTGCTCGATAAAAGACCATTTCAATCTGTCATACGCCTTAGAGAGGTCAATTTTCCAAGCTATATACTCGGTTTTACCTCTTGCTCTATGGAATCTATGCAAAACCTCTTGAGCAATGAAGATATTATCTGAAATTTGTCGTCCAGGAACAAAGCTAACCTGATTGGGGCTAACAAGCTTACACATAAGAGGTCTGAGCCTTCCAACAATGATCTTAGAAACAACTTTGTATAAAGTGTTACAAAGACTAATAGGCCGGAACTGCAGCATGCTCTGAGGATTAGTGATTTTAGGAACTAGAGTAACAAGGGTACTGTTCAGGGACTCTGGAACAGAACCACTAGAAAAACATTTAAACACCAAATCTTCAATATCCTTCTTACAAAGACACTAATGATTATGGAAGAAAATAGCAGAGTAGCCATCGGGACCAGGAGCCTTGTAGGGACCAATAGCAAAAAGGGCATCCTGCACCTCCTTTTCAGTCACCTCATTACTGACAGCAGCCAAATCAGCCTCAGAAATATGAGGGAAAAGAGAAGGCAAAGGACTATGAATGATATCAACAAAATCATCCAAAAAAAGCCCATGAAAATAAGCGCTTTCAAACCTTCTTTACTAGAGATCCAATCCCCATTAATATCTTTAAGCCTTTCAATTCTATTCCTTCTTCTTATGACAAGAGTAGTAATGTGAAAGAACTTGGTATTTCTATCCCCACCTTGCAGCCAAGAAACTCTAGATTTTTGTTTCCAAAACACATCCTCCTGATCCAATAAATCCTCAAACTCCTATTGAAGTTGCTTCTCTAGATTGCTCAAAAAAGGGGAAAAACCCTTACAAAGAGCCCTTTGGATGCCTTGAAGCCTAGCAAGAATTCTCTTTTTCCTTTGAAAAATTTGACCAAAGACTTGGGTATTCCACTCCCGAAGCAGGGGAATCAACAAATCCAATTTAATAGAAACTGAACCTTCCAAATTCTTCCACTCAGCTTGAATGAACTCAGGAAATAAACAATGTTTAAGCCACATAGCCTCAAATCTGAAAGGTTTAAGCTCAGCTGAAGGAATCTTATTAGAAATAAGACTAATCAAAAGAGGACTATGATCAGAACATCGTCTAGGCAAATGCCTTACGAAAGCTTCAGGAAATAAAACCCTCCACTCCTTGTTACAAATAACCCTATCCAATCTCTTCATCACAAAGTCGCCACCAGCTCTCTTATTAACCCAAGTAAACTTGGGTCCCAAAAAACCCAAATCAATGAGCCCATGTTGATCAAACCAATCCTTGAAACCTCTACTTTTACCAGATAATTTTCCAAATTTTTCATCCTCGAACAAGATATCATTAAAATCCCCACAAACAACCCAAGGAAGATTCCAATAAGCAGCAATAATAGTTAAGTTTTGCCAGAGGTAAGCCCTCCTAGCCGGGCAAGGATGCCCATACACGGTAGTAAAAATCCAAGAAATACCTCCAGAAGTCTCAACACAAACAGAAACAGCTTGATCCATGCAATGAATGACTCTCAAGTTGAATTTAGCATCATCCCACAGCAACCAAATACCACCAGAGAAGCCAACAGCATCAGAGATTTCAGCCTTAGGGAAGCCAAGTTGAGAAATGACTTTCCGAGCTTTACTTGAACTAATTCTAGGCTCCAAAATAACCAACATATCCAACTTATGTCTATACTTAAGATCTTTCATAGCAAGCAAAGATCTCTTATTACCTGCCCCTCTAATATTCCAACAACCAATCATTAAGATGGAAGGAAGAGAGAAATGATCAAACCAGACCCAATCAGAATTGGTAGACAAAGGCCCCATACATTTGAGACCTTGAGCCTTGCCATCCTCTACACAACAAGCAGACACATCAGCAATTAAAGCTTCACCAACTTTAGACTCCAACTGCACACTCACAGAATCCCTCAAATCCTGAATTTCCATATCCTGATCAGCAGCTCTAGAAACCACAGAAATAATATTTGGAGCTCGAGGCTTAGGAATGGAAGAATACTCATTCCTACAAGCCTCAACCTCCCCAATTTCCAAACCTCCATTATCAAAGCTGGTCATAGGCTTCCTAAGATTACTCAAAGCCTGGTCCAACTCAGACACAGACTTTATAGCAGAACCATGAGGCAAACTCTTAGAGCTAGGCCTCAAAACAATTGCAGGCCTAACAGCAGATTTATTTGAAATATCAGACAAAACCTTCCTTGGCCTACCAACCTTTTTCTTGCCCTTATTAGTAAGAATTGGAGCATTCCAACCACCATCATCTTTACTTTGAACAGCCTTCCCATTACTTGACAGATTATTCTCCAAAGTTCCAAAAACATGCTCTTGCTCACTATCAAAACACTCATTCTCCAATATATTAAATCCAGAACCAGAAGCATCATAAGTCCCAGCCTCAGAAATACCCTTTTGAATAACTTCCCTTTTATCTTTCTGAGGCAAAGTATTGCTGGAATAAAAAGTCTTCTCCTGTCTCTTGTGGACGACCTCAGGGCTAACACCCTTTCCTTTATCATCACTAGCAGCAGTCCCATTTTTAAAATTCTTCTTCCAAGCTTTTCTAGTCGGAACAACATTCCAAATGCCAAAACCTGCCTTATCCCCAGAAGGATCAATTGGGCCTCTTTGATTATCATCAAGCCTCATCTTACGTAACTTCTCCACTTGATGAGAACACACCTCTTCTTGAATATCCCTAGTCATATCCATATCCGTCTCATTATTCTTATGGATAGGTTTAGCAAAAGGACAATGCTCTTTACTGTGCCCAACTCTGCAGCAATTAAAACAAATCACAGGGAGATTTTCGTATTCCACTCTCACAGGCCTACCCTCAACAACTAGGTAAGGGATGAGAGGCAAATTCAAATCAATTTCAACACAGACCCTTGCAAACTTACCTCTCATCTGACCAACAGTATGAACATCCACCTTATATGATGAGCCAATCAAATCCCCAATACACTTAATAGTCTCAGAATTGAAGAATTCAACTCCCATACCAGATAATCTCACCCAAACAGTAATACGGGAGACATGCTCCTCAACTGCACAAAAATTAGGCCTCCATTTTTGAACAGCCACATACTGTCCTGCTACTACCCAAGGGCCCCCAGTTAACACATACAACATATCCTCCTCCAGAACAAAACGAACAATGAAAACCCATTGTCTAAATCAACCAATTGCATAGGACCCTTAAGCCTCCAATGTTGCTTCAACCTTGCAAAGACAAAATTATAGGTATGAGTCTTCCCTACAAACTGGATAATCACAGAATTTTTCCATGGTCTATAGATCTTGTTTTTAACATGTTCAGAAAACCGAATCGAAGGACCATAAGGAGAATCCTTAACTTCATAATCACCAGCTTCAATAGAGAACCCATCCTTCTCCATTCCTTCAGTATATTCAAAACAAGAAGAGCTTAGTAACTTATCTTTGAAATTGATCTCTGGCAAGGGAGGGATCTGATCGGACTGCTCCATGCCACCATCATCTCTTCCACAAGTCGCAAAATCCTCTGAACGGAACCGTTTGGATGAACCATCCTTCATGACAACAGGACTCTTCGTAAACCGGTGAGCCAAAAACCTAAAACCAGGAGACGCAGACGCCATCGAGCCGATCAGATTTGGAAGATTGGTCAAGAGGACGCAGGAGGAAAGGGAACGCGTGGGGCGCGTTCAAAAAAATAACCCTTAATTATTTCATACAAGGGTTGAATAGCATTTGTCTGCACAAAACCTCTTTGCCATCAACCCAGTAAACCCATTTTTGGTAAAGGCCATGCATAGCCTAAAAGCTGTACATACAGAGTTTTATGATGTCTGCAGTTTCCTTGAAATATTAGTACAAACGAAATATACAAGGCAGGAAAAAACCGTGTAGCAAAATACTGATAGAGTAGCCATAATTCCTTAGTTGCCACATTTTCCACGAAACCACTCAACTGACTCAAAGTTGGACTCCATCGTGCGAATCTGATTGATTAGTCAATCTCTGCAGAAGTGGGGACAGGGTTGACCGGAGTCATGCGACCATCATGTGGAATGGTTAGAGATTGTTTTAGTTGGTTTTGGAATCTTTGAATTTTGGATTGTGAGATTTTTTAGATTTTTGTATTATTTATTTACAGGTTTGAATATGTACATATCTATCACGTGTAATTTGTTTCATTCTTCTTCAAAGAGGTTTTAACTACGACTGGAAATGGTTTATGCTAGTGCTTGAGACTTCAATCACTTGATAGATATGTACAACTGCGATTGAAGTCTTGACTTATTTTAAATAGCATGCACAGGGTTTTGAGCAATTTTCTTTTATCATTTCATGTCACTGTTCTCTGTGATTAATTGAATAATACCTCTTTCATCTATTCATCTATACAATTCTTTCAATGTAATAAGTTGAATTTTCCTAGATTCATATTAGATTGGAGTTTAAGAACTTAGCTAACAACAATGGAAAGTCTTGATTTCCCCAACAGCATCTCCCTATCTTTATCTTTATCTGTTATTTCATTTCATAAATTAAAAAACGTATTTATCAGTCAAATTTGACCTTATAAATTATAATTATAAATAAGAAATTTCTTTTTAGGAAAAAGAAAAAATCAAAGCTCTAACAAATTTGAAATATCATTTCTTTCCTTAGCAAGAAAATGCGGCTCCGAATTTAGAAGAAATTGGTTTCCAGAAAATACGACGAATTGGTCAATTTGATGAAATAAAATCTCTCAAATTCAAACAAATAAAAAGTTATTTTTGAACAAGAATACTGATAGAGTAGCCTTAATTCCTTTGTTGCCACATTTTCCACGAAACCACTCAACAGACTCAAAGTTGGACTCCATCCTGCGAATCTGATTGAATAGTCACGCAAAGACTGATAAAGATAAAATACTGTAATGACACTGCTACGATCATGCACACAAAGACTTCCAAGTCAAGTTGAGTTGTGGGCCAAGTAGTTCAACCCCATCAGCACGCAAAGACTTCCAAGCCTAGTTGAGTTGTGGGCTAAGTAGTTCAACCCCATCAGGTCCAAGTCAAGTTGAGTTGTGGGCTAAGTAGTTCAACCTCATCAGCACGCAAAGACTTCCAAGCCAGATAATGACTTTGAAGTTTAAAGTAGCACTAATATTCTACACACAATATTAGACCTGAATTATTAAGTTGGGAGACCTGAATTATTAAGTTTGTAACAACTTTCTGACCAGATTAGTAGTGGGCCTCAGTAGTCTATCAGATTAATTCAAATAAAAGACTTCAAATTTTGCTTTCGATGACGGTATATTCTTCGGGCGATGAGGAAGAATATTTCATACAAAGGTTAGATAGCAGATCCTTGCGAGGTAGCTTATCTCTAGGAAATTATATCAAGAGACTGGGGGCAAAACGAGAGCATGAGTTAACTCTAGCCTTTGTCCGCATAAAACCTTTTATGCCATCAACACAGTAAATCCATTTTTGGAAAAGGTATAGCCTAAAAGCTGTATTGAATTAACGTGAACTTCCTTACCAATATACATTTGTGGTATACAGAGTTTTATCATGTCTGCAGTTTCCTTGAAAAGCATCGAACAAGCCACATCTCTTTCATAACTTTCATGCCACCCTCGGTGGTATATTTCCGGGAAATATTAGTACAAAAGAAATATACAAGGCAGGGTGACCTGAGAAACCTCAAGTCAGTTCTTTACAAATTGCCTACCTGGACAAGACAACTTAAATAGATGGAGACGAGCAAAAAAATCATGACAAAACCGTACAATTATATTGATTGCAGATCCGAAGAATTGGTGTGGCGCCCTTCATGTGGCCATGCGTCACGGCCATGTCAATCACCTAGACTTGTGTGCATTCCTGAAACAAAGAAGAAAACTTTGTTCAGATTGATCAATGGTCTTCTACTCGAAGGAGCTCAAAAGTTATCAACTTTCAGCATTTGATATTACACCATGTGATGACCAAGAAAGGAAAAAAAAGAAAAATATATCGCACCATGCATTTTTGTTTGTTTTATATAATCAAGAACTCAGCAGGAACAAGAATGACGGCCTGTTACACAACTAGTGCGTCAGTTTTAGGCCATTAAAGATTATACACAACTATTTACCTAGAAGAAAGTGTATGAGAGCTATTTACAACCCCTCGGGGAGCACTTGAGCGCCGTGCCCTCTGATCAGGCTCCTTGGTGACACGCATAGCAGAGACTTCTTTTTCCATGGCAGCTACTTCTCTCCGCATCTTTTTGGCCTCAACCTCCATTGCTTTGTTAAGTGTATCCACCTTCTTTGCCAACATCTACTTGATTCCACACAAGAAACAAATTAAGACCAAAACAAAAGTGGAGAGAGGTTGCAAAATTAATGAGATACGTCCTACTAGCTAACCTCAATTGCATCATCCTTGTCCTTGAGGGTTTGATCTTTCTCATGGCAAGCTTTCCTCAAAGATACGACCTCTTTCTGTAACATATCATACAGCACTCCAGAAACATAATCTTCATGCTCTGTCCTGGATTGTTCAGCCAAAGATCCATTTGCCCTCTCCTCATGTCTACCAATTGTCTCATCCATCTGAGTCTGATCACTGGCACTGTTTGTGTTATCTTTCCCAGTTGCATCTGGTACTAGCTTATCTCTGTCTAGCAATCTACTACCACCATCAAACGATCTAGATGAACTCTTGGCTTGTTTCAATATTGCAGTAGCAGTGTTGGAACGGTTGAAACCAGATTGTAAATTCGATTTTGTCCTAGATAGATAGCCATTAGAGGACGCTCTAGAGAAGTTCCCAGCTCCACCAAGAGACTGACGCCTTGAAGGCCCATTGCTGATGATTCTTGCATCTGAGGATGGGCGGGATTTTCCATTCGATGCTTTAAACTTTTCCTCCAAAACCTTGAATCTTAGTTGGTATTTTTCCTAAGAAATCAATTAATGCTCAACTGTTAAGAAGAGGCTTAAACACATAATAGGAAACAGTTACCCTTACTTGTCAGAGCAGACTAAATTCAAAACAGTTAGCATACCTTTAATTGTGCTTCTGCCTTTGCAGTACGCTCAGCTACTGCCAGTTTATCTCGAAGTTGTTGCATTTCTCCCTACAAAAATCATGTCAAATATTTCATTTTAAATCTCAAATAAAATTAAGTGTTCCGTTCTTGATCTGGTTTCACTTCCACCGCCACTTCTTAAGGCAAAATAAACCATCTTAGAGCACCGGCACGTGCGCACGTGTGCACAAACACACACACACACACACACATATAAATACCGTTTTCTAGCAACTACTCAATTCGCAAATATTTGGGGGAAAGCATCATATGTGGTCTATGCAATAAAGAACCATTCTCCAGATGGGATATCTGTTTTAAGGTCCAGGGTACAGGGTAGTCTCTATCACTATCCTATATGCATATTGACAGTAGGCCAACAATAATCATTGCAGGTCATCTATGGTACTAGATGATAATTCCATATGTTAAACCTCTTGGGTTAACATAGATGATCATGAAATACTTTTAGAACGATTTAAAGAAGAAAAAAAATCCAATTCATGCTTTCTTTTTGGGCTGACGAGGCATCTGGTCCACCTGTTAAGTGATAATTACTAGGTCCATGCAGTTGCCTCATCCAGCATGAAGCGCCTAAGCCCCATTCAATTGCCATAATGCCAACCTCTTGGGTTATGGATGCAACTTGAGACAATGAAACGAAATGACTATTTGTACAAATTAAAGGAATTGCATGCAGAAATGGTGAGGTGGCATTGAAGTTGTAACATGCCGGAAAAAATCTCGTTTCTTCAAGCCATTGTGTAGAAACAGATTCTTTTCATATCTAAATACACACTATTACATGGATTTTATACAAGCTGCAATGGTCTGGGAGTTATAGCCGAATTGTAACAGACAACAAGGCAATTATGGGTATTAACAATTGTAACAGAAATCTCCTTAACTTGCTGTAACTGTCAAGAATATGAAGGGTTGTTTTACGTGCATCACTTTGTCACTGGAATCTTTCCACTCATTTGCAACAACAGTGGCAACCCTATTTGCAGAGACCTTTGAACGAGCCACCTCCCGTTCCAACAGTTTTTTTCTCCTCCTACGCAAGCTTGAAGGTTAGAGGCAGTTTGCATTTGTGACAGACTCAGAACAACTACGAAGTGATTTGCAAGAACTGGAGTTCCAAGAAATGTTTATTACATTCATCTCCTGCACTCTATGCTGGTAATCAAGCACAGCATTGGCAGCAGCTCCGCCGGCTAAAACAGCCTCCTCAAGCTCGCGAACGGTTTGTGTTAGCTTCTCAACCTCAGCTACCTTTTGCCGGTGCATTTTGTCAAGAATTTTGTTCTCCTCCTGATAATCCACCAGTACATGTTACAAAAAATAGTGTCTAATGCTAGTACAAAACCCACGGTACATTCCCTCAATCACACACATTGCCTGCAGCAGGAAAACTCAGGGAACATACATACCTGGCATATTTCAATCTGTTTCATCAGCTCTTGTTTTTTGTTTTGCAGATCGTCAACCAAGGATGCTTTTACCATAGCAATCTGAACAGTTCTCTCGGCCTCACACTAGAGCAGCCTCCTTGGATTTAGTAAGCCGATCAAGTGCTCTGTTGTCTTCCTGCAACTTTGCTACATAAAAAAACCAAGAAAAGAAAAAAAAAAAAAAAAAAAAAAAAAAAAAAAACTTAACGTTATTTTTCTTTTCATGTGCATGAATCAATAGACCCATAAAGACAGTAAGAATATGGAAAGCCAATACATTATGAACATTCTAAACCTCACATGTATAAACCAATATGGAAACCAAAATAGACGGTGAAAATTGACACAGAAAATTACTACATCAAAAGTTTTACAACAATCCTATCTGTCTTAAGAATGTTGAATAAAAGAATAGATGAAAATACAAATCGAGGTCATAGTATTGCAAAAGGAAAGTATATACCTCCTGCCTAGCAAGCTTAAGCTCTGCTTCCAGTGGAGCGATGATGGCTTCAATGGGGGGCATTTCATCATCTTTTTGTGCAGCATGAACTCTTCGAAGTGTGGCTTCCGCTGCAAATTGTGCAGCCAAAGCTGCCTTTTTCTCATCATTTATTTTCTTAATCTCAAGATTCTGCAAATCATAGTGTACTCATTATATTGCAAACAGAAATCCATTTGTTGGTTACAGAAGATAGTACAATGAGGGAGCAAAGGGAAATACAACTAGTACCTTGCTTTCCAGAAGGGCTGCAGTTGCTTTCAGCTTTTCATCCACCCTGTTTAGTTCATCTGTCAACTGGAATCATTAACCAACGAAAAATAATCAGAAAGTCCCATTTCTGATTGAACATAAAGTTTCTCCTTTGTGATAAAGAGTAATACATTGATAAATAAAATTTAACATGGTTATTAAAATCTTGATAATTTTGTAATTAACCTATAATTATCTCACTCAGAAGAAGATATCAATAAAAAAATTGAACACAACAAAACTAAGAATAACAATATGGCTATAATCATGTGGTAAAGGAGATATTTTCTTAATTTTTTTTAATAAAATAATATCTCCTCCAAGTTGCAGGTATTTTTCAAAATTAGCTACTCACTGTCAGTTAAAAAAAAATGTATAACCTATTACATTTCAAGTTCTTTTTTTTGGAGGGTAAAGGTTAAAAGAGTCCAATTGGAAATTTTGCTTATAAAGCTTTGCTTAAAACTGACACAGCTTTATCACAATTGCTAAGACTCTTGTAATCATTTAGGTTTCAAGTCTTTCATTGGAAAGTGGCATTATAAAATTTTCACCATGTCTATGTCCCAAAAGGTGGGTGTTCTAGTCATCCACCTTTTTGTTAAGTGAAGCTGATGGATATAATAGTCAAGATTTTAAAGCAATAAAATGTTAATCCATCGCAATAGAAGAAAATGATTATACAAAAAATAAAAAATAAAGACTAAAACATTAGAAGCTCAAAAGATCCATTCACAACGTGGCAATTGAACAAGTAGGGTTATCTTGATAAATTTTAGATCAATAAATGTTAGAATAGAATAAAACCATTAATCCAAAGGGCAATAATACTTAAAATCCAGTAACCACTAGGTAATATAGCAGACTGAAGGTTTCAGCTTTTAAGTATAAAAAGACTGAAGATTAACATAGAAGACTATCAAATCTCATCTTTGTTGTACAGAAGTTCCACTTACAGACATTTTTTTTTATGGATATAAAACAGCATTGCACACCTCAGTATGTAGACTCACAATCAGTCAAAAAATAAATTTCCTGCCTAACTCAAATGAAATGCATATACTAAATTGTTTGCAGTATTTATATATTTTTTGCATGGAAATATAGATTGCTCTTTAATTTTAAGAAGTGGAAGGGTATTTTTTTAAGCAAAAGTTCTCCAAATAACTGTTGCATCTAATAGAAGGTGTAAAACATTGTTAGATAGGAAAAAAAAACCACTTTAGAAAGAGTTGGCAAATAAAAGTCTGATTAAATCTGTCTCACTCATATATTCTATTATGTTGCTTACATACTACAAAGTACCAAAATTTGACAACATCGTGCTACGCAAATTGCTAATGCAAATAGAAGCACAACTTCGGCTTCATAAGCAAAATAGAGTACCTCTTCCACCGCCTTCTCTTTTAAGGCGCTCTGAATTCCTCAAAGACTTGATTTCCCAATTCCCTATCTTTATCTGTTATTCAATTTCATAAATTAAAAAACGTATTTATCAGTCAAATTTGACCTTATAAATTATAAAGTACACGAAATATAATTATAAATAAGAAATTTCTTTTTAGGAAAAAGAAAAAATCAGGAAAATAAGGCCCTTTTAGCACTCAGGCCAGAGAGAATTAGTAAAGGTTCATAATTTCCTCCTCTATTTGTTTTTGTGCGGTGAGTGTTATTGGGTGTATTTGGCGCTTTGGTTTGTGAGGTTGCCACACACTTTGTAAACATTCTAATTTGTTGATAGTGAATGTGTTTGCACATGCTGCTCTAGGACATACCTCAGTTATACTAGTGAGGAACTTCGTTAAATCTTTTATTTTCTTACTCAAATGGATTGAAGCAATTGTTTCTAATTCAAATGGATTGAAGCAATTTTCTGACTCAAATGGATTGAAGCAATTTATACAATACACAAAAGTATAAATTCATATTACAATAACCAACTTACAAAATTGTAAAGGACAATACTAAACTTCGCTTTATTTGCTTGCATACATATTCACATGTGCAGCTTCTTCTGTGCTCTACGATCATTTTTGCAGATAAGTAACAATGACTGAGACAAAATCAAGGACAGCATCTTTCACTTTGTTAAGGAAGTGAAAATAGGCATGTCTCCAAGACCTCTTCATGGCCAAAGTCCCAAAAACTCCCCAGAACCCTGCACAAAAACCTATCACCATGCTGATGACGAACTGTAGCTTTTTCAAGTTTACTGTCATCATCCTCTCCTCCATCTCCACTTGGAACTTGAGTTGCTTCTTCATTGTCTTGCCAACCAGTTGGTAATGGACACCAGCTAAGACCGGGGTTGCCCTCATAAATTGACGGGTCAACAAAGGTCTTAAATTGGTTACCCATTGGAATTTTCCCGGACAAGTTATTGTATGACAAATTCAGATGATTCAAAATG